TTATCAGATGTGTGAAAATTATTGAATTGAGGGCTACTGCACCTTCCAATCAAGATTCTGAATTTTTTTTCGATCAATATTGGTTTTCCTCAGTTGCCTCCTACGTTTAAAACATTATGCTGTTACAATTACTAACGAGTCCTAGAAGGATGATGAAATTTAATTCTGAATTTGTATAGAGAGTTTTAATTTAACTGTCCTTTGTCGAGTCTTCTTCATACATTAACTTTAATAACTGAAATAAACAAAGTAATAAGTTCTCTTTAAACACACTTAAAACGATGATTATATACACAAAATAGACACTGTAAGTATTACAAAGCAAAGTGTGTATCTTTGTTATGCTCTTAACCATCTGCTAGACCTACTTACCAAGCTTCCTGTCTTGGTATTTAGAAATGTGTGTCAGCAGTGTTACAATACACTACGTGTTGTGTGAAATACATCATCTTCTCCTTTTGAAGACTAGGCTACATACCACCGTGTCGATTATACATCTACCCAATAGAGAGAACAAAAACTCCTCACAACAAAATCTTTTTATATAAAGAAACTCCTTAACGTTCAAAAGCAAACTCGGTATACTTATGTAGTAAATGTTGTGACACGTATAACGTGTAGGAAAGCTACATGATCTATGCAAACTTACAGTATCCCCTAGCTATGAATCAGGACATATAAGTCACTATGCGAACTTTTTTCTTTGCCAACATTCATTTAAATTTGTTATTATAAGAGAAAAAACGATAGCAAAAATACAGGAAGATAATAATTACATCCATGATACTAATCTTATGTCTGTAATGCCGCAAAACAAAACAACAAGAAAATACCTACAGGTCAACATAATCACAATTCAATCTGAAATTCATTAAAACTAGGCCAAAATATGTACAAAACTAAAATCTACATGGAGATTCCTGAAAAAGGAAAAGGCGAAGAACACTAGGTGTTCTACTTTGTTACGAGTTTGTTGAAGTCAGTTGACGACTTCTTGCTTGAAACTTGTAAATTTGACATGTAAACACCATGGGATGGGGATGCAGGGATGTTACTAACCATATATGGAAAATTCAAAATAGGGAAATTAGCATCATCAGGCTTAACAATCGGCTTGATGGAAAGCTGTCCATATACGTTTCGTTTTAGGAAAAGATAAAGGCTTGTCACGTGGGACGAACTTCAACTTGTGATTCGGGAAAAAAGAATACAAATGAACTGATTACAATTACAAATATTTATTTACATAACTTATCAAACTCTAAATAAATGGACACACTCACTTACTCACTCAAACTCATTCCTCATATATACGTTATTAGGTAAAGTCTGTAGCTCACATCTGCAGCAAAAAAAGACGCAGTTCCATGGTCGGCCACCAACAACGTGGCACAGCTCAATCCAGAGCCACACAATAGCTACACAGGATATCCATCCACTCCAAGCAAAGCATGCCTGAACTTCCCTTTACTATCCAGCAAAGAATAAAGTACCAACAGGTGTCCTCCCGAAGCACGTCCCGCAGATTCACAGCAGCTTCATGACTCCCATGACACAAGTCTGTGTGATGAAGAAAATGTGCATCACGCCTGGTCCTGACTGGTTGCTGAGTCAGCTACTGCCGTCATGTGATGCTACAATAATTAATTAAATATAACAGTTACACTCATCACGCTCGGTTACTTTCTCATCTAACAAAAATAGCCTTAATTCAGAAAATATCCAATTATTTTATCATCATAATTAGAAAACAGTATAACTAAAACAATATGTCATTAAGTATCTTATAATAGTGTGCCGATCCAAAATATACACAAATATTACGAAATCTCAAGTTTTTACAATATGACACATATAGGTTTCCATACTTTTTCCGCCCGACTTCAGTACGCTTACCTATGTCTAAATGGATCGGGGCTTCCATAGATTTATATATCAAACAATTGCACGGTATAAACAATTAAAACACAGCACATATAATTTAGTAATTAGTTAAATTTACTAGTAATGCATATATTTTTGGTAAATATACTTCAAAACATTAGAAAATGTAACATATTACCCCTGCATGATTGGACCGCACCGATAGCTAGATGGCTTGACCTGATAAATACATTGGTATACATAAATAATACCAAAACTAAATAATGAATAGAAATATAGAAACGGCAAACTTACCACAGTCTGTATTCTGTGCCTGGTTCACATATAAAAGACCTCAAAATATCGAATCGGGTACCATTGTCCAAGGTTTCTCTCGTGCCTCCATGTCGATACAGTTCCGCATGACGTACTTCCGTCTTATACATTAAAGATACTCACCTCAATTACAAGAATCAAAATAAATATCAAATAGCTACTGGCGAACGTGACACGGTTTTAAACTTATTCCATTTGATGCCACACATTCGTATTGAGGTTTTAGTATAACTAGAAGCAAATCTTTAACGTATTGTCATTATTAGTTTATAAAAAAATGGATACTGGGAGAAAAACTTACATCCATGATATAATTATTAGAACTGTGAAAAGGCATATCAGCGACAATGGCTCTGCAGCATAAGTGTTTAGATTTTTATGTCTCCACAGTATAGAAGAATAGAGATTTTGGACAAAGGTAGGGCAAATTAGCAGCCTGTCTTCTGACATGAAAGTCATATGAGGACGATATCCATGATGAAGGTGATTTATATTGGTATTGCACTGAAATGTAATAAAGGAGTAGCCATGTAAATCCCATGTTACCTGGTAGGAAAACCGTTGCATCCAAATCGGTTGATTGAAATCCGATTGACAAGGTGACACGGGAGAGTATGTCCTGCAAGTATGTAACACCTGCTTCCATCATGATCGTAACAGATTATTATGTTTTTTCCTTGCTTGTCCACGTTACCACGGCTACACGGTTTTAGTTTACCTGTGTGAGGAAGGCTTTGTGTTCTTTTCCAAGACAGGAACATACTGAAGACTTTTACGAATAACGTATGTGATCACAGAGGTAGGTACATGATTTAGTTTGATTGCCAATTGCTCGTTGCTGCTCGTGTAGGCATCATCTAGGTACATAAGCAGAGCATGGTGAAAATCATGACTTATTCTCTGTTTATGGTTTTATCGTGAACACCAATCAAATCATTCAGCTCATCAAACTATGTTAGTGTATATATTTCACTGATTTCTTCGGACACTACAATTCCTTATCCTTGCTTGGTTGATCATTAAGCTACCATCAATGTCATCAATACATCATCAATGTGTGACAGGTGTCGTCGATGAAGCAGAAGACGCTTACTCTGCCAGAACATCTGGTCTTATTTTCCTTTTACTTTTTCATGAGTTTCAGTTTAAATCTTTATTTTGTTCATATTTTGCCCCGGTTTCATTGAATTGGACTTTGATTTATAGTTTTGCTGATATGTCGATATTTTTTCTTTCATGTGCTACAGAAACGATAGACACAGAGAGATAGGAAAGAAAAATATTTTTATTTACAACAAACAAACTGTCACAATACATAAAATAATGAACTAATCATTTCTTCAAAAGAAAGTTACAAGGAAAATGTTCAACCTCCTGTCAAAATATCTTATAGGGTAAGATGGTTTCAGTTCAACTACTTCAGCCACCATTTTATTTTCGCTTTCCTCACAAAATTGCCATGAAGAAATGTTTCCCGTCTACTGCAGAAAGTGCAGAATATCAAAATCATCGGTGTTACCATGACAAATGTGGACTTCTTACTCTATTGTATCTAGGAATATTTCACCATTTAGAAAATCAGTTATGGTAACGTCGACGGAAATGTTTATACCGTCACTTGCCATCATATTGTTGTGTACCCTATCAAATGAAATTAAGACCAAACGAGTCAATATTTCACCAGGATAAAAAAATAGCCAAAGTCAACAGAAAAACACAATGAATATATACATTAAAACAAATAATGGGATATCACTGATAACTATGGACATGCTCTCATTTTTATTTTTTGATTTGTTTTCTATTATCTAATTCATAATGCATTCAGAAAAATTGTGTCTTTCCAGCGTATGTGCTTTTGAAAGGATTTTTAAAATTTCTTATCCTTGAGATAGTTGGTTGTGTATATCACAAATGAACGATTCACAAGCCAGTTTCCGCTATCCCCAACAGGAAACAACCTAAAACAGTGTGATATTCTGTGTGGCCAACTTTCTGAACGACATTTGACCTTAATGTCAATTCTTAGTATCTGACTTCCTTTTCATATATATTCTAAATGATGCAGCCGTTATGAATACGGCATTATTCGAAGCAAATCAAACTGATTTTCAAACCTCATGCTTCAAAAAATCTATACATAATATGACAAACAACATTAACATAGTAAGAGATAAAAGGGAACTGTGAGTCTTCATTCAGTTTTTAAAGATAATTTTTTGACGCAGTATAAACTCCAATGTACCTACAATGTGCTTACACCTCGGTGTCTACAACCCTATCTTAGTAATATTTTATCCCAATATACACACACGTATACTATTCAGTTCCTTCCATTTTCAGATTTCAGTTCTGTTCAGTTACACAATAATAGGCTATTAATTTTTGGAAGATTTTCTCCAAAGTATTTTTTCAGAGACATTATTGAAAACGACGCTGATCTCTCTCATTACAACAGTGTGTCTTTCATTTTATTTTCCCCATCACGTCCTATTCGAAGGGGATATATCTTTCATCAAAATATTCCAATTTTTAAACATTAACACGTGTCTTTGAAATTATATCTTCATTGTTATAAGCAATGCCACAAACGTTATTTTTGTTGATTTTAAAATGTTAATATCAATTCTGAAGTAAAGTAAATAAAGCAAGCACGATGCTGCCAATCGCTATAAATTATGTGGTACAGAAAGCAGCACGCTGTTTAACATCCACGTATGATACAAGTTACCACGGAGTCAAAATACACCATATACACAATACTCCGAGACGTCATGTAAATGCAAACATAAGCAACACTATTTCGCCAGTAAACAATTGCATGTATGCGCAGATCCTGATTATGCAATACAGATAGACATAAATATAGGCCCTCGTGTGATACGAGACATACTGCCAGTTCATTTTATAACAGTACAATATATTTGACTTATGTATACCCTGTGTGAGTTAAATGTTAAGGACAAGAAGGTAAATTTGATCTTAACGTCTGGACATCCCTACAATCAGTGAGTAACGACACGAAACTTGACCTTTGACCTCATCGTTACCATGGGTACTGATCTGTACACGGTAACTCTATTTATCATATACGTGTTCCTTGAATTACCTTACCTTCAACGGATAAGATGCTTTATGTCAAGAAAAAAACATTCATCGTGTATTCTCTCAATGTGACCGAGACTGTAGATGTACATAACTAAAACACGTACTCAATAGATTGTTTCGTCATCATGCATAGTTCTACTGACATGTTGGACAATTAACTTTGACTTTTAGATGCGACCTTGACCTTTTTCGTAGACCGGAAATGGAACGCCGCACATCGTCAATCCATCCAATTTACTTATGAAATTTCCGTAACCTATTTTGCAGTGATGTACGACGTTATAACTTTGACAAAACGACGACCATATGCTGCAATTATTTGTTGCAACTTATTGCAATTTCTGTCTACTGGTACAGTTGTTACAAGTACAAAATCGTCAGCACAAATACTTTGACAATATTTACCAATCTTTGATGTGTAATTTGTTCTTAATATTTATAAAAACGTTTTATTCGTTTGTATGTCTTTTGCACAGTCTTATTAATTGCCACTATTGAAATTCAAAAGGTATGCGTCCAAAGATCAAACAGTTCAAAAATACTTTTGTTCTTTTTTTGTTAAGCAGCTTTTTTCCCCTTTCGCTTCTGAATTTTTTATGCGTAAAGCTGTTTGTACATGCTGAGGTGTATAATCCAACTGTCCATCCTGTTTTAACGTCCAAATCTCTTAAACAGTTTAACACATTCGCTTCGGAACTGTTCACTCATGAAGCTATAAATAACAGGGTTCAACGCGCAACTGAACAGATAGGTCCGCAGAAAGAACTGGAATATGGCCTTACCAGTCGTTGTTAGAGTATCATAGTAGTTAGGCTGGATGTACCGAATGATCACTATCACGCAATACGGTATGAACGAGACCATGAAGAGGAGAGTGACGAGGAAAAGCATCAATGTGGTCTTGTACATTTGCGCTCGTCTACTTTCAATGCTTTGTGTCGACATTGATCGCTGCTTTTTGAATTGGGCTCTTTTGAATGACGCTGATGGTTTAGACGTTATACTCCCACCCCCAATTGAACGAGATGTACTTCCGTTTATATTTCTGGTCAGTTTTGAATCGTCAGCTTTATTTGGTTCGTTTTTATCGCCACCGCTGTTGACCTCTGAGGATGCCAGGGAGGCTTGTCGTGTCAAAACGATGGGCGTTGGTTTGTAAACATTGTCGGTTGCATCTAAAACATCGTTGTCAGTAGCGTTGGAGGATATGCTTGCTTGGCGGCTTTTAGACAAACAGCCATCATTAAACTGACCTCTTTGGATTACTTGATATGCTATGCATAGATAGCAGACAATAAGAACCACGTCGATTGCAAGATTCCCAGCCAGTAAGACACTTGTGAAGATCAGTGGTAGTTTTGACGTGGTGTAAGCGTCTTCGATTAGGCAAAGATGCATCTTAATGCAAATGTTAGCGGAAGCAGTTTTTATGATTATGGTTTGTGTTCCATACAACACCGCTGCCGGAAAGGCAAACACTATTGCCGCGATGACCGCCACTACCACAGCTATTTTTGCCTGTTTATTTATCATCGCAGGCTTCAGGGGACGGCAAATCCTCATGAATCTATCTATTGCTATAACAAGCAGGGTGAAGGAGGAGGCGTTGTTCATCCAGAATGTGAACATTCGGGCAAATTTGCATCGTGAGGGATGATCGAATTGTACGAAGTTGAGAATGATGTCTATTTCAAATGCCATGGAGACACAGTTACAAAGGTCGAAGGCAGCTAACGCCATGATAAATAAACGTGACGTTGTTTTACGCCATCTTCTCCAATATACGTAGAAAACGATGAGATTTCCAGGCACACCAATCACGAACATCGATATCGTCAAAATTAAGGATGCAATTAGAATTTCGTCCAAGAATTTATCGTTTATGCTGTTCACTACCGCGTCAGGAACAAACACAAGGCACTGGCTTGGATCTGGAGTAGGTCTCGCAGTAGTCTCGTTGAAACTCATGCCTGAATTCCAAGCATTCATTGTAGCACTAACTGCAGAGGAAACGTAACTCTCCGTTGTCATAATATCACTGGTTGCCCACAATGACGAGGTATCTCTGAATGTCGATGCCATCGATGATGAATTCATTGGAAATGTAACGTTCTCTGGCAGGGGCGTTGTGGTATTTGTATTGCTTGTCATCTGCATAAGATAAGATACATTTCATGAGTCTCCTTTGTTCATACTTTGCCCTAGTTTTACTAAATTTCAGTTGTTGTTTTTTTTTGTTTATTTAATACCTTTATATGCGAAAGTCTCTCTAATTCGAATGTGTATGCATCATCCGTTATCATTTCATAACTGCGTTTTGCGGTGGAAAGAAAGATCTCTTACTGTGAATGCTGAAGCGTCAAAACAAAAACAAAAACTTTTCCGAAAGTTACAATTAAAAACAGTTTTATCATAAAAATGTATCAATCTGTGTGCGATATATACAGCTTTGAATGTTGTAGTATTAGAATGGATATTCAAGATACTTCGCGTCACCGAAAAACAATGAATAACGTCATTTTGCATTTAACAAATTGAAAGTGAAATGTTAAAAGGAACAATTTAACAAAATGGAATCAGCCGAGAGCATGAAAAAAGGTTAAAAGGTATTCGTTTTAGCACAAATGTATGGTTATTATTTCAGTTTTTTCACAGAGTACAGTTAACATAATTCAAATAAAATAAATGCGACGCACCATTAGTAATTTTGATAAGTAATAAATCTTATGTTTTAAAAAGTTAGCTAAAAATTGGAAATATTTACATAAATACACGCTAAATTAAAATAAATGAAACACAGGCTGAAAACAAAATCATGAAATCACATTTTATGTCACGTTGTGCAATTTAACTTACCTTGGTGGCGGTTTAATGAAACTACGTGCAACAAGAAAAGTCACCTGCCGGGTTCAGTCTCCAGTTATGTCTGGTAGTATGGTCGAATTGTTGACGCGGGTCACCACACATCTACGTTATTGGTCGAAAGACTGTCTGTTTACCGCTCGTAATGTTAATTGTTGATTTCCTTGTTCTAGCGGGGATACCGTAAAGAAAGGGACCGGCCGTTTTGTGTATTAGATATGACAGCTGACGTATCCAATGGGATGCGAATAGGATAGATTCAGTTTCATCACGGAAACAGACGATACAAACTTGGGAATGGCTTATATGGGAAACTATCTAGAAAAGATTTTTGTAAAATAAGAAATATGATATCAATGCACAGCAATCAATATTTTAATAATTGATAAATGCATTGCAATTCACTGGTGTTTTTTTTGTTCTATCTTCTAAAACAGTAGTTATATGAATTATAGAATAATACTTACTATGTTTTATCATATCGTATTATAATCATATTTTCAATGGTAAGTTAAGGTATATTTAACTAATTCCTTCTTCTTAAGTCCGTTTTCGAAATTCACGTCACACGAATCATCGGTGTCGTCACATACACGTGACCAAATGTTCTACGAGATTTTAGTGCAATCGATATGAATTTTATGTGAATGACAGATCAACAGAATATCGTTCGTTATTATTATATTTGTATTTCTATTTGATATAAGTAATCTGAAACGAAACGTGCTTTTAAATTTCATACTTAACCAGATATCGATTAATGCTATGTAACAAATTATAATCCGACAAGATAACCTAGTTCTTTGTTTCACCATAATCAATCATCAACCATGAATTAAAATAAAGAATAAATAAGCCTGCTTTTGTTTGGAATAAAAGGCGTTTAATTCGCATTGACCATTACCCCTCTTGTGTTTGTCCTTTGACCAGTTATAAAGCTATCTTGTGCCAGGTTGGTGGTGATCTCGCACTTCCTCGGCTTACGTCAATAAGCCAGTGTCCATATTACTAATTTGGTATGGTTCAGAATGTCATGTATAAGCGTACAGTCAAGACTGGTGATGTAGACTTAATTTTGCTGGGTGCTAAAAATTGTTAGATTCCATGATATGTTTATCGCACCGAAAATTCTTGCGACGATACGAAAATCCGAGAAAAGTCCGCCTATTCCGGAATTCGGAAAAGTTTACGGATCTATGTCGATTTCAGAAGACCTAAAAGACAACATCGTCTTAATCTCTATCTCTCTTTGGTGATTTTGCCATCATGTTAAACACTAGGAAACACGTTAGGAGCACGTTAAACAAAAACGAGAAATAAATCTAAAGATAAGTGGACGACAGTATTTTTTATCCTTTTCATTCCCATTTTCTACCCCGTCGGACTTCCGGTGATGGTTAAGTATCTCAATCTTATCGTGGTGAGACTGACTGCAGGCACAGAACATAAACACGTGCTAAACCGGAAGTTGCTAATTTGAGACATGAGAGATGTTACTGATAGACAGTTTGATATTATTCTGACGTTCACAGATCATCTATGTTTATACAAATTAATATTTTATGCATTATGACAATGATTTATCATTACACTTGACTTTTTACAATGTATATTGCAGATTAAAGATCAGTCAAAATAAAAATAAAAATCATTATTTACTTGATTGCGTTTCCATATTTGTCAGCATGTACTTGTCTCGTTATTCTATTTATAGTATCATGGGGTAGAAAAAATGTCCTATAGATTAAGAGTATATTAAAGAAATCTTTACGTTCGGTGTAGATTCTTGACACTCTTACCCTGGTCAAAACCTCGGGTTAGGCAGCCGTGAAAATCCTCCTTTTTGTAGAAATATCTTTGTCATTGCCTGAAGCTAGGAAAAGATCCCTTTAATCCTCTAACGTCTCGCCATCGCCTTGACTCTGAATCATGGTTAATTGTACATTTGTATTTTATTTGTATTTTATTGTGTCTGGTAAGTTCTATGTTGAAGTCGATACCTTATAGTAAACACCATGGAAGTTGACCATTTTTCGACTCTTGTAGTTTGCTATTATGCTTCTTCGCAACACACCAAGTTCATATGAAGTCGGTGCCCTGAATGATAGGATAAATGATTGGCGCTTTTATAGTGTTACCTCACTGTCTTAACCTGAATATGGTAAAACGACGTATCAACCTGATTAAGTGTGCATCGAGCCTGAAAAACGAAAACAAAAACCACACATACACGCACGCACGCACACCCGCACACACACACACACACACACACACACACACACACACACACACACACACACACACACACACACACAATCACACACACAAACACTCACACACACACACACACACACAAACACACTCACACACACACAAAACACAAATGATGAAAGCAGAAAATATTTGACTCGTGCCCAAACCAGGCCTCGAACATACAATCTTTAGCAGCAAGTTACAATGTATCTACAGGCGATTGGTGCCACAGAGCGATAGTTCGAGGGCTGGAACAAGTGATAAATGCCTTCATCACTTGTTTTTCTATATTAGAAACTCATATATTTACATTGGCGTTATTTGACAAAGAGTCTGATTGGTCTTCAGGGATATTTTATGACGATCTTGAAATGTAAATGTTAATTGATTCGTTTCGTAAAGCATCATTATGCTTCCGATATGAAGGTGTTTTGATTTTATTTGTATGAAATCATCACCAAACCTACATTCCTTTTTAGTAACCAAAAGTAAAATAGATAGGGAAAACATAATATGCTGAGTATATTGTACATGATGCGTAAGATTATATACTTCATAGCACAAATCGCCATGCATAATAATACACTGTTTTCTTTCTACGATGACGTTCAATACAACATAATGACGTAGTTTTTACTCCATAATGACGTCATTTGTAGAGATATAGCGTCTAAATATGTTTTCAAATGAATACGAGATATGATTTATCTAAGGTGTAATAGATAAATACTGTTAATTTTTAAAGCCCGCATCGGCCCAAAATCGGTCCGCAGGCACTCAACAGAGTACTACAAACGGCCCAAAATCGGTCCGCAGGCACTCAACAGAGTACTACAAACGGCCCAAAATCGCCCCGCAGGCACTCAACAGAGTACTACAAACGGCCCAAAATCGCCCCGCAGGCACTCAACAGAGTACTAGGAACGGCCCAAAATCGCCCCGCAGGCACTCAACAGAGTACTAGGAACGGCCCAAAATCGCCCCGCAGGCACTCAACAGAGTACTAGGAATGGCCCAAAATCTGTCCGCAGGCACTCAACAGAGTACTAGGAATGGCCCAAAATCGCCCCGCAGGCACTCAACAGAGTACTACAAACGGCCAAAAATCGGCCCCCAGGCACTCAACAGAGTACTAGGAACGGCCCAAAATCGGTCCGCAGGCACTCAACAGAGTACTAGGAATGGCCCAAAATCGCCCCGCAGGCACTCAACAGAGTACTAGGAACGGCCCAAAATCGCCTCGCAGGCACTCAACAGAGTACTAGGAACGGCCCAAAATCGCCCCGCAGGCACTCAACTACAACCGGCCCAAAATCGCCCCGCTGGCACTCAACAGAGTACTACAAACGGCCCAAAATCGCCTCGCAGGCACTCAACAGAGTACTAGGAACGCCCCAAAATCGGCCCGCTAGCACTCAACAGAGTACTACAAACGGCCCAAAATCGGCCCACAGGCACTCAACAGAGTACTACAAACGGCCCAAAATCGGCCCGCTGGCACTCAACAGAGTACTACAAACGGCCCAAAATCGCCCCGCAGGCACTCAACGGAGTACTACAAACGGCCCAAAATCGGCCCCCACGCACTCAACAGAGTACTACAAACGGCCCAAAATCGCCTCGCAGGCACTCAACAGAGTACTAGGAACGCCCCAAAATCGGCCCGCTAGCTCAACACTCAGTACAAACGGCCCAAAATCGCCCCGCTGGCAACGCCCAAAAAAATCGGCCCGCTAAACGGCCCAAAATCGCCTCGCAGGCACTCAACAGAGTACTACAAACGGCCCAAAATCGGCCCACAGGCACTCAACAGAGTACTACAAACGGCCCAAAATCGCCCCGCTGGCACTCAACAGAGTACTACAAACGGCCCAAAATCGGCCCGCTGGCACTCAACGGAGTATTACAAACGGCCCAAAATCGGCGATGGCACTCAACGGAGTACTGCAAACGGCCCAAAATCGCCCCGCTGGCACTCAACGGAGTACTACAAACGGCCCAAAATCGGCGATGGCACTCAACGGAGTACTGCAAACGGCCCAAAATCGGCCCGCTGGCACTCAACGGAGTACTACAAACGGCCCAAAATCGGCCCGCTGGCACTCAGCGGAGTACTACATACCAAGTGGCATGAAGTCGCTCGTTCGTCATGTACTTTTACGGTGGATATATTTAGACAATTAGAGTAGTCAAACTGGACTCATAATGGACTGTGGACACTGAAATAGCATTAAGTCAAAACTGGGGAGTAAACGAATTAGGTCATTTAATTTGTAAAAAAAATACGTTTTCGCCGTAATGGCCATTTAAACAAGTTACTTGTTCGGTAGCAAGGACATTCACAGAAAAACGTAATGGTTTCCAGCATTAAAAGTACGTTGTTGACATCCAAACAATTTGAGTCGTTGTTATTTAGATAAACTATCGTTAATAATTCATATCAGATGGTATACAGGCACAGATACAGTTCACATCATGGTAAACCTGAGCAGAAATACATACAGTTTAAAATACCAAGAATTTTGACAAGATTTTTTTTTCAAATATCTTCAGATTTTTTGTGGCTCAAGAGGAAAATTATTCATGAAAGTGACTTGTTGTCAGTAGTAAGTTCCAATCTGTCTGGTTAGTGACAAAATCGTGTTAAAGTATTATCACACAATCTGGTACTTGGATAAAAGACTTAACAACGTAAGGTCACGCCATCTAGTTGAATCTGGATATTGTTGTTATCTCCCCTTGGTGAATGCATATGAATGTTGTGTAACACAGCAACAAAAAATTGTCAATTTTGATACCCGAATAAAGAACATCAAAGTTTTATATCTTTAACAGTCACTGATTCACTTCCGGTAAGATTTACTTCCGTTGTCTTGTTGGTATCCTCGTCTGTCCTCGTGTGCCCAATAAGTCGTATCGTTTCGTCTGACTCTCCGTATAGTCCTTTACAGTAAAGCCACATCATATTGACTAGGATAACAAACAATGCCAGGCTTATCCACTGAAAAGAATTTACAAATATACATCAGTTTAAAGAAACACCTAAACGAATTATAATTTCAGTAAATTATTTCCGAAATAACATTGCATCATCTATTTATTTCGTCTCTCTTGAACAACAGCATTTACCAGAGTTGTCGTTCCTTACAGTCACAAGATGGTATCGCAATGCACTGTGGGGGAAAATGTTGTGTATAATTCGATTGGATTGCCTGCTTTTCTATTTTCACTCTAACGATCGCAGCCTAGCGGAGAAAAGTTGTAACTACGGCCGGTAATCCAGTCTGGTGTCAAATCCGATAAAAAAAAAAAAAAACAAAAAAAACGAGCGAAGCACCAGGAAATCCGAAAAGAGAAATTGTGTGATCTAATCCTATAATTCAATAGGAATGTTGTTTTAAAAGTTTTAAAATGGCGTCTAATACTTCTGTAGGATAAGATTTTTGTAGCTAAATATATTACAACATTCAGCAATACAAACTCTTAACAAATAAGATTAAGTACCCGACCCACGTATATATCAACATAAATACCTATGGATTTTCGAGTTACCCTCAAATTTGGGAGATAAATTATTTCCTCCTTAAATATATGTGAATACTGACAGCAAAACAAATGACACTTATACAGCTATGACTCGCACTTCCTGAGTATAATATATCCTTCTGTAATATAAGATACCAGGAATAGCATCTCATGATATGTCCTTGCCATGTTATAAAAACCTTCAGCTCTGCAAAAATACCTTTATTGTTTATACTTACTGATGATAAAACTTGTCAAGGGACTAAATTGTTATTGATTCTGTATATTTCAAATAAATGGTAGATGGACTAGTGAATACGGAAATCAGTCCTGTGATTTATAAAATTTAGCAGATAATTATGTAAAAGGGAAATAACTATTTTGATGTGTTTAATTCTCCTTTCGTATTTTATGATCTTCAGCAGATTATTGTGTATAATCAAAGGGAAATAACTCTTTTGATGTGTTTAATTCTGATTTAGAAGTTTATAATCTTCAATAAGTTTTATGCATAATCAAAGGGAAGTAACTCTTCTGATGCGTTTAATTCTGCTTTAGAGGTTTATAATAATCAGCAGGTTATTGTGCATAATCAAAGGGAAATAACTCTGGTGTGTTTAATTCTGCTTGAGCTGTTGTCAAGATTCAACAAAAGCCTTCTGATGGTACCATTTTTTTTAACCATGTGATCTTCACCGTGACCTTTGATCTGCATTTGTAAAACTTAAACATTCGCCTCAACTATTGCACTGTCAGATGTAGGCTTTAATATTTGACAGAGTTACGCCCCTTGAACTTTCCAGTAATTCACAGTTTGCGTTCGTTATCTAAGCTACGGGCACACATATTGAACATTTTGCAGTTTCGCTCATTACCCCAGTATACAAGCGCATTTTGTGCATAAGTGTGAGTTCATATCGAAGTTTTGTTTTGCCTCAGATGTGATGTAGAAGATTTTCAATTATTGAATGGAGTTTCAGACCTTGAATGAGTCAACAATGTATTTATGGTAAGTTTTCATTAACAGTATATGGCTTTACGTAGCTTCTTCTACTGATCTCTCTTTCCTTCTTCGGCTCACCATTGATGGGTATAAAGTAATGGAAAAATTCATTGTAGAACTTTTCCCTTGATTGTACGGGTCCTTCTTGAATAATGAACTTTTATTGTGTAATAATTTGATTTAAAAAACATCATAACCACAATGAAGACATCAGCGTTTCACAAATTGTACAAGCATTTGTAATGTCCTACTTCAGAATTGTGTTGCAAACGGGGGCAAAGTGTTTCATAAACACATCTTGTTTGTTATTGTTATTATTAATCTGGGATTTAGGGTCCCTTGAGACTCCACCAATGATAGTGCGAACAACAATACTCAAGGAGTTGTCGTCCCTTACATTTACAATGTAGGGTACCGCAATTGCATGTGGGAGAGTTTGGTTGGTGTGATGTGTAATTTGTTACTCAGGCTTAATAGCTTTCATATTTCACGGAAACATTTCAAAGAACGACAGCTCTAATGAATTAAATGGCAAAACTTTACGCAGATCAAGTGCCTAACTTTTTTGTAAACTTGTAACAATGAGGCCAGCGATACCAAACTGTTGCAATTGCAGCCATTTGCATAATTCTTGTAATAAAGATCTAAATGCCGAACTGTTGAGAACTTGTATAATTATACCTACTTGTACTATTGTCACCATGAAAGTCTCCGTGCCGAACTCGTACCACTTCTCTTCCAAATCAGCCTCGTCCTGAATCAAATCTACAGCCCACCACACCAAAATGACCAGTGCTTCTATAGGGGCGATAACTCTGAAAATTAAAAGCAGTAAACAATATAAAAAGTGTTCTCACTCCCTTTCTATAAAGTATAAATGTTTAGGGTTCTATAGTTGTTTCGTTACTGGGAAAAACCCCTCCGCATTAATACATGTCGATTTCTCATTTTAGTTTGAGGGCTGCGATGGTCAAGTGGATAAGGCTTCTGACCGGTTTTTATCATTTGCCCTCCACCTCTTGATCGCCGGTTCCAGGCCTACGCGGGGCAACCATCAGGTACTGGCCACAGGTCGGAGGTTTTCCTCCGGGAACTCCAACGTTCTTCCATCAACCGCACATGGTAGGTCCTTAAATGACCCTGGTTGTCAATAGGACGTGAAGCAATAATAAAGCACGTTTTAGTTAACATGTTTGTTTTGAATGCTTATTTACACAATATCTACACAGGCACTTGTTAAACTACATGTACCTAGAAACTAACTTCAATTTCTATCAGTTTAAGTCGTACTAATGCCTGGTTTCTAGTGATAATGGAAAAGCCCGTATACTTACAGCACAATCCATTTCCAGATAGCCGGTAGTTTCCAGTCATCAATTCCATAATCATTGAACATGTTGAGTCGGAATCTGTTTAATCCATATCTGATGACAAGGTACTGAAGCATAAGGCCATTGATGAGAAGAGCAAACGCCCATACAAAGTCCTGGAAAAAATATTAAAGTTTTATAAATGCAAGAAAATACCGGCAATGCAGAAAAATCTCTTAATTCAAGCCAAAATCTAAGGAGACAAGGAAAATTATTAACATAAGAAAGATTCACAAGAGGACAACATGAACAGTGCTTCGGAAGTATAAACTTTTTCTGCTTCATCGACGACACTCGTTGTGTTCAATTTAAGTAAGTCAAGTCGCGTTCCCAAATTAGATGAGAACAAGATGAACAACCATGGAGCTAACAGCCAAATTATCGAGTAACATATACGTCCGTATTCATGTCACACAAGGAAATCAAACGGTTCCATGCTGGGTAAAATTCCGTAATTTTCATCAACCTGCATTTCTCGAAACCCTGTGTTGCGAATCAATCTGTCCGTTGCCGACATCTTTCACGATAATCGTGAAATTGGGAACAAGCCCTTCAATATCGAATCGGTTTGGGACGCAGACATTTAAACAATGACCCAATTTTCGACCGGCTGTTATTGGAGACTTACGTATGAATAAATATATCAATAAATAAATTCGTCTCAAAAAGAAATTGAAACTTTGGTAGTTCATTTTAAATTTAGTCATTACATGATTGAATGTGTGATTATTTTGATAGAGTCACGATGGTGAGGGTATAAAACCGAAATGATCTTATCTAAACTAGCAATCTGTAGTGTCCGTGGATGCATTAAAAAGATTTGACATAGTTTCAATAAAGCCAAGATTTTGTCTTCTTTATAGAACCAGAATACGACAGGAGTTTGAAGTCACAATGCTTTTAGAATTAACGATTAATTAATAGAACCAAGTATCCGACTTCTATAAATATTGATGTATGAGATATCCAGGATACTAAATAGCTTTATCAAAACACGAAGTCTGTATACATATCTTATATATAGACAAATATCGTCTGTATGTATTCACCAATAAACCTGTAAAAATGGTACATAATCTTAAAATTTGAAACGATTTATTTGGTCTTGGCTTTGGAATAGGGACCAATATTCTCGATTGAGAACCTTTTGCGCGGAATCGTTCGAGGAGACAATTTGGAGACCTTCTGCCAAACACTTTAAACAACAAAATGTTTTGGCCAGATTGGATTATTGAACAGAAACTATTTTTTCCGAATCGAAAACAAATAGATAATATAGGCGTTCCGGAAATTCTGATAATCCGTAGAAGAGTTCGCACCAATGACAAAAAACTGTAGCATACTTAGTACTAAAATATATAATTTGTTACTTGTCCTCAAAACCAAAATTGTACAGACTATTGATAGTCAACTGTGGTTACATTTTACAGATAACACAGATCCCGATATCTGATATGTCAGTATATCTATATATGTAAATATCGATACCTGATTGGTCAGTATATTTATATCCACCGCTGACATCACGCCTACACCAAATGTTAGCAGCACTGTACCGGGCATACCAAACTTCCGGGGCACTACAACATAGAGGATTTCCGAATGTGATATTGTTGTGATACTTCTTTATTTATTTCCACGTTCTGGTAAATATCACAATGAAAATAAATATAAGGAGACTAGATTTTTACCCTAAAAGATGTTATGCAGTAAAATAAATGTCCTTTGATCTTCAATAAACTTTGGAGTTTGTTTAATTTCTTTGTTGATGTTGATGTTGTTGTCGTTGTCGTAAACAAGTTTCAAATCTTTCATTTATACTTACGTCCGAAATCCTCAAGTGTGTGACAAACTAGCTCCATATTCGAGATAAGGGACGTAACTCCCGCACAAGACAAGCACAAGAAGAAAAGTATGGCGAGAACTCGTCCAAATGCTCCAAGTGTAGAGAAAAGTACAGGGATCCTGTGGTGGTGAAAATTTACAAAATGCGTATTTTATATTTCATTTGACCATATTTCACAATGAAACAAAAAACAAATTAGAAAATAAACAGAAAATACACAAAACAAATTGAAAGAAGAATGACAGACATCAAGAAAGCTACCATACCATATAAAGGTGAGACCAGTACTAGCAGGTCCACTTTCCTTCAGGATAGTCACAATGTCGCTCCTAGCCAGAAACGGACGGTTGATGATCAGGGTCGAAAATACTGTAGAAAATATCAGCATCCCGCATATCAAGCTGTGGAATAAATGGTAATGAAACGGAATAAAATAATAAAAAAAAAGGGGGGGGGGCATTGTTAAAGTGACAGTAAAGTGACAGTATCCTGTACATGATGACATGGTAAGGATGACAGTATACTGTAAATGATGACATGGTTAAGATGACAGTATACTGTAAATGACGACATGGTTAAGATGACAGTATACTGTACATGATGACATGGTTAAGATGACAGTATACTGTAAATGATGACATGGTTAAGATGACAGTATACTGTAAATGATGACATGGTTAAGATGACAGTATCCTGTTAGTGATCAAATGGTTAAGATATGGTGATATTAGCCTCAACGTTACAATTACTTCTTAGACATTATAAAAGTGCAGCTTTGAATCGTTACAGTCGCCAGCTACATATACCTTTTTAATTACAACTCGTGTGTATGTCAGTAAGAAAAGGCGGAAAACAGTTACTTGTTCCGACGTAGAATTTTTTTCATATCTAGAGTGATAAACTAAAGAACAACTTTTGGAAAGAGTTACCTAACGATGTTATTGGTTGCCGGTATGAGCGTGGCGTACTTGACGATCGCGTGGTCACGTGTCATGAAGGATGAGTACGGTATCATGAGACCCATGCCTGCTCCGGTGTCGAACGCATTCTGACTAATGGCATCCACCCAGAGACGAGGCTTTCCCAACGACTCTGAAGATGAGAGGAAACTATTTCTAAAATAGGCTTTATCCAATTTTTCCCTCACGTTGTCAAGGAGGAAATAAAAGTACTAAGGAAATCCAGGTAAGGACTGAAACCTGTGACCGGTTAGGGCCGCCATGACAGGCCTCAACCGGCCATCCTACCATACCGACAGTCATTTAGATTGGTGTTTTGTTCAAGACAAAATAGATAGAAGTTCCTACAAATTCCCCGAATGGGCTTTCTGTCTCCAACATTTCATTATATACGCTTAATCGAAACACTCATATTCACTGTCATTTTGCAACTGAGTCCACGGTAGGGAAACTACGTCACAATATGGCGCATGTATCTCTCGCTTCGCGATAAGTCTGTCTTACTTTTTACTCTTATCCCACGATTTCCCATTTATCGATATGGTCGAAAGTACATTTGATACATCCAAGATTACTTGACTGGCAACGAATTACTCGCAGAATATGTCGTTGTTTCAAACATTCAAAGACCATCGTCATATACTCTTAACTTTGACGGTGTTTTCGTCAGGACAAACACTTAAAATTTTAGCAATAATCCACACACAAGTCATTTATCTCATGAAACAACATATTGATGATATTTAAATACACCTGCAAAACGCTTTGGGGTAAACTGCATTATCTAATGTATGAAGGACAATGACTATTGGGACCAGGCTATATTTCCAGAATCATTATGAAGTTTCTGATATACTGATAGAAAGTTTATTATTTAGTTTCTTACCCCAGTCAGGAGTGAAAAGAAATTTAATTCCGTAATCCGCATACTCCCTCGTCAATGACCAAACAAATGTGAAAAGTATTATTAGAAGCAGCACCGGGACAAGCACCATGTTGACTTTCTCAAACGTTTTGACGCCCTTGATCACAGCAAATCCCGCCGACAATAAAGCTAATGAATGGGTTAGGATAGGCCAATAACTTTCCTGTTAAAAAAGGAAACGTTTCTGCTGTGTCAGAGAAATATAATTGTAGAAAACAAAAACAAGCAACAAACAAAAAATGCATATATATAATTATATATAGTTACGTTTTAATTAAATTTTCGATCTGAGTGTTTTGAAATGTCATTTAATTGATAAAATATTTTAATTGTTTTATGCCAATTTAAATGCTACAACTGTACTCGTTCATTTCAAGAACTGACGGCATCCTCTGACGAAGTAATATGTTGACGTCACTACTATCACTTTCTTGATATAAAGCATAGAGAGTATATACATACTACTACAATAATAACTCACTTTTGCGAAATCATTGAATATGTTGAGGCTGACGTCATCGTCTTCAGGAAGTTCATGGGCAATACAGTAATAAACGTAGTAAAAACACCAGCCCAGGACAACGGAATAGTAACAACTGTGAACAATAAAGGATGATAAACATCAGCCCAGAACAAAGGATTATTTACAACTGTAAACGACAAAGGATGATAAATATCAGCCCAGGACAACGGAATAGTAACATCTGTAAACAATAAAGGATGATAAATATCAGCCCAGGACAACGGAATAGTAACATCGGTAAACAATAAAGGATGATAAATATCAGCCCAGGACAACGGAATAGTAACATCTGTAAACAATAAAGGATGATAAATATCAGCCCAGGACAACGGAATAGTAACATCTGTAAACAATAAAGGATGATAAATATCAGCCCAGGACAACGGAATAGTAACATCTGTAAACAACAAAGGATGATAAACATCAGTCTAGGACAACGGAATAGTAACATCTGTAAACAACAAAGGATGATAAACATCAGTCTAGGACAACGGAATAGTAACAACTGTAAACAACAACGGGTAATAAACATCAGCCCAGGACAACGGAATAGTAACATCTGTAAACAACAAAGGATGATAAACACCAGTCCAGGACAACGGAATAGTAACATCTGTAAACAACAAGGGGTAATAAACATCAGCCCAGGACAACGGAATAGTAACATCTGTAAACAACAACGGGTAATAAACATCAGCCCAGGACAACGGAATACTAACATCTGTAAACAACAAGGGGTAATAAACATCAGCCCAGGACAACGGAATAGTAACATCTGTAAACAACAAAGGATGATAAACACCAGTCCAGGACAACGGAATAGTAACATCTGTAAACAACAAGGGGTAATAAACATCAGCCCAGGACAACGGAATAGTAACATCTGTAAACAACAACGGGTAATAAACATCAGCCCAGGACAACGGAATAGTAACAACTGTAAACAACAACGGGTAATAAACATCAGCCCAGGACAACGGAATAGTAACATCTGTAAACAACAAAGGATGATAAACATCAGCCCAGGACAACGGAATAGTAACAACTGTGAACAATAAAGGATGATAAACATCAGCCCAGGACAAAGGATTATTTACAACTGTAAACGACAAAGGATGATAAACATCAGCCCAGGACAACGGAATAGTAACATCGGTAAACAATAAAAGACGATAAACATCAGCCCAGGACAAAGGATTATTTACAACTGTAAACAATAAAGGATGATAAATATCAGCCCAGGACAACGGAATAGTAACATCTGTAAACAATAAAGGATGATAAATATCAGCCCAGGACAACGGAATAGTAACATCGGTAAACAATAAAGGATGATAAATATCAGCCCAGGACAACGGAATAGTAACATCTGTAAACAATAAAGGATGATAAACATCAGCCCAGGACAACGGAATAGTAACATCTGTAAACAATAAAGGATGATAAATATCAGCCCAGGACAACGGAATAGTAACATCTGTAAACAACAAAGGATGATAAACATCAGTCTAGGACAACGGAATAGTAACATCGGTAAACAACAACGGGTAATAAACATCAGCCCAGGACAACGGAATAGTAACATCGGTAAACAATAAAAGACGATAAACATCAGCCCAAGACAAAGGAATATTTACAACTGTAAACGACAAAGGATGATAAACATCAGCCCAGGACAACGGAATAGTAACATCTGTAAACAACAAGGGGTAATAAACATCAGCCCAGGACAACGGAATAGTAACATCTGTAAACAACAAAGGATGATAAACATCAGTCTAGGACAACGGAATAGTAACATCTGTAAACAACAAGGGGTAATAAACATCAGCCCAGGACAACGGAATAGTAACATCTGTAAACAACAACGGGTAATAAACATCAGTCTAGGACAACGGAATAGTAACATCTGTAAACAACAAAGGATGATAAACATCAGCCCAGGACAACGGAATAGTAACATCTGTAAACAACAAAGGATGATAAACACCAGTCCAGGACAACGGAATAGTAACATCTGTAAACAACAAGGGGTAATAAACATCAGCCCAGGACAACGGAATAGTAACATCTGTAAACAACAACGGGTAATAAACATCAGCCCAGGACAACGGAATAGTAACATCTGTAAACAACAAGGGGTAATAAACATCAGCCCAGGACAATGGGATAGTAACAACTGTATACAACAAGGGGTAATAAACATCAGCCCAGGACAACAGAATAGTAACATCTGTAAACAACAAGGGGTAATTAACATCAGTCCAGGACAACGGAATAGTAACATCTGTAAACAACAAGGGGTAATTAACACCAGTCCAGGACAACGGAATAGTAACATCTGTAAACAACATCCGGTGATTAACATCAGCTCAAATAAATGGATGGAGTGCCGGCCATTGTTTGGATATTAGAAATATTTCCCCTCACATACATTAATGATAACAGATCAACTGACTCTTTATGCTGCATATAATAATCTATTCTTAAACACATTGGAGGCGGAGAGAACTACTCACGATATCAGGAAGGTGACCATTGATATCCATGCGCCACACCATGCTGCCTTATCACCGAGAATTTTGCGGAAGGATTCAATAATGGCTTTTTTAGTGTAGCGTCCAGTCCCATACTCGATAATCAGCATAGGGCTGGACCACAGAAACAGGAACAACATCCATACTATCAGAAACACCAATCCACCTGGAATAAAATAAATCCGGATAAATCAGTCAGTTACATCGTTTTGTCAATTAGTAAACGTCCTGTTGGCATTCTACAAACAAACAGTTCATCTGGCTCAAAAAGTTTCGAAATAGAGGGATTGGAAGGCGGTCGAAGGTCGGGATTTACGTATCGATTGAAATGAGAAGTAAATGTAATTTAAACAAATTAAGAAAAAAAATATAAAGAAAATAAGAAAGAAGTTTGACAAAATCTGTGATATGTTGAGTTGATCTGTCATGCCAACACCGTATATATGAGCCACAGAGTAAGATATACCAGCATATTGAATTCGGTCACACTTAGAACGACTATATAACGTAGTAAATGGTTTGTTTTTTTTTTCTATGCGTAAATAATGGTTTATACCTTCGTTTTCGCTATTGGTGGCGACGATTCGCGGAAAACGCCAGATGTTACCGGTACCCACGACACATCCTAGACAGGAGCAGATCAGTCCTAACTTGGTACTGAACCGTGGGGTAGCTTGGAGCTCCCTGTCCTGGAAAACCAATCCATAGTTCATTTATTATGACCATGTGAGTCTTTCCTTCGTGATGTATCGGAAGATATGTTTGGTGATAACACTACACCAAAGCTATGTTCGCGGAGTAGATCCCTGGGGTTGATGAATTTCAATAGATTGAAAAATAAGGCAATTGCCGGACACAACCACACAAATACTGAAATTTTGAAGTTTGGGGAAAAATGGAATGCTACATTTTTTTGTATATCTACTTGAGATGTTTAATTTGCTGGAATATATATTATCAATGTAATTTTTATTTAATCATTATAATTTTCCGGTTTCTTTTAATTATTATGTTCGTTAATAACAAAACATGACCATCTGTATACAGTTCCGATATTTCATATATTCATAATAATTATCATTATCATCATCATAATCATTATTAATATCATTATCATATCATTATCATATTATTATTACTATTATCGGTATTATCATATCATTATCATATTATTATTACTATTATTAGTGTTATTATATCATTATCATATTATTATTACTATTACCAGTGTTATATCATTATCATATTATTATTACTATTATCAGTGTTATTATATCATTATCATATTATTATTACTATTATCAGTGTTATTATATCATTATCATATTATTATTACTATTATCAGTGTTATTATATCATTATCATATTATTATTACTATTATTAGTGTTATTATATCATTATCATATTATTATTACTATTACCAGTGTTATATCATTATCATATTATTATTACTATTACCAGTGTTATATCATTATCATATTATTATTACTATTATCAGTGTTATTATATCATTATCATATTATTATTACTATTATCAGTGTTATTATATCATTATTACTATTATCAGTGTTATTATATCATTATCATATTATTATTACTATTACCAGTGTTATATCATTATCATATTATTATTACTATTATCAGTGTTATTATATCATTATCATATTATTATTACTATTATCAGTGTTATTATATCATTATTACTATTATCAGTGTTATTATAACATTATTATATTATTATTACTATTATCAGTGTTATCATATCATTATCATATTATTATTACTATTATCAGTGTTATTATATCATTGTCATATTATTATTACTATTACCAGTGTTATTATATCATTATCATATTATTATTACTATTATCAGTGTTATTATATCATTATCATATTATTATTACTATTATCAGTGTTATTATATCATTATCATATTATTATTACTATTATCAGTGTTATTATATCATTATCATATTATTATTACTATTATCAGTGTTATTATATCATTATTACTATTATCAGTGTTATTATATCATTATTACTATTATCAGTGTTATTATATCATTATCATATTATTATTACTATTATCAGTGTTATTATATCATTATCATATTATTATTACTATTATCAGTGTTATTATATCATTATCATATTATTATTACTATTATCAGTGTTATTATATCATTATCATATTATTATTACTATTATCAGTGTTATTATATCATTATCATATTATTATTACTATTACCAGTGTTATTATATCATTATCATATTATTATTACTATTACCAGTGTTATATCATTATCATATTATTATTACTATTATCAGTGTTATTATATCATTATCATATTATTATTACTATTATCAGTGTTATTATATCATTATCATATTATTATTACTATTATCAGTGTTATTATATCATTATCATATTATTATTACTATTACCAGTGTTATATCATTATCATATTATTATTACTATTACCAGTGTTATTATATCATTATCATATTATTATTACTATTACCAGTGTTATCATATCATTATCATATTATTATTACTATTATTAGTGTTATTATATCATTATCATATTATTATTACTATTATCAGTGTTATTATATCATTATCATATTATTATTCCTATTATCAGTGTTATTATATCATTATCATATTATTATTACTATTATTAGTGTTATTATTATTATTATCATTACTATTTTCATTACCATTTAAGTGGTAAACCGTATTCCAATAATGTAAACGTAGACACATATCTGTGTTGAGCACTGCAGACAAGTCTACCAACTAGGTGGTTCAGTGTCATTAGGGTAATTAAATAATATATATATAATGTTATAAGTAACAGTCTGGATTCTAACAAAAGCTTTCTATCGAACACCAGTAAATTAACATTCTGAAATCCTTCAACAGAGTATGACAAAATTGCATCATATTATATCATGATATGAATAAAACTATGGAATATCTGTTAATCTTCAGATCTGGCCATCTGACAGATAACGTCTCTGATGCTGATGTACGACAGGAGTCTGTCTGAGGTCCATAATTACAAATTACACAAACAAATTTCCAAAATGTTCATGAAAAAACTACATTTACTACTACATATATCATATATGTTTTGAGTACCTTCATGCTTGTATTACGTAGAAAATTCGTAAAAATATAAGAGGAATAGATATTTTGATATATTCTGTTCTTACTTCAATTAATTCAAGTCCTCGGTTGGGTCATGCAAATCACTATACTTTAAGCAGAGTTCTACCTTAGAGTTCAGCCAAACAGCACGTCTCTCAGCGAATTACCTTCTGTAGGTCAAGTTGATGCACACGGAATACATATTAAAATATGTTCCAAATTACCGAGCAGATCAACCTCACACGTTGAAATCCCATTACGTGAAGAGAAACCACCTCACCATATTTGGGATGCAAGAGGTCGGAACATCGTGGAACTGACCACTGGTCAATCAATCCTATTTTAATTACCTAGACTGCTCGAACCTAGCCACCTGTTGAATCAATGTCGTACGCAGGGACCACGTCACAAAAAATTTAAAGCAGTGGCTAGAGTAGTGATGTACCTGAGGACTGACCATTGGTCAAACCCAAATCATTCTCCTTATTTGTAAAATGAAGGAATGCCCTCAGTTTTGCTATAATGCTCTGTCGGTCAGTCAAATCTCCAGTTAGTAGCTGACTGACAAAGAGGCTGTTATGAATTTTGTTCAAAATCAGAATGTTTATATCATATAAGCGTTATTGCTTTTAATAAGAATTTTATTATATGAATGTTGTATGTTCATATTCTGTTAATAAAGGTTAGTAGCTGACTGACAAAGAGGCTGTTACTTGTTTTAAAAGGTTCATTGTACCCGAGGGGGAAGCAACTTTCGTTTCGAGTTTGTTACGTTTACACAAAGTTATTTAATATTTGGCTAGATCAATCCTTAACTTGTGTCGCTTTTCGTAATTCTGGCCCAATTTGTCCCCTTTTTCCCGTCATTTGTATGCACACCCAATGATAAGTTATATACTTCATTTCATTGAGTTTATATTCCTGTATTGCTGTATTGTGAGTGTTTGAGCTTACCTTCCGCGTAAAATCATCCATGTTTGCTGTATTACTAGGTGTCCAATAATTTAAATACTAAAATTACAAGATTTCTTCAATTTATCTATCACCGATATCAATTGCCCTCTTATTTTCTTTATCTTTTCTTTTCTTTTTTAATTTGGGTCCAGCTTAAATATCAAGTACTCTTAGGACTCAAAATACTGCACTGTATAGTCACGTGACAATGGTATTTTACATAATGATTTGAGTACGCATGTAAATTGTCTGAAAATGAATGTGCCTAATTTTGCAATAAATAACTTATATTTACGTAACTATACAATGTTAATTTAGCTGACTTAATCAATACGGAACATCTAGGACAAATAATGCGGTGTGACGTCACAGTCATGAGTAAGGTAGAAAGCTACCACGCGAAATGTGAAGTTTATAGGTCAATATTACTGTGCTGGGTGTGATAGAAATTTCAACCAATTATTTGGTTCTGTATCCGTATGTGTGTGCACGTGTGTATTCGTGCACGTGTGTGTGCACGTGTAGGCTAATGTCGTTTATAACATTGGCAGTCCCATGCACTGCTACATGTGTGTTATATGTGATTGATGATCACCTCTATTTTTCATTTTTTTCTTATCATTATGAAATGTATCCTTTTTATCTGGATTTCGTTATCTTATGGTGTGTGTTTTAAAGGTTTTAAATTATAAAGAAAATACCTTTGTAATGTCAGTGTAAATTGTATTTGGTTACTTCTGTTTTCATTGACAAAAGTTAAGCGGGCTGACTTTTATCGTTGATTATGAAAAAACAACCTTGTGTAAATTTTTATTTACAAAATTATCGTTTACCCACGAAGACAACGTGTGAGACATAACGCCATTGTTAATGGTTTTAATCTCGCGGTGCAAAATGTCGCAATTTGAACGTGTGACGTATTTTGTGTTTCTATAATTTGCTGTGGTGACAATTAGATCATCTTTGGTTTAATTAACGTGACTACCTACTGGCAAATTAATGTTTTCTTCCCACATAACATTCGTGTAAACATATATTAACGATGTGCGGTATAAACAGATTAAGTTATGTTATCATACCGAATATTATGTAAATAATGGCTATCATGCAGTGGTTTTACCGTTCATAAATTAGACACATTATGTCATGATTTCGTAACTGTGTAACTATATGGCGAGGGACGTTTTAACAAGGGATTACTGTTCATTGTCGAGAGAATTATATCAAGATTTTAATGTAAATAAACAAGCGACATTATATTGTGGTGAACTGTATATTATAGACAGCCATTATATCAAGATATATTGTATATAAGCTAGGGACGCTATATCGAGGTTTACTGTATATTACAGAGAGGCATTATATCAAGATATACTGTATATAAGCTAGGAACAGTATATCGTGGTAAACTGTATATTACAGAGAGACATTATATCAAGATACACTTATATTGTATATAAGCTAGGGACGGTATATAGAGGTAAACTTGTATTACAGACAGGCATTATATCAAGATATACTGTATATAAACTAAGGACGGTATATCGAGGTAAACTAGCTGTTTATTACAGAGAGACATTATATCAAGATATATTGTATATTGCAGCTAGGGACGGTATATCGAGGTTTACTGTGTATTATAGACAGGCATTATATCAAGATATACTGTATATAAGCTAGGAACAGTATATCGAGGTTAGCTGTTTATTACAGAGAGACATTATATCAAGATACATTGTATATTGCATATAAGCTAGGGACGGTATATCGAGGTTAACTTGTATTACAGACAGACAGTATATCAAGATATACTGTATATAAGCTAGGGACGGTATATCGAGTTAACTGTATATTACAGACAGACAGTATATCAAGATATATTGTATATAAGATAGGGACGCTATATCGAGGTTAACTGTATATTACAGAGAGGCATTATATCAAGATACATTGTATATTGCATATAAGCTAGGGACGGTATATCGAGGTTTACTGTATATTACAGACAGACATTATATCAAGATATATATATAAGCTAGGGACGGTATATCGAGGTTTATATATTACAGAGAGACATTATATCAAGATACACTGTATATAAGCTAGGGACGGTATATCGAGGTTTACTTATTACAGACAGACATTATATCAAGATATATTGTATATAAGCTAGGGACGGTATATCGAGGTTTACTGTATATTATAGACAGGCATTATATCAAGATACATATAAGTATATAAGCTAGGGACGGTATATCGAGGTAAACTTGTATTACAGACAGACATTATATCAAGATATATTGTATATGAGCTAGGGACGGTATATCGCGGTTTACTGTATATTACAGACAGGCATTATATCAAGATATACTGTATATAAGCTAGGACAGTATAGAGGTTAGCTGTTTATATATCGAGGTTAGCTGTTTATTACAGAGAGACATTATATCAAGATACATTGTATATTGCATATAAGCTAGGGACGGTATATCGAGGTTAACTTGTATTACAGACAGACAGTATATCAAGATATACTGTATATAAGCTAGGGACGGTATATCGAGTTAACTGTATATTACAGACAGACAGACAGTATATCAAGATATATTGTATATAAGCTAGGGACGCTATATCGAGGTTAACTGTATATTACAGAGAGGCATTATATCAAGATACATTGTATATTGCATATAAGCTAGGGACGGTATATCGAGGTTTACTGTATATGACAGACAGACATTATATCAAGATACACTATATATAAGCTAGGGACGCTATATCGAGGTTTACTGTATATTACAGAGAGACATTATATCAAGATACACTGTATATAAGCTAGGGACGGTATATCGAGGTAAACTTGTATTACAGACAGACATTATATCAAGATATATTGTATATAAGCTAGGGACGGTATATCGAGGTTTACTGTATATTATAGACAGGCATTATATCAAGATACACTGTATATAAGCTAGGGACGGTATATCGAGGTAAACTTGTATTACAGACAGACATTATATCAAGATATATTGTATATGAGCTAGGGACGGTATATCGAGGTTTACTGTATATTATGGACAGGCATTATATCAAGATATACTGTATATAAGCTAGGAACAGTATATCGAGGTTAGCTGTTTATTACAGAGAGACATTATATCAAGATACATTGTATATTGTATATAAGCTAGGGACGGTATATCGAGGTTAACTTGTATTACAGACAGACAGTATATCAAGATATACTGTATATAAGCTAGGGACGGTATATCGAGTTAACTGTATATTACAGACAGACAGACAGTATATCAAGATATATTGTATATAAGCTAGGGACGCTATATCGAGGTTAACTGTATATTACAGAGAGGCATTATATCAAGATACATTGTATATAAGCTAGGGACGGTATATCGAGGTTTACTGTATATTACAGACAGACATTATATCAAGATACACTATATATAAGCTAGGGACGCTATATCGAGGTTTACTGTATATTACAGAGAGACATTATATCAAGATATATTGTATATAAGCTAGGGACGGTATATCGAGGAAAACTTGTATTACAGACAGACATTATATCAAGATATATTGTATATAAGCTAGGGACGGTATATCGAGGTTTACTGTATATTATAGACAGGCATTATATCAAGATACACCGTATATAAGCTAGGGACGGTATATCGAGGTAAACTTGTATTAAGATATATTGTATATGAGCTAGGGACATATATCGATTTACTGTATATTATAGACAGGCATTATATCAAGATATACTGTATATAAGCTAGGAACAGTATATCGAGGTTAGCTGTTTATTACAGAGAGATATTATATCAAGATACATTGTATATTGTATATAAGCTAGGGACGGTATATCGAGGTTAACTTGTATTACAGACAGACAGTATATCAAGATATACTGTATATAAGCTAGGGACGGTATATCGAGTTAACTGTATGTTACAGACAGACAGTATATCAAGATATATTGTATATAAGCTAGGGACGCTATATCGAGGTTTACTGTATTACAGACAGGCATTATATGAAGATATACTTTATATAAGCTAGGGACGGTATATCGCGGTTTACTGTATATTACAGACAGGCATTATATCAAGATATACTGTATATAAGCTAGGAACAGTATATCGAGGTTAGCTGTTTATTACAGAGAGACATTATATCAAGATACATTGTATATTGCATATAAGCTAGGGACGGTATATCGAGGTTAACTTGTATTACAGACAGACATATATCAAGATATACTGTATATAAGCTAGGGACGGTATATCGAGTTAACTGTATATTACAGACAGGCATATATCAAGATATATTGTATATAAGCTAGGGACGCTATATCGAGGTTATATCGAGGTTAGTATATTACAGAGAGACATTATATCAAGATACACTTATATTGCATATAAGCTAGGGACGGTATATAGAGGTAAACTTGTATTACAGACAGGCATTATATCAAGATATACTGTATATAAACTAAGGACGGTATATCGAGGTTTACTGTATGTTATAGACAGGCATTATATCAAGATATACTGTATATAAGCTAGGGACGCTATATCGAGGTTAACTGTATTACAGACAGGCATTATATCAAGATATACTGTATATAAGCTAGGGACAGTATATCGACGTTAAAGGTATATTACAGACAGGCATTATATGAACATATACTGTATATAAGCTAGGGACGGTATATCGAGGTAAACTTGTATTACAGACAGACATTATATCAAGATATATTGTATATGAGCTAGGGACGGTATATCGAGGTTTACTGTATATTATAGACAGGCATTATATCAAGATATACTGTATATAAGCTAGGAACAGTATATCGAGGTTAGCTGTTTATTACAGAGAGATATTATATCAAGATACATTGTATATTGTATATAATAAGCTAGGGACGGTATATCGAGGTTAACTTGTATTACAGACAGACAGTATATCAAGATATACTGTATATAAGCTAGGGACGGTATATCGAGTTAACTGTATGTTACAGACAGAGAGTATATCAAGATATATTGTATATAAGCTAGGGACGCTATATCGAGGTTTACTGTATTACAGACAGGCATTATATGAAGATATACTTTATATAAGCTAGGGACGGTATATCGCGGTTTACTGTATATTACAGACAGGCATTATATCAAGATATACTGTATATAAGCTAGGGACGCTATATCGCGGTTTACTGTATGTTATAGACAGGCATTATATCAATATATACTGTATATAAGCTAGGGACGCTATATCGAGGTTTACTGTATGTTATAGACAGGCATTATATCAATATATACTGTATATAAGCTAGGGACGCTATATCGAGGTTTACTGTATGTTATAGACAGGCATTATATCAATATATACTGTATATAAGCTAGGGACGCTATATCGAGGTTTACTGTATGTTATAGACAGGCATTATATCAAGATATACTGTATATAAGCTAGGGACAGGATATCGTTGTTTTACTGTATATTTACAGTAAACTTACATATATAAACAATGAAAATGATTATATGAATAATTTACTCACGTCATACTCCATTTACTTACTCGCTTCTCTATTGGGTCCTCCACAGTCGACGCCATTGATAGATTGAATGATTTCATATCGTAATAAATAAGTTATCTGTACATGTACTTAAAACTATACATATTTAATATATAAGTATGTCAACACCTTTATAAAATCCATCCCATGACTCGGACAGGTGAATCAGTGTATCGTCACATGTACCACTTATCTATAGCCGTGATTAGTATCTTGTCCGATTTGGATAACCATGTTATGTTCTATTTAAGTATCATCACAGGCGGTTTAGGACCATCATCAGCGATGTTAACTAATATCATTAACGATGTTAAGAACCACCAATAGCGATGTTAAGTAATATCGTCAACGTTGTTAAGGATCATCACAAGCAATGTTAAGGACTATCATCAGTGATGTTAAGTAATACCATCAGCGATGTTTAGGATCATCATCAGTGATGTTAAGGACCATCATCAGTGATGTTAAGTGATATCATCAGTGTTGTTAAGGACCATCATCAATGATGTTAAGTACCAACACAATCGATGTTAAGGACCATCAATAGCGATGTTAAGTGATATCATCAGCGATGTTTAGGATCATCATCAGTAATGTTAAGGACCATCATCAGTGATGTTAAGTGATATCATCATTGTTGTTAAGGACCATCATCAGTGTTGTTAAGGACCATCATCAGTGATGATAAGGACCAATACAATCGATGTTAAGGACCATCAATAGCGATGTTAAGTGATATCATCAGCGATGTTTAGGATCATCATCAGTGATGTTAAGGGCCATCATCAGTGATGTTAAGAGATATCATCAGTGTTGTTAAGGACCATCATCAGTGATGTTAAGGACCAACACAATCGATGTTAAGGACCATCAATAGCGATGTTAAGTGATATCATCAGCGATGTAAAGGGCCATCACAGGCGATGTTAAGGACCATCACAGGCGGTGTTCAGGACCATCAGATGCCTGTAATGATTATAACCGGACTTATTTAACATGCCAAAGTGATAAAGCTGTAACTCAGATCGGGTAAATTGACCAAGCTATCACATTTGATTTCGATCTAGATATAAAAGCAATATTGATTAGCCCCGTTATCTTTTCTAACTGAGATTTAGATTTTTCGAACAAGTCACATGAGATATCCCCTACAGATATACTCTGATATTTTCGTCTTAACTTTTACAATATTGGAAAGACCAATGACATAACCTTTATTTTTATTATCTAATAATTCTCACAACAAGTTCTTAACACGTACATTTTTGAAGATTGTTGGTGTTCCTTAACATGGAATTTCGCATATCAGGTTTATCATCGCCACTGGACTACTCAAGCCAAACACGTGATATTTTAATTTGTTGATGTTTCTTGTTGTCTGTTTCTTTTTAATCCTGTAACATTTGTCATCCATACTATTTACTATTAAGTATGAATACAGCTTGATTTAACAGATAATATCACATTTCAAACCAAGGGAAAGGATAATACGGCTTCTAAATGATGATCCGCTACATATACACGTTCCAGTTAATGGCTTTGCTTTAGTTTGTTATGTTCGTTCAACATGTCTTCACGCTGTGGTTCATGTCACTCGGGGTGAAACACTTTCTGTCGACAAGGCTAGGGAGAATTTCACTCTGGTAGGACAATGGTTCAGAAATCAATCCTGGCGGACTCATTGATATGATAAAAACTATGTAATATCATCGTCGAGGAATTGATTCCAGAAGTATTGACAAAATGCAAAGCATGGCTCACAAGCATCATTTTTACATCTGTAAAAGTTGAGGACGAATTCTTTCCGGGAGAAGAGAGCACGCCTTAACGTACAGTATCAGTTGCTTCCATTTGAAGGGAAAGGTGTTTGTGTTGTCTGGCAGTGGTCTCGGGTACGATTCCTAGCCGGACATCGAGATCATATAATGACATATCGGCTATATCATTTTAACGTTGAAGATGTGCATCACAAGAATATCAGGTTCTACACTTGAAGTGAAATCTGTTAAATTTACTGTACCCTTATGCTACTTTCTTTTACCTCGTGTCAGAAAATTAAAACTTGAATGAAAAATAATTTCAGACACGAAAGTGTGTATTTAGATATCTGTAAATCTGAGACAGAAGCAGAGACAAAACAGACGAAGAAAAACAAATCAATATTAGCACTTTATTCCAGAACAGACACGAAAACATGCAAAAATATTCGTTAATTCATAATATTAGGAAAAAATAAATATATACATCATTTCTCATCAAAAATGTGAAAAATAGTTCAAATTTTGTAAACCATAAGTTCTAATCTGTCATATTTCAAATGTTTTCTATATTTAAACGGTTTTCTACAGAAATAACTCTTAAAAGCATTTATGCGTAATGCGACTTCTTCGCTCAACAGAAATTCGATTCAATACAAAAATTTTCTTTATCAATGGTTTGCATTAGGTATCTTTTCGTCTAATAGATTGACCCCTACCCTCTCCCCATAAACAGATCTATTTCTAGTGCCAATTCTGTTAAATGCAATAAATAAATTTACCCCTCATTAATAGTGGACTGGCCTGACTTGTGTTAATAATTACCAACGGTCTGAGCTACACGAAGAGTGGGATGACTTTTGGTGGGTATAAATTCAACTGTACACCGGGGAAAATAATTCTGTTATTGCGTCAAGATAAAGATAATCAATCATATGAAAATAAATTGTGATGATTCAGTAAAAAAAAAATGTGGTCGAGAAGATGGAGGGAAACTAATATTCAAATGTATACCAAGAAACGCCTCACGTTGGCTTAAGACTGATAATCTCACGAACCAAACACTCTATACCTATATCTAGTTATCTGAACTCCAGTGGGTCAAATTGGAGTACAATAGTAAACTTGTAAACAGAGATACGCTTGTTCAGAGAATAGTCAGCTTGACCACAAATCAACTCGCATCATGTCACGTGGTAAATGTAAGGAAATGTTGACAAGGGTTCATTATAATGATTGTATTTGTTTTCTGTGTAAGATGAAATTACACTAACAAAGACGCGTGTATGTATTAAAACAGCCAGAACACCTGGATTTGTATATCATCACAAACGACATGATAACGCACGTGTATAGTTAATGCACGCGCAAAGTCGTAATGATAATCAATGTGTGTGGTGAGCTCCGTTTTGTACCAATTCAAGGTAGTCTCTTGGGATCGAATTACATTTTGTACATCCTCCACAGCGCAAATGGGAAAGGGAATAAAATTCTTACACATCGCATATTTATCGAGAAAAACCCATAACTGACAGCTCATATCAAATCTCTTGAATTTCTTCTATCATGTAGATTATGTATTTTTCAGTTTGAGTTACGAGAGGAAAAGTGTGTAGACTGTTGAATGTTTATGCTATTGAGAAACATAGGAACAAGACCGAAAGGAATAAATATATGAAAAACAACATAAATATGTTAAATGTCTGGCCTATTTTTAAATATGTTAATTTCACCATTTTTATAACGCAAAATTGCATAGTTTGTCATCACATACGTTAAATATTCTCGTCAGATCTATCCATTCTGATACATATGTTATATACAAATAAACATTTACTTCATCTTCTAAGTAAAAGGAGTCTGTGATGTTTCAAATATCTCCCTCCTGAAGCTCGGAGTTATGATCAAATTTCACATGAATACAATTTGTTCCGTATAAAAAAAATGTTCATTGAAAATTTGTTCTATATGAAAAAAAAATACCCAAACTGCCCAGAAATCATGTAAAACATCACGGACTCCTTTCACACAGTTTACACAAATTGAACGGAAATCATACAGAGAAGAATGACGGTTGTATAGCACAAACAGGGTGGTCCACTTTGTTAGAAATCATACTGGATTGGTCCATTTGTACAGTGTGACCTTCCAGACAAAAATCTGGACACAGTGCCACACTCTGGTCTTTCTTTCCTAATTCTTCAACTTTGTCAACTTCGGCGTTCTAATACTGGCAATATCGCACCTAACAATGTCAAGTGTGATATATCTGTACAAGTTCACTAACACTGGTTTGAACGAGGACCTTATCAAAAGTCATAGACGGTACAGTCTTTGGAATCAGAATAATCTAAATGTGTCATTTATATAACTGACCATCTCAGACGTTGCAATTCCGCGTGCGCAGTTTCCATATCACATTAAATATAGCACACTGTTGTCAATTGACCATGGTATGTAACAAAGGTCTTCATTGGTCAATGTCAGCCACGTGACACAAACACAACATTTTCTTTGGCTTGCAACTCCATTTGATGAAAATTAAATCAACAGTAACCGCACTTTTCATTGGCTAATGACAACCACATGCCTTAACTATCATATCAGGAAAACGTTTTAAAACAACATTATAATTATGATCAAAATAAAGCACCGATTGGGATCCGAGTTTTGTTGGAGCACATCCTGGACTTGGAGCCTTATACGGGGTCATTAGGTGCACGAGAGTTTGTATAATTGCGTGATTGGTGGCATTCATATGGGCCCCGAGTGGAAAAGAGCACTCCCCATCACAGTAAAAAGCCTTGAATCCATCAGGGGCGATAATCCAGTTCTAAAATAAAAACAGCGTGACAAAGTTAAATTTTATTCTAGTGCATATAGAATGTTTAAAGTTCTTCTTCCGACTTGAAAAAAGTGTAAACATACTGTCCACGTGATATGTAAATGATATATGTGGCATTAAACAACGTGCTACGTAAATGGCATGTGGCCTGAAACCACGTGGTATATAAATGATATGTGACCATTTCCCGTGACCTCAAAATTCTTGCACCACCACTTCGTGCCCGTAAAATTCATGATTTTATAAAAAGAATTATCATGATGGACTTCAATAAAATCAATGATGTTCCTTTACATTTGGAATCACCTAATAAACCCAATACGGTCTTACTAATCGTAACCATTTTCTTAAATTTAAAGCTTGCAAGCATACACATGATATTGATGTTACTATCACTGGTTTTTATTAAGTGAACTTACCTGCCAACCAAGATCTCTGAACTTCATATACAATGTCCGTCTCTGGCAAGGCCATTGTCGGGGCACTCTCCTTGGAGTTCCTGGATTATTAAAAAAAACAAAGGTTCAGTTCTACATTTAAAATCATTTTAGCAATAATTATAGCAATTTAGGATGTCATTTCACGCCATATATCTCAGGACAAGCCGTGAAAGGATACATGGAAGATGGAGTCAATTACAACCTTGTAAATTGCGAAAAGGTTGCTTTAAATAATTACCGAAAACATTCGAGATGTTCCCATTCAAAATACAAAAAATGTGGATTAAATTGCTAAATTTGGAATTTTAATCGAAGATATTTATAGTTCTATAACAAGTGTTTTAATCTACAATGTAACTATTGAAGGAATGAAAATTTGGCAGCTTGTAATGCACATGTGTATAAATAACGCAGAGATTTCCTGGCAACTCCATTTCTGTGGTACAGGCAAAGATACTAATGCAAATATACAGATGAAATATTGTACTTTCACCAATTCACCTATGTGTCTCGACCTTAGCGTACGGAAAATATGTAAAAAAAAACATTAATTAGAGTGAAGACTGTTCCTGTATTATAACACGTACTGCGAAGAGCCCTAGTGTAAGAATATTCTTCCTCTTCTTCGTCGGAAGAATAAGCAGCTTCCTTCATTCTTCGTCTAACTGCTGCACGAGTCTTCCGGACATGCAGTTCCTGTGTGGACCGGAAGTAGCCGACCATAAAAGGCTGCCTATATTCCGGTCCCTTTCGTCCCACTATTCCGAATTTTTCCGGTTTAACATCACGATCTGAAAAAGAAAATCAGTATTCTACCAAGTATTTAAAATGACGTCAGATAAATGCAATGCAGAGGGGGCCATTTCTACCCAGAGTTGTCGTTCCTTATCAGATATTTTTTTCGAAAAAGTATGCAATTTTTGAATTTTGATGAATAATGTAGAAGAAAACGAATTTAAGGACAATTTTACAGCAGAAACGTATACATCTCGAGAAATGTCGGTAATTATGTTTTTTCATTACATGGGGTATTACCAGTGATTAGAAAGGGCAAAATTTACCAATATCTATATATATACCGGCACGAACCTTCGATATCTATGTTCGTCCGCTGTACCGGTCACAATTTATTATTTTACACATTGTAAATAAGTTTCTGTATAAATCTTTTTTGTTGGTGGCAGGGAAATCAACACTACTTTCACTGGTTACTACAAACAACAAAACTTACATATACTTCTTTTGTAGAGATTATTAAAAACTAATTATAAAAATACAGTGGTGTTAAAAGTCCATCTTAAATGAAAATAAATATTTGTAACACACCTGGTCGTGAGAGAATAATGAAATTCTAAGGTTGCATACATCCTTAAGCGATATTCGAGTATCTATTTTTCACTGACTTACTTTTTTTCAGGAATATGACTTTCATAAACAGGCCCATGTTTGAGGATGGGGAATATGTCCAATGCGAGGCTGCGTTTGTAAGGTTAAAGGTCAGCCAGCCTTGGTAGTTAGCCCTCACAGTGAGATTGTTTTCTGTAACAATCTCGTAGTTCCTGGAGAGACAAGGAAATGTCAATTCGTGATACAGGTAAAACATGTACAAACAATGTCACCAGGTAAAGCAGACAATATTGACATGAACAGGTACGGTATATATCTTCAAATTTTGATGATTTAAAATGAATAGTCTTTGTAACCAGCCGATAACTATCAATGTTTTATCGTAGTTTCCATATTTTTTTTCAAAATTCAAATATCAGTTTCGACAATTACAAGTTAAGAAATTATTCAAGTACGTTAAGTGTTTGTTACAGAACTACCAATCATCGTGAAGAATTAGTTTTGAAGATCGCTCCACTGCTTCGGGCTCATTAACTAGACCTATGCTTGTGACGTATAAAATACTTCTCGATATCATCATAAGTTCAAATAAGTGTTATTATTAACTCGAAAGTATCTGATAATTCCGTACCTAATACATATCTGTTTAGTGAGTGACAAGACACTTAAATTGAGAGATATATAAAACTAAACACGATACCGGACCTTAGTTCACCTGGACCAAAAACTCTTAACCGTTTTTGTCAAATAGCACGTAAGGCAATTATGGTTGGCAACAGCTTTTGTATTGAATAATAAATTTAACTCTAGAGCACAATACAAAACGAAATTACAGTGTCAACCATTTTAATCGTGCATTTGATTTATTTCATGAACTATGTATATATAATTTTAAAAACCTTATTAAAATTTGCTTCCGTTCGCAGTCGCGGAGTTTTTCAATAATGACAGTTGAGTATTGATGAAACTGATACCCGTGGAGGATTTTAAACTCATGAACAAGTCCCTAATAAGAATTTAAGTAGAAATTCAACCACTAAAACTTAAGCTATAATTCTGTAGAAATAAGAAACAACCTGACTGCTGGTGTACGATTTTTTTTTCTGAAATTCGTTCCTGTGTCCTAAATCATGGTATTAGTATGTCGCTCAATCATATCAAAATCACAGCCATACACGAGATTTCATAACAACGTGATGTTTATTTATGGAACTGTTAGATATTAAACTCCATTTGATAACCTTCATTATGCGGTCAGCTCTCCCGAATGATATTCAGTATTTTCAGTGTTTAATCAATATAATTTGAATCCCAATACAAAAAAAAAGGATTCTTTAGGGCAGCTAAAACACTCCATAGACAGAATAACTATGGCCTGGCGAGTTTGTAATCGCGTGAACTGACCATTGATCATGTCTCGATCTGCGCCCTGAATAACTTTACTCATAGAGTAATTTTGATTAACGTTTAACAGCTTTAATCATGTAATTAAGTAAATCTTTATCAATTTTACGACAATTGCGAGACACGTCTTATGTTAGCTCATGTTTACCATTCTTATTGGTTCAGATGAAAGCGCGTGACGGGCCTTATGGTAGGAGGACCCTACGTGGTCAGACAGGTGATCCCATATCTTTTCCGGTTCGTTCCGGGAATCAAACCCCGGACGCCTATTGGTTAAAAGCAAGTGCAATCCACTGGGCAACAGTTTGTTGTGATTCCAATATGACGTCACATCACGATGAGAGACTGATTCAATTCGACTGCACATTGCATAAGAGGTTTGTCACGAATTCTCGACCCATGGTCCATATATATACATATATGTTGCTATGATAAATATATGGATCGTGGGTCGGAAATTCGTGCCAAATCACTGTCTTACAGTAAGACAAGTTTCACGTACATCGACTGATCAAATAAAACGATACACGGTTAGGAATATATGTTTGTACACCACAGAAGAATTATCCTCACTCAACCAAAACTTACTCCGGGTTGTTCCCTTGCTGGATCATGTAGATTTGAACTTGAAATTTATGTTTCTTCCACTTGCTGGCTTTTTCTTTATAAAGACGTAGTTCAGCCCTCACAACCGTCTCCTTCGGTGTGATTTCGCTGAAGTCAAAATAGAATGTTCGGTCCTTCTGGCGACGTAAATGTTTTTCTTTTTTAGCTGAAAATATTTGAAAATATTAAAACAATTATTATTGTCATTCGTGACAAGAACATCTCAAACAAGGCCTAACAAACTATATAATTCCACTGGCGAGTCCACTTTGACTTAACCGCAATCAAGAAGAGGACCAATTGCCTGAAGCATGACCAAAATTTCTCGAGGAACGAAGCTACTAGAGAGTATGGCAAGGATTTTCTTAAGATAGTAACGATGATTTTTACCCTACAACCCGCTCAAACTAGATTTACAGCAGTAAAGTGGAGTATTGATGAAACAGAAACGAGAGTTTCTTTCCAAAAGTGCATTGCAGTCTCCTTCTATAAAAACCGTAATACATGGAAAATGCCAAATTATCAGAAACACAAACATTTTTTATTTTACTGACCTGGCAAAACCGATAATCTAACATATAACTTTCATTATACGTGCACTATAATATCCTCTACCTAGAAAAACGTCTGTGCGTACATTAATTAATATAATTACTCGGAACTCATCACAGGTGCTTCATACGTTTGTGGTGTATGTAAAATTGGATGAGTTCCGAGTGTAATGATAATCAGATGTACACGACAAGCAGTATAATTCAATGGACGTATTACCCGTTTCCGATACATTGCCACTGTCAATAAATCTTGTTAGGAGGATATCAAACACGGACATTACCAATCAACAGTATTATACTAAACAAGCAACGTAATGAGCTCATTAAAACTAAGGAGGGAAGGAAGTTTACGCACCAGCATTATTAACATGTTACAGTATTTGCGCTTGCGTTCAAACCACTCCACTATATATCTTAATCTGTATTGTAAACACCGACAAAACTACATAAATCCGAAAACAGATATTTACAAGTAATAAAGATATGTATTTTAAAGTTTCAAGAACGTCTGCACGTGTTCATTCTCCAGTTTTGAAACGTGATATGGTTAATAACGCTCTTCCTCCTCTCCTTACAAGTGAAATTATTCTCCGTAACGAGTGTTTTTGATATATATGTATAAGACTACCACCGAAAATAACCTCTCTGTAAAAAAAAAGTTAAAAGGTCGACATCGGTACACAGTTACAGGCCTCTGTGCATTAAATCCAATTTACGTCAATTTCCGACTTAGTACAACGCACACACGCCCTAATGGTTCACAGCGAAACGGTTTCAACACTTGGCAAATGAGACAAGATAAAGTATTTGGGAAAGGTTTGTCTAAACATTGAGTATTGTAGAAAAGATCTACAAATCTACAGCCAGAAAAATGTTTCTAAACATCATCCGTTATGTATTTGTACCCTTTACTCCGGGCCGCGATGGCTCAGTGTTGACCTACGTCATCCGGGTGAATCCGAGGCATGTCATTCGACTCTCCATACCTATGGCGGTTTGAGTTTCTTAGGAAGCTCAGAAACGGACTAGTCTGTGCAGTAGTGGTTGCGTCCCTGCGCAAGACGCTTTCTCTTCCTGCCCTGCGGCGGGACTCGCGTATGTTGTTCAGCGATGTAGCCACCCGCTACTACATTGAGACTCTCCGCACCTCAAGGTGGCCCGGGCTCTTCGCCGAGCAATAAACTTAGCAGAATATACACACTCTCCAAACTCCCTACCCATCCTGTGACGTGGACGTCGTTTGAAAAAAGCAGGTTGCCTTTGCTCCAGAAAAGGCAAGAACTGATCTTTACCGATACATTACTTAACTACTAGTTTATGGGGGTACATGGGGCTATACATCATGCTCCTATTGGCGACAGAAGAATCCATTCTAAACCATCTAACTATTGAGTGTTTTGCCAACCAAATTACTCATTGTATTGTTTAACCGCAACATCACAGATTTTTTTTGCCATGAGCGAGAAAAATCATAAGGATATTTTGCATCTGACGAGACAATCTTCGGACCTTTTTGTGTGTGTGTGTGTGGGAGGGGGGAGTGGGGGGGAGATAAAACACTAATTGAGTGTGTTGGAGTATATTCTGAAAAACAATCTGTGAATCTTCCAAAATTTTGTGTGATTTACGTTCTAGATAAGGACGTGACGAAATCCCCGTTGATCCTATTGAAGTTGTTTTGCCGTACAGTGACGGGAAAGTTTACAGAAAGCATCAGATTATTTTGAGATAATTTCCCTTCCATAAAATGCAAGTGATTCTGATCTCTGTTTACTAACAAAAAGCATGGCAACGCAAGGATGTTATCTATCGGTACAAAAATGTTCATACGGCTACAGCGAGACCGAGAGAGGAGGGGTGGGGGGCATACACACTCGTATGCATGTTACGTAGTACCTTTGTAATAAACTTAATTTCTACACATTTGTACACTTTTATTCATTTACTACGGTAACGGCCATACAGAGTAGATAAGTAGGTAAAATATATAGATATAAAAATCGTACAATCATATATTACATATGTGATATGTTACTACAAATATGTTTGCTATGATTCTACATTGTAAATCTACATTGCGATATGAAACTTCATTGTATCTATATGTTTAAGGGGCGTTATTGGACTTTATTACACAATTAGGAGAGGTGTGCTTCAATTAAAATTTGACCGGTACACGCGCCTAATATACCACTAGTAGAAAAAAACATCTGTAAATTCTTATCTATGTTCTGAATATTTTCACACCAATACGTCAACAATTTCTTAAATCAGAATCGTTGTAATTGTAAAATCTTAACTACATCTATCAGAGACGTATATATGTGATATGTACGTCTCTGCATATATTAACTTATTTTATGTTTGAATTTTCAAAAATCAATCACCTTTCTGAAAACAGCGTAAAACACGTGAACACGTTACGTTGACTAACGCCGTGAAACTAGTTTGAGCTTATGCAATATATCATAGCCATTTTTTGGTGAAACGAATATCCCTAAAAGCTAACTAGACCTCGTCAATAAACTTTAATTTACGTGTGAGGAGTTGACGAAGTCATCTAGTAACCGTCTAAATCTACACAAGAGCCTATCGTTCAAACACCTGGCCTCACGGCCGTGTAATCGAGGCAGATTATCACTAAATCGTAAAGTTTTAAACTTCAACACAAAGCACAATGGTAAACATTTTACCCATCATAAGTACATGACCCTGATGATCAATGGAAAACTCGCCGGGGGCCCGCGGAAGGGTAATCCATCATTACATTTATTATTATAGTGTCGAGTGTTTCATGTCAAATTTGACGTAGACAGCACGTATGACCATAATTCATACGTAGTTTTAATTGATTGTGTTGGAGACCGGGAAATCGACGTGTTGTGTTTTATTTAAGAGGGGTAAAAAAGTGGATAATAACAATAAATGATTAGCTGTACGTTTAAAATGTTGGTAAATGAAATAAAATCGTGAAAAAAAAATTTCTTCGAGAATATGCACGTATAAAAATAACATCAATTAACACTAGAACTTAGTATACTTAGTACTTTGTAGAATAAAATGCTATAAATATATTTGTACCCCAAGAACTTTGTATACTTAGTACTTTGTAGAATAAGATGCTATAAATATATTTGTACCCCAAGAACTTTGTATACTTAGTATTTGTATAAGATGCTATAAATATATTTGTATCCCAAGAACTTTGTATACTTAGTACTTTGTAGAATAAGATGCTATAAATATATTTGTACCCCAAGAACTTTGTATACTTAGTACTTTGTAGAATAAGATGCTATAAATATATTTGTATCCCAAGAACTTTGTATAACAAGAGACTGAAACTGTGCCCATAACTTTGTGTAACAGTAAATATGCATTTGTACTCGAAGCTCTATACACAAAATAGGTGTATATCTAAGAGTTTTAATGCTACATCAGGTTTTGTACCCATGGAAAAGTGTTACTTATACGGAAATTTATCCGACATGTCCTTACAGTAATGTACTTAAAATGATTTAAAGATAATTGCGATTCTAATTAATCTTATCAACAAATTGTTATTCTCAGATGAATATACCAGTGAAAATTGTATACATTTTCAGCTCTAATTAAAAATATGGTATGCAACTTACGTGTCGATACAAAATGATGTGTTATCCAACTGTCAAACAGTATGTGAATGACAATTGTATACCCTAGATTTCGGGTTTGTTTTATTACAATGGACGGATTTCTATCCTATCAGAAAACGTTATATACAAGAACATTAATGCTACAGATCCAAGAAATATCTAAAAAAAAAAAAAAAAAAAGACAGTCAGTTGATAAATATATCAGAAACTAGTACAACTATGAATAGGTATGTCGCTTACTTCTCTCCTAAATATGTTTTTGATAGTCGTCAACCTTGGTAAGGAAAAACATATACCGAATATATAAATCTATAAGGAATTTATATACAATAAAGAATGTTGGGTGGTTTTAGGTCCGTGAAAGTTGTAGACAAAAAGGCTGTTTTGAAGACAGTATTGTATGTGAAAATAGGAGAGAACGTTGTACATATGCTGTAATACATTTCTACGTGCACATTCGATAGTTTTTCAGTCCCAAGTAATTTTGACATTTTAATAACTCGTTTAATTATAACAGGGATGTAGACAGTGTCGTTAATTACTCACCGTGGTTAACAAAACTCATGATGACGTCACTGCCGTCGATAGGTTCAACCTGATTTTCGATTGTGACGTTTCGACTGAACTGACGCTGGTTTCCCTCGTCTACGATACCCCCGTCTGATGTGATGGAATTGTATAGATTCAGCATAAAGCGTGGGGCCGAATAGTCTGTTGTACTGTGTCCAGCTGGTTTTGGACGATGGTGGAGTCCCAACAAAGTCAATATTTCATGCTGCATTTCTCGTTTATCCCGGTTCGAGAATTCAGTTGTCCGTTCTGTCCTGTCCACTCCGTTGTCCCTGTACACTCCGGACACTGTGGCAGCAGTGAAACGCACGTGTAAATACGTCACACACACTAGTAGAACCGTGATACCTGATCGCAAATCCATGATGGTTGTTTATCCGTCGAACAACAAAAATACTACACAGTCTATTTATAAATACATCCCTGAAGACAGATGTAAATGTATCTATATATATCGCAAGTTATGTTCAACCATATCTTTACATAATATACCACACACACGCTATAAGGGAGACTGCAAAGCAGCAGTACACACCGGCGTACACAAATCAAGTGCACCCGATGTCTGGGTGAGTACAATAATTACCCCCTCCTGCACTGCATGTTCCTCAAAACAAGTATACGTCCGGCTTGTGTGTTAGTCACCTCGCTAACTAACACAGGTGTTTCCGAACTCCACGTGTGGGAGTTGAGGTAAGCACAAATGTCGGCCACTTTGATGTTAACGAGATTTTCCGATAACAGGTATAGCGAGCTCTCACACACACAGTCAGATCGGCGCACCTGACAATTTCGTACTACCGTGTGTATGTATACATTCCAGTGTGTCAGGTCGTGTTATTCTTTGTGCGTCGGAGTGAGTTAACTTTCCTACGCATGGGCAGAAAGGCTCACCAAACTTCCTATGGGGCTCAAAGCGGGATACCACCTCCTTCTGCAAATATCATACCTGACTATTTAATTAGACGCATATGTCAGCACAGTCGCATAAATACCATGCCCCACCATGGTTCGAACTAGTGACCCTTCGGCCTCTAGCCAGGCTCTCTATCGTTCTTCTAAATATTGAAAAGAACTTGATGAAAAAAAAAATCCGAAAATTGAATCATCATCATCATCATCATCATCATCATCAAGTTGTTGATAACCTTTTCATCAAACGTATGTAAAGATGTCCTCTTGTAACTCAGAGTTATAAGATAATAAACTATACATATGCGTTGTACATTAATGTAAACCACTTTCCAAGAGTTCAAATTTTATATTTAAGATGTCTCTGTTAAGAAGCAGAGACGTATATAACATATAACACATATGTGTTATACACGTCTCTGTAAGAAGTAATTGAAAATCGTCGTTAACCGATGACCGATGTTTGCTTTACACGCAAGGGGGATAACTTGCATACAATTATTAGTATATTGAATTATGTATTATCATCCTGAATTGCTCGTCTTTTTTCACAACATCTCTGACAATAACTCAAACATCAAGTAAAACCAAACCGCTTCCTCCTCTAATTTTAGTCTAAAAACTGTTCTTCAAAGAATTCTTCCTAAATTTTAATATTAATTTAATATTTATTTGACATGTTCTGCAAAATTACTATGTAGCAAGTGGAAACAATGTCGGTTAAAAAATGAAAGCTACTTTACACAGAATATATTATGGACGTATATCATATGTCTCTGATCATATGTATTGCATTCTTAAAATTTGCAGTTGATCAGCTTTTTCAAGTTTTATTACTTATGTGAAGATGTTCGGTGTTTTATATCAATTTCTACCGTTTATTCGAATGGCAGAAAGATATAAATATCTGTTATTCTCGATTTCCATTTGTCAGTGTTAGAAACTAAAACTCTCTGTCATAGAAAATGTTTTTATCACTTGCAAAGGTCTTCATGACCTATTGAGTATCGCCCCCCACCCCAACCCCCTCAAAAAAAGTCCAATTATTAAGATCAAATTTATGAATCTCAAATCGTAGTCAAAATTTAGTCAAAATTATATTAAGTTTGAAAATTAGAGTACAAACTAAGTAAATATGTTTGGGAGTATTTGTGTCGAACGCCAGCGGACTTAATATGAAAGCTTCTGAAGATTTCTCTTCTTTGAGGAGCCAATCCCAAATGAACGCAAACAAGTGATCTCAGCGACTGATGAATATGTTTGAAGTGCACGCTTCATATCTCTCAAAATCATAAACGTTTTCCGGAACATCTCCGGTTCTGTTATGGGTACTTGTTACGAGTAATAAGTTAGGTCCCAACGAAACTGATAATGGACCACAGGTTGTTAGGTTGTATTACAAGAGTCAGAAAAAAAAATGTGAAAAGTCCTGCGAGTGAAAAGATATGCCAAATAACGTGTGTACTGGAATCAACTGATTGCATCATTTTTTTCATTCATAGAAAACATTCGAAAAGGAAATTAATCATTTTGGTGAAGGTTGGTCATCAGTCAAATGTTTGTTGCTGAATCTGCACAACTTAACTGATGTAGGAAGCGAAAGAAACCCCGAATAAAAAAAGAAATGTAATTATTAGTATTTATAGATCACTCGTTTTCCTTATAGAAGTAAGAAAACAACATCATTCTACATATTTGATCTTTAGATATATTTCAAGGCTTTATCAAGACTTAATGACGACGACGACGATGATGATGATTGAGATGATGATGATGATGATGATGATGATGATGATGATGATGATGATGATTGATGATGATGATGATTTATATGATGATGATAATGATGATGATGATATCATAAATTTTGAAAATAAAATTCTTTGTTCTGTTCCAGTAAAGTAATTGACTGTATAGTTATTTCATTATATAATCCGGATCTATCCAACAGGCACACGGTTTTAAATTTAGAAAATATGCGTACTATATAATACTGCTTTCCATTGGTCAATATATTCTCAGAGAATATATACGAACCAATCAGTTTTACTGTTACTTACAAGAACCTGCTCCGCGTTTCCGTTTGCGAAGTCAATGCGTTAAGTCGGTAAGCATGAAATAGGAATTATAAGCAAAATTTTGAGTTGATGATGACAAGTTCAATAGTTTTTAAAATCCAATAAACGGTTTAAGTGTTTGAAGTCTGGCAGCAGCCCGATCAAGCATCATGTAGGCCTACTGCGGTACTGTAATGTGCACAACTTGTCTCCGCACACATGGATAATGGTTAACACGCGAAAGTGTCTACCGGCTGGTCTTGCTGAAAATAATGAGTGTGAAAACAATCATCCTATAGTTTTATGCCCCCATTCAGAAAAGAAAATCACTTCATCACGTTCATCGGTCTTATCTGTAAAATGTAGGCTGAAAAGTTCTGACTCCGGATTGGCGTAGCCCGAAAAGTTTTGACTCCCAGGGTGCTTTCTCAATTAAATGTCATTGAAATAATTTCGTTTTCAAAAGTTGAACTGACCAACTATGTGGACGCGACAATTTTTCTCCAGAAAAATATTAATTTCAAAAGGAGTAATAAAATTGAGGAATTGATCAAAAATGTTTTTTTTCTCGCTTTCAGTATCATATCCTCGATTTTTGCGACGATGAGAAATTTTGTTCCATAACAAAGTACCCTATGACCCCTACTGCACTACGGACTTAAGAAAGATTCGAAGTCTGTGATGTACATAGGCGCGCACACACACACACATTTAGGTGTGTGTGTGTGTGTGTGTGTGTGTGTATATGAGATATTAATTTTACTAAATTGAAACTCCTTACTATTTTTCCAAATCACTTCATTTTGAAGTTCAAGCTGTGCCTTTCCATAAATACTATGTTATGTAAGTGTTTTTGTTGTAGCAGTACAATATATATATATTTATGATGTACACATATACATTTTATGGAATGGTGAGGATTAATACATTCTTTTTCTTATTAAAATCACTACATGTTAATATTACTTTATACATCTTCATCTCTTCATAATGATGCTTCTGATAGTTGTTTGATTATATCTTACTCACTGTTGAGACTAACCTGAAGTCTCAATGGATCTGACTAGCCATGAAGTACTTTTCATTGTAATTAAAAGACATATATACATGTATATTGAAATCCAAAGACTTAAATCAAGGCTTGTTTTATTTGGTTACAGGGTCCACTGAGCAGTAAGATTCTTTGGTCCAAAGTAATCCTGTAATGTAGCTATCAGACAGCTTAAGGAAATATTTTGTTTTACTGGAATTTGTTGTTTTTTTTTCAAAATGTGTAACCTGCACTGTAGAAATAATTCATACATGTAAATCAAAGAAAATCTTTTTTTTTTTTCAATGTTTTCAGGAGTGGAGTAGAATAGAACAGAAACCAAAAAAATAGAAAAAGAGAATGCTAGAATTGAATTTTGTTTTGTATGTGCACTGATGTTGTATTTGTTTGTATTGTTTCAGATTTATGATGTACAGTTTACGGTAAAGAGGTCGTTACTGTCACGGATCCTTTCTGATGTTGTTATTCCTAGTCTTAGATGGAACTTCTGAATGACCTCGGCTTGAAAACTTAAGAGATTCCAAGAATATCTAAGTCTTGTTTCAATAAAGGACTAACACTATGTCTTTGTCAGACAGAGAATGGGATGACTTGAAGGCTTTGTTGGATAAAACTGTTCAGAAATTTTTAGGATTCAGTGAGACAGCTCTGGTTACAGCAGCTCTCAACTGCATAGATAAAGGTTATGATAAACACAAAACTGTAGGTAAGTCTCGGCATTTGTCAATGTGAGAAACCTTAAGTCTGACTGTCTGTAAAGACAGCAAGAAACCACTAGCAAATCATTTATATATTTTTTTATTTCGTATGTTTATAAATTTTATCTTCAGCAGCCTTTGATCAAGATAATTTCTTACAATATGTTTCTCTCCCTAAATCATTATTTACTTTTGCATTTGAATTAAATTTAATTGCATTTTATAATGAGCACACATTTGTAAACATGAATTGTATAACTTTTATATCTGTCTTAGTGTCTGCCTGCTTTCATAGTGTACCAGTACAAATGAATGGTTGGGTTGTATGTTGGTTTAAAAAATTGTTTTCTGAATTTATTCAACAAATTGTAAAGAATTCAGCTTCAAATGAATACTCCAAAAAATTGTTTTCTTCTTAATCACATCCTGATATTCATATGATTAATGTGTCTGATTTTATACTTCACAGATAAATTGCTGGTGATTCTAGATGAAGGTCAGGCAAAGCGCTTCGCTGACAAGTTATTCGGAGTTTGGGAAGATTACAAAGCATCCAACAGAAATGCAAGGAAGAAGAGAAAGGTGCTTACCACAATTACATGACAATGAATTGGGTGTGAAAATGCAAGGGAAACTATGTTATGTAAAATATAGTAATCAAGCACTTCAAATTTGTTATTCATCAGATGAAAATTTGAAATTCTTTGATTTCACCAGCGAGGAATAATTGGTTAAAATCATCCCATAATTCTTTCACTGTGCTGTATAGTTAAATGTTGGTACAATTTACTAACAGATTTTAAAAAAAACTTTTGCCTCAGTATTTATTTTCAAATAGAGTTAGAATGTGAAAGAAAAATCTTGTATATGTATTTTAACTAACAAAATGATTTTTTTTGCCAAAAATTCTCAGTCACTTATACACTGATGATAATCATGATATTGACTTATACAAACTTTGTTTTTCCCTGTCATCACATATTGTTTCTATATGGTGATGTTTGTTGCTTTTGAGGGCCATATATAAGAGTAGTGCTGTGTTAAATATGTAACCATGAAGTTCAACAGTCTCATAACAATTAACCTGGTATTTCCGTGTCCCTTATTATCAGAATTATGATACTAAATATGTTTTAGGATGATCGTGATGAAGGAACAGAAACTAAAAGGAAGAGGAGATTTGTCGATGATGGTCCGCCCGCCATTCCTGGACCTGGGAACCCAAGTCCTGGCCAGCTCACTACTGACAAGGTGAGTCCTATATCTCTCTCAAATTTACTTTGATGAAACTCAGATAGCTTTTATATTATCTTTTATTTTTATTCTCCGTGGAAACTTTTTATCAGATCAGACAGTGCAGCAAAATACAGTATTGAATTTGTCCAAAAATGGTCTGAAACTTTCGTAGGTAAAGGAGACTAAATTTTGTATAAATGATGGGTCTCTGCTCCCTGGAGGGTTGGGGCTCAATAAAGAAAAGGGCGAAAAATTATTTAAAATCCTTCTTCCTCTGTAGGAATGTTGAAAATTTGTTCCAATTTCGTCTAAATCATCCTAGAGTGAAGGGAATCAATTTTATATCAGGAGTAGGTCAATAGTTATGAATGAAGCAATAGTTCACAATTATATTTAATTTTGTAACCTTTCACAAAACTGTATGTACAAAATGTTATTAATCATATCAAACTTATGGCCAACAGATCAAAGAGATGATGCAGAATGCACAGAAAATAATTGAAGAAAGAAAAACACAGTTGATGGTGACTGTGCCATCTGCTTCAAAGGTTTGTTTTCATTCCACTGGTGTTAGAAATCAAAAATGATACTTTACCTGAATTGGTTATTACTTCCTTTCTGAAATGCCAATTTATTTGATAAACTTCAAAAGTTTTGACATTTGCCAACGAGGAAGATAAAAAAAAATTTCAACTATCACTTGCAAGCAAATCATTAAAACAATAAAATCTAATGGTTTAATTATTCAGAGATTTTATGGTTTTCAAAAATCCCAAAACAGTTAATAAACAGTGTTCTTAAAATTCAATTATGCTTAAATTCAATACAAAATTTGTGACCTTGTTGGTTTTACAGCCGTCCATGTCTCAAACTCAAGTGTTAATGTCAGATGCCATGGAGAAGGCTAAACGAGCAGCTGAACTCCAGGCAATGATACAGAATAAGATGTCCAGTCTCACAGCATCAGGGGTACAGATTCCTAATTTGTAAGTACCTCAGTATTATTGATTACATTGAATAACGGAACCAAAACAGTTCAATCCAATCATATCAGTTAACAAAATATTAAAATTTTTGTACACTTGAAAAATGAGGTACTTATTCAAAAACAGGAAGTTTTTAAAAAATGTTTTTGAATACATAGCTATTAGTGGCTTTGATTATGAGTTTTGGTCACACTTGATGGATTTGTCAATAAAATATTAACTTGATAAAAAAAAATCTGATATGATCTTAGTCACTTTGCATGCCTTCTTTAACGAAGTTTTTATTTGTTGCTACAGGAAACAGCTCCCTTTACAAAACAAGTAAGTGCTAAAATCTTCATAACATAATATATCTACAGTTGTAGTAAGACACATCAAACCAAAAACATCGTCCACACAAATGCACCATACACATTTTCAAGGGGGTTTGGTAAAAATGGTTGACTAATTTTTACAGATTAAAAATTGAACAGAAAACTTACATAGTTATAACTAAATAGAGATCAGTGATTATAAATGTCATTTTTAATTTTTTAATTTTAAATCCTGCATAAATTAACTTTTCTGCCGTTTATTTCACACCTGAGAGAGTGACAAGTGGTGTGCCTTAGGGAACAAAAATTACCTTTATATTGATATATGTACATACATGACAGGTCCAGATACGTACTGGCTAAGTCTTTCATGTAACAACACCCTCGATACTCTAGGGAATATGATCACTTTCGCTCTCTGCACCCTTGGAACATGTCATGGCAAAACTGAAGGTTCCTGGTGCGACACCTTTTGGGCAAGATGAAACATCAAACGGAGGCAATCAAAGTACTTATCATGTGCCTCCAATTTTGCCATGATATGTTCCAGGGTGTGAAGTGAGCGAAAGTGATCGTTAAACCCCTGGAGTATTGAAGATGGTGTAATAATGACGACACTTAAAATTCACCCTAGTATATATTTTTTGTTTACAAAATGATAGAAAAATGAGACTAATACAGAAGTATAGAAAATAAAATTTCTTTCAGATGATATAATAATTTAAATGATTCATTGCCGCGAAGAAAAGAGATGTCCAGTTAATGTTCTTCTTAAATAATATATATCTAATGAGAGTTTGCATGGCTCTCGATTTGCCAGATTTGGGGCCGATATTCGGCCCCGTTCCCAATGTAAAATAGTATCTTTTTTTCCCAATTTAAACCCCAAGTTTTCCTAATTCTAAGGAAAACGCCGCTATTTTTCCCAATTCTAAGGGCCCCGGGCCCCAGTCCCAAAATGGGGTGTGAGAGCCCTGGTTTGTACACAAAGACTGGTCATGTGTTGCACTTTATGAACAAAACGTGTTAGATTATGAGTATATAACTATTCACTCTGTACCTGATAGATACATATATGAGTCTAAGCTATAGATAAATAGCTGGAGTAGGAAATGTGTTCTTTTATATATTAAGAAAATAAATAAACCATACTTACACTCGTCTATAAGTGATTTCTAAATTGATATCAACCATGATAGAATCACACAAAGTATGCACAGGTGTGTGATAACTAATTTCGTCCTGTCTACCTATTGTGAAATCATCATGTGCACATAGCACATCATGTAACATCGTGCAATCCCACAACTTAATCTTGTAATACAGTTTAAGTGGTAGACGTACTGCATTGTACTCAAAACCAGGTGATGGACTTGTCACCAGACAACGTAATGCCTTTGATGTATAATTTTATCAATTATTATTATTATTATTATTATTACATTCTTAACAGCCCATCCACATAAAAGGTCATTAGGGCCATCAAACAGTAAAATTTTATCAAACAGCTGTATTTATGAGTGGGTAAATATTTAGGCACTAGCTTATTGTTGAAACCAATATTGTACTCAAGCTTAAGCAACACATTTGTTATGGTTTGTCACAACAAGTATAGGACCATCTAAAAAAATATGTGTTGATTTAGTTTGTAATTATTGTTTTCTTCTACTATATCATGTAATAAAACTGTGATAAACCTCAATAAGGAAAATATCACATAAACAGAACAAAAAGGAACTACAAATTACTTCATTTATAAAATTCAATGAGAAAATAAAAAATAATTTCATGTTTGTGTTGTGGACAGTCGATATTGAAAGATATTGAATGATTTTATGTTTGTGTTGTAGACCAACACCCCTGATAGATATAAGATGATGTTATGTTTGTGTTGTAGACCAACACCCCTGATAGATATAAGATGATGTTATGTTTGTGTTGTAGACCAACACCCCTGATAGATATAAGATGATGTTATGTTTGTGTTGTAGACCAACACCCCTGATAGATATAAGATGATGTTATGTTTGTGTTGTAGACCAACACCCCTGATAGATATAAGATGATGTTATGTTTGTGTTGTAGACCAACACCCCTGATTTTAGATGAGGAAGGAAGAACAATAGATGCTATGACAGGACAAGCAGTCCAACTACAGCATCATACACCCACGCTCAAGGTCAGATATTTAAAGCAGCAATGGAATTAAAATTAAATGTCACAATACTAATACATTAAAGGCATGGATAACAGATATATATACACACTAGAACTTGAAAAATATCTCAACAAATGAAGTGTTCATTTGAATGAAAAACTTGTTATGAAAAATCATAAAAAGAATATTAAACTTTTGTGATCATGTGATGTTAAATTTATTGAATATTTTTGTGACATTTCGATGAAATGAGTCTTTGATGACTTTATATGATAATAAAGAATACAGAATTCCGCAAATATGGACGTAAGAATTCTCAGATTTTACTTGATGGAAAATCACGCCATTGAATGTATTGTCAGAAATTCTGCATTACATGGACACTTTTGATAGTACCTTGTTAGTACGACGTCGTGTGTACTTATATTGTTCAGTTACTATAGACTAACACAGTATGACTACAAATGTCTCCTATTACAAAAAATAATTGGAAATATATGTTTCCAACTGACTGCTGTGAACATCAAGATTAGAAAATTAATTTTGGTATTTTTAGGCAAATATCCGAGCAAAAAGACGTGAACAATTCAAAGGATTGATAGAGAAACCACCAGAAGAAATCAGTGAAAGTCGATTCTTTGATTCCAGAGTTGAGTAAGTAATATCATAAATTAACCGGTGTAGTTGAAACAGATTTTGATTAAAGATTGTATTGTTCCATTTTTGTGCTATACTGATGAAGCATTGCAATAAGAACACACAATGAGTTTTTTTAGATCATCTGACCAAAGGGTCTGGTGACCTATTGCAATCGCCTTTTGTCCAGTGTCGTAGGTCGTAAACATTTTCAACTTCTTCTCAAGTTCTACATGTCTCATTGAGCTGAAACTTACCTGAAATGATCATGACATGATCCTGACCAAAGTTTGTTAATTTCGGGTTGGTCCGAAATTCAACATGGCCGCCATCTTGAAAACACATTTTCGACTTCTTCTCAAGTTCAAAATTTGAAATCTTGTATTTTTTGTCAGATGACCGTTAAGGCCCATGGGCCTCTTGTTTTTTTGTTTTTTTTTTAAGACAATTTTTGTGGTTGATATTTTTTTAATTTAAAGTTAATTGTAATATTGTTACATGATGGTCATGGTATCTTGAGGTTGCTGTGATGTTAAAATATGTACAAGAAGGAATGTTTTTGTGTGTGAGGGTGTGCTTTTGTCTTGTATATGTATGGTAATGAAAAATCTTTCTAAAATAAAGATTTAAAAATAAATCAGGGAAAGAAAGTTTATAGAGTTGCCTCAGATATTATAATTCAATTTGATGAAAACAAATTTTGAAAATACTGTACAACCTGTCAAAACTGGAAGTCACTTGGACCATACCATATAGCCAGTTCACACAGGTGTGTGGTGTATAATTAGGTGTATTGATATCTAATTGCTTCTTATTAGGAAAAACTTGAAAAACTCACCTGGAAAGAAGAATTTGAATTGTACATCATGTTAACACTAAAAGTTTCTCCTGTCTTGCCAAATCAATTTTCTATAGCTTCAATAGCATTTATTGGGTTGTTATGTAATGTGATTATCTCCCTTCTACCATCCACTTTTTCAAATTTCAAATTTTGCATGATGATCGAAGTTAAGTCATTTAATTTTTGTCTTTAATGTTTCTGCACATTGAAACAAGATGTGATAATATCACTCAGAACGTTGTTGGCTAATATTAATGTAACCACTGCGAAAATATGAAATTTCTATTGTGAAACAACATCAAACATTATTCACTTCAGGACTTCAGGAATGAAATTGACCACAGAATGTCTGGCCATGATAAGAAAATAGATGCACTCTAAATTTATACTGACCACATATCTACTGGTGGCAGTATGGTTGGTTCTTACAAGGTTTATCACTGATAGAACAGACAAATGTTGAAACTGGTATATCATGATGTAGGAAATTATATGCATGATATATTTAATGTATGACTGTTATATCAGATATTTTGAAATCAAATTACATATGATTTTTTTTCAGGGCAAAGAGTGCCCAGAGACAAAGACGTTCCTTCAAGTTCCATGAAATTGGAAAGTTTGAACAAATGGCTGGCAGGCTTCGAGCAAAGGTCATTTGAAACCTTATATTTGAGAGATCTATAATATTAGACAATATAGATGATTTTTCTTAGTTTTCCTATTTGATTTCCAATCATTGAACAAAAAATGTCAGTTTGAAATTAAGTCATTTCTCCTTGAATGTTTTTGCATATGAAGTTTTGGCAGGTGTAAAGTTTAATTAACAATATAAATCCCTGAGAAAATCTGGCCCTCATTATCCAATTTTTTTTTTAAAAAACATTTTCATATCAAATTTGACAGTATGTATATCTCAATCATAGACTTGGCATTTTTTTTTTCTTTTGTAAACTCAGTATCTTATTGTTATCTTGCTGCAGGCACAGTTAGACAGACTGCAGAATGAAATTGCCTACGCAGCCAAGAAGACTGGAATTGCATCTGCAGCAAAATTAGCAACACTTGCTCCAAAGAAAGAACTGGTATGGTTGCATATTAGCATTTTTGGCCATTCAAATTTTAATCCCTAGGTCATTTACAAAAAAATAAGTAAATACATACAGAAATTAATTGAAGTAAAGTATGCTACAACCAGATTGTCTAGTTTCCAGTTTCATTAAAATTAGATAAACAATTTGGTTTGACAATTAATGAAAACTAATAATGTATTCATCTTGTGTATGGGGCCAATATTTCCCTGACCGAAGGGAACTAGGATTATTAAATTGGAATAGTAGGTAAAGTATATATCATTTCTTGGCATATCTAAATAGTGTGTACTGTTCTACCTTCACAGCAAGAAGGTGAGGTTCCAGACATGGAATGGTGGGATGCTTATGTCCTGACAGGAGATCAGTAAGTTCATTGTCCTGTAATGGTGATTCTCAAGAACTGAGTACAATATTCTGTGTGTTGTGATGGTGATTCTCAGGTGTTGAGTACAATATTCTGGGTGTTGTTATGGTGATTTTCAGGTGTTGAGTACAATATTCAGTGTGTTGTGATGGTGATTTTAATGTGTTGAGTACCATATTCTGTGTGATGGTGATTCTCAGGTGTTGAGTACAATATTCTGTGTGATGGTGATTCTCAGGTGTTGAGTACCATATTCTGTGTGTTGTGATGGTGATTCTCAAGAACTGAGTACAGTATTCAGTGTGTTGTGATGGTGATTCTCAAGAACTGAGTACAGTATTCAGTGTGTTGTGATGGTGATTCTCAGGTGTTGAGTACCATATTCTGTGTGATGGTGATTCTCAGGTGTTGAGTACAATATTCTGTGTGATGGTGATTCTCAGGTGTTGAGTACCATATTCTGTGTGTTGTGATGGTGATTCTCAAGAACTGAGTACATTATTCATTGTGTTGTGATGGTGATTCTCAAGAACTGAGTACAGTATTCAATGTGTTGTGATGGTGATTCTCAGGTGTTGAGTACCATATTCTATGTGATGGTGATTCTCAGGTGTTGAGTACAATATTCTATGTGTTGTGATTGTGATTCTCAGGTGTTGAGTACAATATTCTATGTGTTGTGATTGTGATTCTCAGGTGTTGAGTACCATATTCTGTGTGTTGTGATGGTGATTCTCAGGTGTTGAGTACCATATTCTGTGTGTTGTGATGGTGATTCACAGGTGTTGAGTACCATATTCTGTGTGTTGTGATTCTCAGGTGTTGAGTACCATATTCTGTGTGATGGTGATTCTCAGGTGTTGAGTACAATATTCTGTGTGTTGTGATTCTCAGGTGTTGAGTACCATATTCTGTGTGATGGTGATTCTCAGGTGTTGAGTACAATATTCTATGTGTTGTGATGGTGATTCTCAGGTGTTGAGTACAATACTCTGTGTCTTGTGATGGTGATTCTCAGGTGTTGAGTACCATATTCTGTGTGTTGTGATTCTCAGGTGTTGAGTACAATATTCTGTGTGTTGTGATGGTGATTCTCAGGTGTTGAGTACGGTGCTAGTATTACTGTTGCTGCATTGTAATTGTATCCTGAGACATTAAATTGGGACTGTGTCGTCTCCTTCAATACTCCACTTATGGAGACTTGAATACTGACATATACCCTACATTTGTTTGTTTGTTTAGTTGTTTGTTGTTGTTGAATCTAACAACCACTAAAATAATCCTTGGAGAACTTTTCCTGTTCCTGTTAGAAACGTATTAGGTTGATGGACTGTTCAGATATCCAGATTTATCCACAATTCTGTTGAGCGTCTTCTCCAATAAAACTTTGTTCAGTGTAATAGATATTGCAATTAGATAGAACTTAAATGGAGAGATATTTCTTAAAGTCAAGCTATTTGAAACTGTGTTCCATGATATGTATTCTGGTGATATCAGTAGCCAGTTAAGAAACAATGTTCAGTGCATTTCTGTTGATGTGATCAAAAGAACAAAAATTACTATGAAGTTTAGATTCAGGACTAGGATTAAAACATGAAGAACTAATTAAAAAAAAAAGAAGATCAACCACTGTAGACAGAACATGTTTGTAGTGGTAACCGCAGCATAGGATCTTAGTCACTTGTATGATAAAAGAGTTTTATAGTACCAGCAAGAACAAAAGTTAAAAGTTAAATTCATTTGAGACTTTAATGATCTGTTTAAAACATGTGAGAAATTTTCCTTTATCAAAAGAGAAAATCCTGACAATCCTACCGACTGCAGTCTCTCCCTTGTGACAGTAAATAAAGTAAACCATGTGACTGCATATACTGCCTACCAGTCTTGTGAACAATATTTTAATATGGTTACTTTCTGAAGGAATACAGATGGTCAAATTGACTTTGTAATGGAATGGATCTTCTTGTTTTTGAGTATATTTTTGTGTGTCTTGAAATGTGATACTCATATATTGAGTACTGTATTTGTGCTTTGTAATGTTGATTCGGTGTTGAGTACAATATTCTGTGTGATTGTGATTCTCAGGTGTTGAGTACAATATTCTGTGTGTTGTGATGGTGATTCTCAGGTGTTGAGTACAATATTCTGTGTGATGTGATGATGATTCTCAGGTGTTGAGTACCATGTGTGTTGTGATGGTGATTCTCAGGTGTTGAGTACCATATTCTGTGTGTTGTGATGGTGATTCTCAGGTGTTGAGTACAGTATTCTGTGTGTTGTGATTCTCAGGTGTTGAGTACCATATTCTGTGTGTTGTGATGGTGATTCTCAGGTGTTGAGTACAATATTCTGTGTGTTGTGATGGTGATTCTCAGGTGTTGAGTACAATATTCTGTGTGTTGTGATGGTGATTCTCAGGTGTTGAGTACAATATTCTGTGTGTTGTGATGGTGATTCTCAGGTGTTGAGTACAATATTCTGTGTGATTGTGATTCTCAGGTGTTGAGTACCATATTCTGTGTGATTGTGATTCTCGGGTGTTGAGTACCATATTCTATGTGTTGTGATTCTCAGGTGTTGAGTACCATATTCTGTGTGTTGTGATGGTGATTCTCAGGTGTTGAGTACCATATTCTGTGTGTTGTGATGGTGATTATCAGGTGTTGAGTACAATATTCTGTGTGATGGTGATTCTCAGGTGTTGAGTACGGTGCTAGTATTACTGTTGCTACATTGTAATTGTATCCTGAGACATTAAATTGGGACTGTGTCGTCTCCTTCAATACTCCACTTATGGAGTCTTGAATACTGACATATACCCTACATTAACTTTGCTCTTTAGATAAAGCTCTATTTGGCTAAAAAGTTTATTACTGGTGCTGACAGGTAAAAGTAAACATGTTTTACTTGTTTAATACTGTAAAGCTGGACAGTTTTCAGTAGTGCATGGTTTATAAAAAATTTGTCGCAAAATCTATTTTGTCAGAGAAGTGCAGGGAAAACATAATAAATAAGTAGTGTTTCAACTATTTGAAAGATACGTAAAATGACAGCTACCGACTGATTCTGAAACAATTTGAAAGAATTGAATTTCACAATCAAAATTACCTTGGAATTTAACATTTTTTTCACATTTATTTTCAGTTATGCAGAAGAAGGCAACATTGAGCGAGAGAAACTATATGGTATTACAAATCTAGTGGAACATCCGATACAGATGAAGCCTCCAGGTTTGTACAGACAGACGCTGTTTGGGTGAAGAGATTTACACCAAGTATTTTGATTATTTCCCATGGCATGTTAAGCATGTGAAAGATCAGTTTAACAGGATTCAGTATGCATGGGATCATTTGATCATTTTACGGAGCCTCTGACGATTCTCGTGTACTTAGTACAGTAATCTGTATGTTGTAACGGAGATTCTCAGGTGTTGAGTACAGTATTCTGGGTGTTGTTATGGTGCTTTTTAGGTGTTGAGTACAGTATTCTGTGTGTTGTGATGGTGATTCTCAGGTGTTGAGTACGGTGCTAGTATTACTGTTGCTACATTGTAATTGTATCCTGAGACATTAAATTGGGACTGTGTCGTCTCCTTCAATACTCCACTCATGGAGACTTGAATACTGACATATACCCTACAGTTCATTAAAAGAATTCTGATGTGTTTATTGTAAAATGAACTGTAATACTGAAGATATATATATTGTGTGTGTTTTTTTTTTCAATATTTGTTTTCTCTCTTTTTCCTATACTCTGTAGAAATTACACTTTCAACTCCTTATTTCTAAGCATTCTTTTTGTTATGAAAGATGTTATTTATCTTAAGAAAGGTTAACAGTTTGGTTTGAGAACTAGACAAACTTCAGGGCAGGTCCTAGTAATTCAGTGACAGATATGTATTTATGATTGTTACACACATGCACACACGCGCGCACGCACGCACGCGCGCACACACACACACACACACACACACACACACACACACACACACTCCTGAGACTGGAAGGTTATTCACTCTTCTTCATGGACTTTGATAGCTGAACCAGAGAAGGCCCCAGAGATTCCTGTTTATCTCACAAAGAAAGAGCGAAAGAAGTTACGACGTCAAAACAGACAGGAAGCTCAAAAAGATGAACAAGAAAAGATTCGACTTGGTTTGCAACCTCCACCAGAACCAAAAGGTAAGGGTTGATGTAGAACTTTAAATAACTTTAAATAATACTGTCTTTTCCTTTTATAAGGATCTCAAAACTTCATGACCAAGTTCAGTAATAGCCTTCGTTGTGAAGTCACACATTGTATGTTTACTGGTAGTCAGGACGACTGGCAGGGCGCAGCAATAACTCATTTATCCAGAATGTTGACCTACGTGATATTTGGGTTAAGATCCTCCGCAGCATGCATGATTCGGTACCCCCTACTCACTGTTGTTGGTGTTTCTCTGGAAACTGAGAAATGGATTAATTAATGTTGATGAAGATGTGGCGTTCGTCAAAGTACCTTACCCCAATTGCTCTTGATGGCACATGATGGGCCTCCTGTGTGTTGTTCAGTGAGGTAATCACAAGTTTATACAAGGCAACCATGACTTAAAATGACCCTGACTGTTCCTGGAGTAATAAACGCGGCATACAAATGTCGAGATGGCTGCCGGGGGCTGTTGATTTGGACCATTGAAGTATTGCCACATTTTCAGTCTTTGTGACTATGTTCAGGATAGGTCCTAATTGTGTATTTTCTCTGGTATTTTGCAAAGCAAGGATAGCCAATATTTTATTACTAGACATTAATATTTGAACTTTTGATTCCTTAGTTAAAACTTTGACATCTACGATTGAATGTCTTTGTGTTACAGGAAGGATACTCATTTAAATACTTGACCGTAACATTTGAACTTTGACCTTAAGGTTGAAACCTTCAAAAAATGTGTATGGTTACAGTGAGGATGGCAAATCTATTGTAACTTCATATCTACACTTGAACTTTTACTTTAACATTTGAACTTCTCATTTGTTACAGTCATAATTGCCAGTGTTTCAAATCTTGACCTCTACATTTGAATCTGTTTGACCTTTAAGATTGAACTTGTTTGACCTTTAAGATTGAGCTTGTTAGTGTAACAATGAGGACATTCAATGTTTTAATGTACTTGACCACTATGTGTGAACTTTAACCTCTGGGTCTGAACTTCTTTTTATTACAGTGGGAAGGGTCAGTGTTTTAACATTTGACCTCTACATGTGACCTCTATGTTTGAAATTGTTTGTATTACAGTGAGGAGGGTCAGTATTTTAATATTTGACCTCTACATGTGACCTCTATGTTTGAAATTGTTTGTATTACAGTGAGGAGGGTCAGTAAGGAGGGTCAGTATTTTAATATTTGACCTCTGCATGTGACCTCTAGATTTGAAATTGTTTGTATTACAGTGAGGTGGGTCAGTTTTTAATACTTGACCTCTACATGTGACCTCTAGGTTTGAAATTGTTTGTATTACAGTGAGGTGGGTCAGTTTTTAATACTTGACCTCTACATGTGACCTCTATGTTTGAAATTTTCATTCAAACGTTTCAAATACTAGTATACTTGGCACAGAGGATACTGGCATGGAGCTCTACCAAGTTTGTTCAAATGAATGACCTTGACCCACTTTAAAGGTCACAGGGGTCAAATATGTTAAAATCTTTAAACAACTTCTTCTCATTAACCAAAAGGCTCAGAGTGTAGATATTGGGCCTGTGACATGCTGGGATGAAGGACTACCAAGTTTGCTTCAAATGCATGACCTTGACCCACTTTAAAGGTGACTTTAAACAACTTCTTCTCAATAACCAAAAGGCTCAGATTGCTGATATTGTGCCTGTGGCATTTGAAATTGTTTGTATTACAGTTTCAAGAGGTAACTTCTTCTCAAATACTAGAAGGCCTAGGGGGCTAATACTTGGCCCATAGCAGTTTTTGTTCAATACTTGGCCCACTTTCAAGGTCACATGTGACAAAGGACTTCATCTCAATAAGCAAAAGTCTTGAAATTGTTTGTATTACAGTGAGGTGGGTCAGTTTTTCAAATACTTGACCTTTCTACATGTGACCTCTAGATTTGAAATTGTTTGTATTACAGTGAAAGTCCATGAGTTTTTATATACTTGACCTCTACATGTGACCTCTAGGTTTGAAATTGTTTGTATTACAGTGAGGTGGGTCAGTTTTTAATACTTGACCTCTACATGTGACCTCTATGTTTGAAATTGTTTGTATTACAGTGAGGAGGGTCAGTAAGGAGGGTCAGTTTTTAATACTTGACCTCTACATGTGACCTCTAGGTTTGAAATTGTTTGTATTACAGTGAGGTGGGTCAGTTTTTAATACTTGACCTCTACATGTGACCTCTAGGTTTGAAATTGTTTGTATTACAGTGAGGATGGCCAACCTGATGAGAGTTCTGGGGAACGAAGCAGTACAAGATCCTACGAAGATTGAGGCACATGTCCGTGCACAGATGGAAAAACGCCAAAAGTAAGTCATCAGAGTGTTGTCTCATCTATAGAAATGTCCCGAGGGACAGCATTGCTATTGTTTGTACGTCTGATCAGTGATTGATCCGTAAAGTAAATAAAAACAACAACAAGAAAAACAATAACATTCCTGTTTGTTGTTATGCCAATATAAAATTACTTAACTAGTGTGCTGACTTTCAATGTGAAATATTTATAATAATAGACAACATGAGGAAACAAATGCAGCAAGGAAGTTAACTTCAGAACAGAGGAAGGAAAAGAAAGCCAAAAAAATCAAGGAGGATGTATCACTGGGTGTTCATGTTAGTGTATATAGGTAGGTGAGGATTGTCTCTATATTTGTATTTAAATGAGATTTAGGGTTGAATAGTTAAGATATAGTGTCTTGTGGTGATAAAATGTGTTCCCTAAATATAATGTGTAACTAATCTGGTATTGTGGTTTAGACACAAATCATGTGTGACTCACAAAATTTATGCATTTTCATCAGTTCTGTGACTTTCTAATTTCAACATTGATGTATGTTGACCCTGGCTGTTCACAGAACAATAAACCCAGCAAAATAAAAACATGCACAAATTATAAACATTGTGGAGTAAATTTCACTTGTCATCAATGAGGTCTTACAACTTCAAAATCAATCACTCCTCTTATGATTTGGACTGTTTCACGATGCAGTGAACTCTGTCAGAATGCCTCAAGCAAACTAGAATTAAGACTAGAAACTCCAAGTACTTCTGTTTATGCTAAAAATATCCTGTTTATACCATCATCCTTTTACAAATTGATAGCAGAAAGACATCAAGCAGAAAGACTGTTCCCCAGCTAATATTTATAGATTTTGTTTTGGTTACAGGATACGAGATTTAACAAATGCCTCCAAAAAGTTTAAGATCGAAACTAATGCTAAACAGCTATACATGACAGGAATTGTGGTGCTCTATAGGGACTGTAATGCTGTGGTTGTAGAGGGAGGTAAGTCTTTATGCAGTGCAACATTCCACAACTTTTAATGGTGCTGGCAGTTACCGTAATAGATCTTACAGATCGAGTCTAATATTTTTTTTTGTGATCTTGATATTTTGTGTAATAACGCAAAAGTATTGTGGAAAAATTTCGTAGATTTCAAGGTTTTGGAAATGTTGAAATTATTAAGGTTTAAACATGGAAATATTTGTTGTTACTTTCGCTGTTTTAATTTGTCTAGCATAAGGTGAGTCTCACTTTCTGTTTTTCTAAGATGAACATGTACCTAACAAGCAGTATGAAAATCATCAATTACTATTAGTTATGCCTTTCATTTCAAAATTATTCTTTAATTATGTTATTGTACAATTTTCAAATCCTACTTACATTTTATAGTTGAAATTAAAAAAAATCCTTTTGTACCATGAAAAAGATGTAGAAAAATGTTACAATTTATGGAACCTTAACAGTAGAGGAAAATCATTTTTAAATTAGGTTTCCTTTTTTTTTTTTTTTTGTAGGTGTGTGTTGTTTTTTTCTGTATGTAGTAAACAATTCATGAGGTGTAAGTTAGTATGTTAACAGATGAGATCAAGAAGAAAACCTTTTTAAATATTTGCGTAATTTGTATATTTCGTAGGCCCAAAACAACAAAGAAAGTTTAAGAGGTTGATGTTACACCGAATAAAATGGGAAGAGGACCAGCATAAAGGCAAAAAGAAAGACGATGGTAAGACTTCAAAAAAATAAAACTTTCTTCTGGTTTAGAATTTTGGTCATTAGAATATTAAACATTGTAATATTTTCTCACTTAGAGATGGAGACAGATACTTACAGCTCATATGTCGATAAAACTCAGCATAGATAGAACTGAAAATGTTTTGATAACTTTATGATAAATATTCTTTTATTTTCTTATCGAGACCTCATTTTAACTCTGTTGAACAATTTGGAAAAACATATCAGAATATTTTTTAAAGTTCTATTTTCTAAAAGTGCATCCATTTGTGTTCATACCATATCTCAGAAAATGAGGCATTGGTCTCTGACTTTTGGAATGAAGATGACACGTTTTGTTACACCTGAACTATTTAACAAGGATGTTTGAATTTCATTCATAGTGAAGGAAAAGATGTCATCTGTCAAGAAATTTCAAACATCGATGACCCTAACTTGCCTTCTAATGGATAAATCCTGCCTTGTGCTTTGAGACTGCTTTTAAAACTATGAAAAGAAAACTCTTACATATTTCAAAGAATGAGAAATATTTACTGTTTTAGATGACAGCGATTCTGAGGAGGAATCAGATAAAACAAACAAATGTCACCTTGTTTGGGAGGTAAGGAAAATTTGTAGTCAAGCAAATGTCACTTTGTTTGGGAGGTAAGGAAAATTTGTAGTCAAGCAAATGTCACCTTGTTTGGGAGGTAAGGAAAATTTGTAGTCAAGCAAATGTCACTTTGTTTGGGAGGTAAGGAAAATTTGTAGTCAAGCAAATGTCACGTTGTTTGGGAGGTAAGGAAAATTTGTAGTCAAGCAAATGTCACTTTGTTTGGAGGAAAGGAAATTTGTAGTCAAGCAAATGTCACGTTTTTTGGGAAGTAAGGAAAATTTGTAGTCAAGCAAATGTCATCTTGTTTGGGAGGTTAGGAAAATTTGTAGTCAAGCAAATGTCACGTTGTTTGGGAGGTTAGGAAAATTTGTAGTCAAGCAAATGTCACGTTGTTTGGGAGGTTAGGAAAATTTGTAGTCAAGCAAATGTTACTTTGTTTGGGAGGTAAGGAAAATTTGTAGTCAAGCAAATGTCACGTTGTTTGGGAGGTTAGGAAAATTTGTAGTCAAGCAAATGTCACGTTGTTTGGGAGGTTAGGAAAATTTGTAGTCAAGCAAATGTCACTTTGTTTGGGAGGTTAGGAAAATTTGTAGTCAAGCAAATGTCACTTTGTGTGGGAGGTTATTTGTAGTCAAGCAAATGTCACGTTGTTTGGGAGGTTGTCACAAATTGAAATATTTGGTTATCAACACATATTGTGAGTAATATCCACATAATTGTTTGGTGGATCACTAGTGTTCCTGTAGTTGCTACACAAAGACAGGATGACGAAGGTTTGGAGATTTCATTGCAGTCCCTTAAAAATCACTAATGCTTAATCTTTCTTTGAAATTTCAGGGAACGACAACAGCAAGAGCATTTGGTGAGATGAAATTTAAAGTGTGTCCCACAGAACTTTTTGCTCGTGAACATTTTAAAAAGTGTGGTGTGGAGCAGTACTGGGATTTAGCTTACCGTGGTGCTATCATGGATTCTGCTGGTGATGATGACCTTTGACCACAGACATTTGTCTATAATTTCTTAATGTCTTCATTTTGGAGTTATTTTCTAAAGATAAGACCACAGCTTGACAGAGGATGGAGACTGTCCAGATCTGACCTCTGACCTGCTGGTGATGATGACCTTTGACCACAGACTTTGTAGCAATTTCTTAACGTCTTCATTTTGGAGTTGTTTTCTAAAAGGTGATTCCATGACCTCTGAACTTTTGAAGATCGTCTTTGAACTTTGACCTCTACCAGAGACTGGTTTTTTCTACCATGTACAGCTGGTAGTGTTGTGAAGCAACATGTGCTACTTATATTAAGTGATTTTACACTTACAAATGTGCATCTGATAAACAAGGCCCTATTTCTATTGAAGTGACTGTATTTTTACCTCTGCAGAAAATATTATACTTAAAAATATTTTCAAAGTTATCTGAAAATAACTGTTTATGATGAAATGATGTATTGGAAAGGATCAACAGTTGGGTATGAGGTGAGTATTTATGTTAAATACAGAATCCTGTAGGAGAGTAGCTACTCTGTCCAACATCTGTCATGTCAGAGAGGTTGATGTGAATACACATGGCTACCAATCTTAGTTCACCATATCATAACCTAAAATTTTAGACATTGCAAACTATTAATGGACTTGGTGTGTATCTTGAATGAAGGAGGTATAAAATTTTCTGCAAAGGTGATCAGGGCTGGATCCAATTCTTTTTCCATCACCATTGTCCTCATTGGGATTATGACTTGTATATTTTGTGTACCAAGGATATCAGCGCTGCAGGTCTGAAATATCTCCTGCAAAATTTTGGAAAATAATGAATAAATGTTGTTTACATATATATATACATGTGAGGGAGTTGTCAAATGTTTTTTTTTATTCATGAGCGAAAGAGACATTAATTTGAAATTAAATCAATCAAACATTTTAAGTTTTAGAGTCCTGATGTTCTAGAAATTAATGAACTCCATTCAAGCAATCGGTAAATGGAAACATGAGTAAAAATCATTTAAGATTTAAGTTTGTGATGACCTACCTTATTATGCCCCAATCATTTCAATATTCCAAGATTCAATGAGGTCTGTCATTCCATCATTATTCGGTTTTCGTTTCTTGAAACGATACAAATATAGAACTGTAATTCGGTGTTTCGTTTGTATAATAATAATATTGAGACAAAAAAATCAATTTTATTTTAGATTCTTTATGATTGATTCTGCAGGCAGAATTTCATTTCATGAATCAGGAGACTAAAAACTTCCAAAATCCTTGTTTGCCGGCAGGGATAGTTTCACAGAAGTCTGCCAGTTTTGTTTTCCAATTGCTGTCGAAATGTACGAAAGGGGATCAATGGAAAGATTTATATAAAATTGAGAAAGATCCACAGTTTACTTTCAAAGGAATAGGGATAACAAAAATAACAAGTAAAATACCAACACATGAACAGAATCATAATCAAAACTAAAAAAAAACTAGAGCAAAATATGAACAATATACACTGAAAACGTACAAGGACCAGGTGTTCCAGAAGAGAAATCATTTTTGGCTTCATTGACAAAACTTGCTATGTAAAGCTAGGCCAATCCAAGTTAGTAATGTTGCTTTCTCAAGTGAGAACGAGGTACACAACAATTGAAACAACATTCAAACTTATGAACATCCAACATGTCCACTTTTAAACAAGAATTGTTTAAGGACTGACACGGATTTAAATAAAAATCTAAAACAAGTAAAAGGCAAGAAGGTGAATGATCCAATATATACAAAATATTAGTCATGAAATCGTAGGCACAAAGTTTCATGTGGGATCTCTTAGAATACAACATGATCACAGAAACGGACAGTGATCAAAGGAGTAATTCTGAACAGTGTCAGCCGGTACTGTGTTTCATGTCCAGTAAATTTGAGAGTTGGAACTTAATGAATCTTAGAGAGGAAAGGTAACTCGAAGTTATTCCGATAGCCTGTACCCACAACAGTCAAGTGTAGACTTAAGATAGCGTTCATTTTCTTTATTTTGTTGTAAGGATATGGAATACTGTCCGAAGAGAGTTTTATCAGCACCATAAAACAACTAGAACTTGGAAACTCAATCCAAACTCAAATTCAATAAAACTACTGCAAAATAAACAAAAGAAATGTTTACATTGAGAATCATGAAAAGGTGCAAGGAGGAAAAGACCAGGTGTTCCGGAAGGGTAAGTATCGTCACATTCTCAAATAAGAAAAGTGATGGATGACGTTAGGATTTTATGGATGAGGTGAGGAGTGATGGATGACGTTAGGTTTTTATGGATGAGGTGAGAAGTGATGGATGACGTTAGGTTTCATGGATGAGGAGAGGAGTGATGGATGACGTTAGGTTTCATGAATGAGGTGAGGAGTGATGGATGACGTTAGGCTTCGTGGACAAAGTGAGAAGTGATGGATGACGTTAGGTTTATGGATGAGGTGAGGAGTGATGATTGACGTTAGGTTTTTATGGATGAGGTGAGAAGTGATGGATGACGTTAGGTTTATGGATGAGGAGAGGAGTGATGGATGACGTTAGGTTTATGGATGAGGAGAGGAGTGATGGATGACGTTAGGTTTATGGATGAGGTGAGGAGTGATGATTGACGTTAGGTTTTTATGGATGAGGTGAGAAGTGATGGATGACGTTAGGTTTATGGATGAGGTGAGGAGTGATGGATGACGTTAGGTTTTTATGGATGAGGTGAGGAGTGATGGATGACGTTAGGTTTATGGATGAGGTGAGGAGTGATGATTGACGTTAGGTTTTTATGGATGAGGTGAGGAGTGATGGATGACGTTAGGTTTTTATGGATGAGGTGAGAAGTGATGGATGACGTTAGGTTTATGGATGAGGTGAGAAGTGATGGATGACGTTAGGTTTATGGATGAGGTGAGGAGTGATGATTGACGTTAGGTTTTTATGGATGAGGTGAGAAGTGATGATTGACGTTAGGTTTATGGATGAGGAGAGGAGTGATGGATGACGTTAGGTTTAGTGATGGATGACGTTAGGTTTATGGATGAGGTGAGGAGTGATGGATGACGTTAGGTTTATGGATGAGGAGAGGAGTGATGGATGACGTTAGGTTTATGGATGAGGTGAGGAGTGATGGATGACGTTAGGTTTTTATGGATGAGGTGAGAAGTGATGATTGACGTTAGGTTTCATGGATGAGGAGAGGAGTGATGGATGACGTTAGGTTTATGGATGAGGTGAGGAGTGATGGATGACGTTAGGTTTATGGATGAGGTGAGGAGTGATGGATGACGTTAGGTTTATGGATGAGGAGAGGAGTGATGGATGACGTTAGGTTTTTATGGATGAGGAGAGGAGTGATGGATGACGTTAGGTTTCATGGATGAGGAGAGGAGTGATGGATGACGTTAGGTTTTTATGGATGAGGAGAGGAGTGATGGATGACGTTAGGTTTCACGGATGAGGAGAGGAGTGATGGATGACGTTAGGTTTATGGATGAGGAGAGGAGTGATGGATGACGTTAGGTTTTTATGGATGAGGAGAGGAGTGATGGATGACGTTAGGTTTCACGGATGAGGAGAGGAGTGATGGATGACGTTAGGTTTTTATGGATGAGGAGAGGAGTGATGGATGACGTTAGGTCTTTATGGATGAGGTAAGGAGTGATGGCTGACGTTAGGTTTTTATAGATGAGGTGAGGAGTGATGGATGACGTTAGGTTTTTATGGATGAGGTGAGGAGTGATGGATCACGTTAGGTTTCACGAATGAGGTGAGGAGTGATGGATGATGTTAGGTTTCTATGGATGAGGTGAGGAGAGTTGGATGACGTTTGGTTTTTATGGATGAAGTGAGGAGTGATGGATGACGTTAGGTTTATGGATGAGGTGAGGAGTGATGGATGACGTTAGGATTTTATGGATGAGGTGAGGATTGATGGATGACGTTAGGTTTTTATTGATGGAGTGAGGAGTGATGGATGACGTTAGGCTTCATGGATGAGTTGAGGAGTGATGGATGACGTTATGTTTCACGGATGAGGTGATGAGAGATGGATGACGTTAGGCTTCGTGGACAAGGTGAGGAGTGATGGATGACGTTAGGTTTCACGGATGAGGTGATGAGAGATGGATGACGTTAGGCTTCGTGGACAAGGTGAGGAGTGATGGATGACGTTAGGTTTCACGGATGAGGTGATGAGAGATGGATGACGTTAGGCTTCGTGGACAAGGTGAGGAGTGATGGATGACTTTAGGCTTCGTGGACAAGGTGAGGAGTGATGGATGACGTTAGGTTTCACGGATGAGGTGATGAGAGATGGATGACGTTAGGCTTCGTGGACAAGGTGAGGAGTGATGGATGACGTTAGGCTTCGTGGACAAGGTGAGGAGTGATGGATGACGTTAGGTTTCACGGATGAGGTGATGAGAGATGGATGACGTTAGGCTTCGTGGACAAGGTGAGGAGTGATGGATGACGTTAGGCTTCGTGGACAAGGTGAGGAGTGATGGATGACGTTAGGTGTAATAGATATGTTATTTTTCATTCAGTGAATTGCATGTATTATGTTGTATATTGTATCCGAGCCTGATGAATACTTTAGCTTGATTGATATTGTTTATATTGTCCTATCAGCAGCAGATACATGCAAGGTGAGCAACCAAACAGATTTTATTTTGCATGTATATATGGTCCGTGGGAATTTGCGCATAGGAACCAAACAGTGAAATTCGATACACGTTAGGTAATACATATGAAAATAAAATGAAGTCCAACACGACAGAGCTGAAAACCCATTACATCTGCATATAACAAAACCAGTATTCAATTTCGAACGAGACGAGGAAGTAATTTGAATACCCTGCTTACTGAACCATAATATTTATGTTTAAACATAAATGTACATGCCGTCACACACCCAGTCAGTGCGCCCAAATCCTAGACGGATACTGGAGTTTACCCTACTGAGACTTGCATTGACGATAAGACAGTTGAAGACAGAATGGCGATGACAAGTCTTGAGGTATGTTCATGGTTGATGTAACAAATCGAAGAGTGACACATTACATCTACATTCTATATATTTTGTATTTTATCAACGAGGAAGTTGTTTATCTTCACAAAGCTTTTTGTTTCGTGTATATATTTGTGCTTGCAACATACTGCTTCCAACTCAGTGAAACTATTGCACAAAAGCCTTGCTTTCTTTATGGATGGGATGAAATGTTTAGGATGAAATGTTTAGGATGAAATGTTCCTTGATTGAGGTAATTCTAATTACATTTTCCCTTAATGTTTTGCATCTAAGCAAAATGTGAAAAAAATTCTAGCTGTGGGTTTGATATAATAGGAATTTACACGAGCTCGTTAAACATTGATCTAATTCTTCCTAGGGAAGTGAAAATATAAATTTTCTCAATGGATTTAACAAATATATAACATAAAGATCATTGTTACGTCACAGATAGCAATACCAGTTGTCATCTGAACGTTTGAGCTATTCACCATGGTTAGATTTTCAGGACAAAAGTTGTTATTTCGTTTTGTCACAAAAGAAATTTCAAGTATTATGTTTACTTCACGTTTACTTCCAACTGGCAAATTAACTATTATTATCGCATAAATGCTTTGAGTGTATATAATGCAGTGAAGTGGTCTTGCTTGAATACATACTGTCATTGGAAAGTTAAAAAAAAAACTTATTTCTTTAAAGATTCAATACATGGAATGATAATGTGTATGAAATATTAAGTCAGTCCTGTAATACTGGTATGTCTGTCCCGCAATGCTGCATGTCTTAGGACCATTATTGAAAATTGTGTGTTGTTGATTAACCAAAACGATAACATACAAGCAGTGGTGTATTTATTGATTAGAACGAACTGTTTAGGGCTTCAACCTGTTGTTATAAACACTAGGTATCTTATATGGAAGTCGACCCTGTGCATGATACACATATGTATGTGATAGTCTTTATACTTCATTTTGGTCTTTTGTTATTGTGCTTCACTAATAATTAAAACGTATTAGTGATGTTTTGTGTGCGATTTTATTTGGTTCAACTCTTTACGTCTCAACAACTATATAATTATGTTTGATAAATTCATTAATGTATTTACAGATGTAATACTGCACAAGAAACTACACCAAGATCATTCTTTTTTCTAAATTGGAGATTAAGCATCAAAAATGGACACGAAGCCAACTTCCGGTAAGTTAGTATCACTGATGACTGGGGGGACAGCTCAACAGTCAGCGACCATTTCAAGTTGAAAGCTTTTACCTTTGTTTTTTTAAAATCTGTTTAAATTTCGAACAACATCAACATTAATCAGTAGATGTGATGACTGAGAACACATGACCCTCTCTATATTTATTACTTACCTGTGATTTTAATGTCACCATTTATCACAGTATATATACAATATATTAAATAGTAAATAATATACCTATCGATATTATCTATGTTAATCACTATTGATTAGATTCAAGAGATAGAACATTATAAATTCTGATAAGTTTGTTATTCTGATTATAATATTCCTCATGTAGATAAATAAAGCAAGAGATAAACTTACACGACATATCGAAAGTACTCTACATAACACACATCAACACAACAAAAAACAAACAAAAAACATTTCGTCATTGGTAAATCTACTTTGTTTATGTCAGCTTTATTTATTTGTATAACACCAAATTTTAAGAAAGTCAAAATGTGTAGATATAAAGTTTAAATGTATGTATTAAAACAAAGTTTTTTTATGTAACTACATAGTTTAACAATGTATAACTTGTATAAAATTATACATAGATTAATGAGGTTTATATAAATGTAAAGTTTAACAATGTATAAAATTAAATAATTTAACAAGGTTAATTTATAGATCTTATTTGTTTAAAAGTTTAAATTGTAGAATTATACAGTGTAATAAGGGGAATTAGTATATATACATTGATAGAGAAGTTATCTTACTTAAACTAAAAAAAATCTTCATTAATGATAGTTTTAAAATGGATTTTTAAGTATCAAAAATTATTTCGTTTAAAATACAATTAAACGACAGTACTGATGTCTATTCCACGGTCCATCTTCTATCTAAACAACTCAGGATTTATATTAGGAATTTAAATTGTATAATAATTATAAAATATAAATAATAAAGTAAACATTGACTCGCGTAAAACATGTGACCGAGTGTTTTATTGCCTGTAGCTGCCTTTCTCCTATTGCATATCGTGTTTATGTTGTGCATTATCGTACAAGGTGTGTTTATACATACGTGAATGTATAAAATGAGCACGAGGCATTTCGGAGCACCTTTAAAATACCTTTATTGTTCGGAAAATTTTCATCCTGTTCTAAAAATACACCAGTTTGCAATGGAGGGTATCATTAGAACAGGAAGCTTGTGTACATGTTAAGCTTGAAGCAGACTGTTGACTAGACCGGGGTTAATTGAATGAATTTACCTTGATATCGAATTACAGGTGAGGCGTGTTATTATTCTATATACCTAAACACATATAGTTGGAAGTACAAGATGTTGTCCTACAATGAGTAATGAGACATATCTACCAAGTGAATTTTATCTGTATTAAACACAAACTGTAATGTATTTCTTGTACTCTTTACCGTGCATGTATATGTTACAGTAATATTGTGAAATCAGGGATTTCGTGAAACTATCAGTGAATTAGTCAAATCCCTAATTCACTTAGAAATTTCACGAAATCACTCAAATCTTTAGGGATTTCCTGTAATTACTGGAATGATGCTTAAGTTATTTCACGAAATCCCTGGATATTTAAATATACTTTATTCATTACTCATACATACTAGTAATGTACACACAACTGAACATCAAGATAAAAAACAAGGGACAAGTTAAAACAGATTTATTTTTAAGTTGAAGTACCAATCGTATGCTGTATAATGTGGATAATGTCCTACCTACATTGTATATTTAAACACAGTACTTATGTTGACAAGTTAGACTACTTGGTATCTACTGGTACAAAGTATGTTACAAGTGTACTTTATTCATTACTCGTACATCGACCCCATCGAAAGCTGTATAATGTAGATCATGTCCTCCCTACAATGTCTGTATACACATTACTTATTTGGACAAGTAAGGCTATTGTGGCATCTGCTATTACAAAGTCTCTTTGCTTTATAGCACTTGCACTCGTTTGTCTGACATTGTTTCTTGCCTTTGCTGCAATCATAACAAAAGAATCCCTGTCCACCAGAAACTGTATGTGCTTTCCATGTTAACATCATAGTCATTCAATAGTCGCTGTGGACAGTGAACGAACCGTGACGAGATAATCATTGCGCGCCGACCTCGTCTGGTAATTTCCGATAGGTTTGGGATGCGTCGATGGAGGCAAGTGATGTTCACTGACGAGTCTAGATTCTGTCTGTGTCGCTCAGACGGAAGAAAACGGATATATCGCAGACGCGGTGAGCGTTTCGCTGCCGCATGCGTGGTTGAACGCGATGTATTCGGTGGGGCTTCTGTAATGGTTTGTGGATGATTCTCCCCTAAGTGGTCCTGGATCCAAACCTAAATGCCGTTCGATACAGAGACCAGATCTTCCAATTTCCAGACGCCATAAACATTGATATAACATTTTGAACAAATTTTCCAAAATAGCATAGGCTATTGATTGCATAATTTAATTTTGAGTTTTTTTGTTGTTGTTGAGATATATAATAGTATGGTTTACAGTAGTGGAGTAAAGTGCTATCTTGTGTTTCGTGAGTGTTTTGATATTTATCACCGCAATAACATGTGAATTATGTGGGAAATATTGATTAGTTGCCAAATAAGCGGTATAAAAAGGTAGGTTAAACAGATATGTGCTTGAATATAGCGATAAGGCGTCCTATATGCAATAGGGAGGGCTGACACTGTGTTGTTTCATTTTACCTATATCTGAAAAAAATAATAATAAAAAAAACACCTGGAATTCTACCTTTTTCTTCACATTACGCTGTTTGTTGTAAATAACAATTTGACTGACGCAATTTTTTGTCTTCTTTTGTAAGATTACGACCAATCAACAATGGCTGTTTCAGTAACCGATACTTGCGTCTGTATTGAGGCTATCCGGTTGAAACATAACTTGTAAACAATTTTTCCTTTCTTTAGCTCTGTCATTAGGAATGTCATATATAGCTAAGCTGTAATTTGCCACACTAGACATCCCTCGTGAAGATAACAACTGGAATAGTCATTCGGCTTATAAATACAGACACGGATACAAACTTTCTATACAGAACAATGTCTTACTCATATCTGCGATGTCATGATGAACTAAATTATCCAGAAAGCAGTAGTGACACGACAAAAAGAAAAACATGACAATAGATATCAAAGTTAAAGTGGTGCAGATACTGAGTTCAGTGAGTCATTGTTGCGATTTTGTCGTGCATTGTGCTGCAAAAAGGAGAACTATCATTAGTTAGAATGGATATAGAAATTTCATTTCAACAAATTTTGTTGACGAAAGATTTTAATGTCAATGTGGATTAAATAACAGGCAAAGCCTATATATAAATTTTCTCCACATAGTGGCCAGAGTAGAATAAGTTAATTGATTTACACTTAGTATTTTCACAAGATTGAAATGAAAATAACACAAAAGAATTAATACAGAAATATTGAAAATAAAGGTATTCAACTCTCACACACACTATACTATGTATACATTAATACAATTTTTTAATATCCGTTATACATTTAATTATATAGTCATCTGTAGGTATGGATATAGACATGTTTTCATACTCACCAGAATGATAGTGAGCAATGTTTCTAAAGTGATATTTGATAGCACAAACGGCTTATCGTTTGAATAAGGTTAACTTACAATGAGTTAAGGACTAGTAATGATCACTTATGTATAATGAACCCGTTCTTCAATTAAGTGACTTGATTGAAATTTATTGAAAATAACTGTATCAGTATGTTAACACAACTTTGTACGATGGAATTCGCGTCTCTGGATGTCAAACTCTGCGAAGTGAGATCGAAAGGGATGTTGCTTTATGTGATGCTTCATGTTCATTGGACCGCACATCAATGAAATTTTCCTGGAATTATGCTTAATACAAGTTCAAAACCATAGATTCATGATAACGATTGTTAGTTTGCAAAAATAATATTACTAAGAATAATAAGAAACTTCAATAATGCATTACCATTTGTACACCCGGATTAGATAGTGTAATTCTATAACGGTTAGGTGCGTTTTCCTGTTACATGATTATTGATGTGAAATGCTTTATAAAATCACGTGGTATTGTTATAATTTTTGCAGCCGACATCATGGCAGCCTATCAGTTCAAATGTTCCTTAGATGAAATGAGCGTTAAGGAATTCTACGACCATTATAAAGACTCCCTTCCGAAGCTGATCATGATCACCCAAGGTTATTGTGGAGAGGTGGTGCTCGATACGTTCGATAGAGAGCAGGTAATGATGTAAACACTGTTTCAGTTGTATTATGTATATATTCAAATAATTTATTTTTCACATATTCATTCCCCCCCCCCCCCCCGAGTACAGTGAATACATAACCCTTTGAGATAATATTTTCAATGTATTGATTAAATCTGCGATGAATGTTTGTAATTTTTTAGAGAAATGTGATTTCTCATGATTTTACGGTTTCACAAAATGTAGTTTTCATTATTTTGCTACGGTTATCTTTTCCTGTGGTTCGCAAAAATATTTTTTCTAAATATCGGATGTTTCTATTATAGGTGTTGCGTATCCATACCTTCTCGATCCAGAAGCGAGTAATAGCTAAGATGTGTGATGGTTGCCGTCTGCCTGGAATAGATGGAACACATCTCAGTATACCTATCAACTATGACGCAAAGTTCTGTATGATCAAATCTGGAGCTAAAGGTGATACCAATAACATATGTGACTCGCTTCTGTTACTTTCACTTAATTTATCAGATTACATCGTTTATATATCTCTCGTTATGAATAAACAACCATGAGAATAAACACAATTTAGAAGTACCTTTACAATTTACAAAATTTGTGAATTTATTCATGAATTAAAAGCTTTATATTTATAATACGTATCTGATGTTTGTCGTCATACAATGAATATTCCATGTAAAGATATTACGCTTCTGGATCGTCAGGCCGTATTCTCCTAGTACATTTCAAGCATCTCCTTCAAAATCTTTCTTCTTTTCTTAACCTGAGTTTTATCAAATTCAAGTTTGAAATAAGACTTTGTTGACATATTGTTATTCTCTTGGTTCTTAAAATACTTTTTGTACCACGTGTAAATCGTTATGTATATAATAACCATATCCACTTTGGTTGGTCAAGTTGCGTAGTGGTAACGTACTCGCCTTTCACCTAGCCGTCCAGGGTTCGATTCCCCGTGATGGATGTGAAAAGGTGTGCGGTCACTTGCCCGAGAATTTTCCCCGGGAACTCCGGTTTCCTCCCACATTAAGACCCCTCTCACGCTTCCATCCGAACCAACAAGAATGATTAATATAAGTTGGAAAAACTTTCTTCGTAAATGTTGTAAAATAAATACAGTTTAATTCCAATCGGTAAGATTTTACAATATATTGTATATAAATATATGTGTACCTTGATTTATAAATGTATCTAATGGCGACATTCAAATGGAAAAGAAGGACCTTTACAATATGTCGTAAACACATGTATAGGTATAGTTATGTATATAATTTCTATATCCAGTTGGTAAGGAGGAGACTTTACAAGATATTGTCCTTAAGCACGATCTCCCTGTTGAGGTTCAGCTTGGGAAGTCTGGAGGGGACACGCTCAAAGTTGGAGACACTGACAAAAGCACTCGTCAGAAAAGCGGTCAGATGTTCAGGATTTCTTTACTGGAAACACATGACGAATTCTTCCTTCTTGGAAACGCAGTGGCAGGAAGTACGTTAATATCTAATATCATTTCTATTTTTTTAAAATCTTTTTAAAGTATACTCTTTTATTTCTGACTTCATGTTTCGGTTGAATTACAATGTGTTTGAATTTTAAATTGACATGAAGATACCATACTTTCATAGACCTAGACATTTCGTATATTTTCTCGTCATAACATGTCTGAACTTAATCATGCGTTTAATTGTGTTTCAATTATCATATACAACATGGTTATATCTAGTAATATAATAAAACCTAAACCATTTGAATGATAAGTGCTATATATACGTAAAACAGTTTTTAAAGATGGTTTCTGTACATCAAAAACTGTTTAAAGCAAACCATGTATATCACAAACCTAGTATACAATAAAGATTTTAATATAAAAAATTTCGAATATAACCCTATTATGCATGCTTGTTACGTTACTTGTTTTCAAAAGAAAATAAAAACGTTTTGTGCTAGTGTAAAGATTGCTTTTCTTCAATGATTTTCGCGGTTTTGAAAAAAAATAATAAAAACAATAAAAAAAGCAGAAAAGGATGGTTTTCTTACGGCAGATATGAAGTGAATGATAGATAATTAAAAATACTTAATGTCATAGATATGTCCTCGAAAATAGTGATCAAAATAAAACTTCAAAATAAATAGGCCTTCGCGTATTCTGAATCACCGAATTCAGTAGTATAACATTCATTAATTACTAATTCATAGTCATAGGAACAGATCATTATTAAGAAATGACAGGTATCAAAATGGTTTTGGGACATTTACAGAAATAAATAGATAAATTTCGGTTTTTTTTCATCATTTATTAATCTGCTATTCTAGACAAAAATTTATGGATGATATATCATTTGATGCTATGTTATAGCCTCCTTATACGGAAAGGTTACGGTGGTACCTGTTTACCTGCCGGATCTTCGTCTGTCTATCATAACTGGGTTCGCAGTTCAACCACAGGAAAGGTTCGACGCTGTCTGTAGAGAAATGCATGCACAGGTGGTGAAGAATATCAGCTTTGACGATATCAAAGGAAATGAAGGTTGGTCAAATACGGAGATTAATATAGGTTCTTCTGCTTGTGGTTTGGATCGAATGATTTTATTGCAATTTTCCTACCTATCTCGTATCTTTCATAGGAAGATTGTAAAAGATACATAAGTTAATATCATCCTTTCATTACAACTATGGAACGTAATAAAGAAGAGCCAAATAATGAATAAGAATCACCCTACAGCTGCTTCTAGGACTCGTCAGGTCTAAAACAGTTACTTATACAGTTGTATATTCTGTCTTGAAATAGAAATAAGGAGAAGGCGCACAATAGTTCATAATTACAGTGCCTATAGAAACCATCTTGGGTTAGGAGAAAACAAAGTTGTGTTAGAAATTTTATCGATGATATTTATTATGTACGCGTACGCCCCTAAAACCTTATCATGTCATTTCCTATCCATACATGTGTATATCCACTGATCCTATCTCTGGTCCATTTGTAATTACTATTTTCCAAGTATTCCATATGCACTTTTCAGTTTTTCGTATTATTTAAAAGGATTTTTATTTCTATGTTTTAGACATTGCTGTTTACTCCGATCACGCCACTAGACACGATATATACTATTACGCTTCACCTGTGGACTATTGTCACATTGACGAAGGTATGGAAAAGGGAAGGAAATCAAAAAGACGTGATGGTTATACAGACCTCGTCCCAAAGACCATGGATGACAATGTGTATGATATCATACCAAGCGATTCATTGTACAATGAGCTAGACACAAAACATATGCTAACTCCAACTCCAGTTAAAGTACCACCGGTTACAACAGCTAAACCAATAACAACGCCGAAACCCATGGCAAAAATTCCTGCATCCAAACCTCCAGCGCAACTTCCATCTTCAACATCCACACCACCTAAACAACTTTCTGCTCTTGATCAGTCTCCGCTATATAGAGCAATTAAGAGCAAGGCAGAGAGCGAGAACGAAAATCCAAAGAAAGAACCTCCTCCTCCGGTTCCAAAACGTGGAGATAATACCTATTCTTTACGCCAGAAAAGGCCGGAGGGCCCTATAGGCGATGTTCCGGGCACAAGAGATGAAAACATAACACTAGTTCAACAAGAGGAGAGTCAAGTAGGGCAGAAACAAGCGGCCGTCAGTGGCAAGTCGGATAAAATCAACGTAAAAGAACTTGATATTGATGAGTTAGGCAAATTCCTTATTAAACTCAAACTTCAGAAGTATACCGAAACATTCAGAGACAATTTAATTGACGGAGCTATACTTCAGGAACTGGATCGGGATATTCTTATTAATGAGTTTGGTATGACGAAACTCGAGATAATCAGACTGATGAAATTTGCAACAGCTGGACATGTTCCAAAAACACAAGACACGTGATTATGTATTTCCTGGTCAAAATCGTTTAAATCTATTGTGACTATGACCTTATCGTAATGAGTGAAGATACTCTGGAAAAAGAAATCATCTGCTTCGGACAATAGGAGTCGTCTGCAAATATAAACAGGGGTCGCCTGCTACAGTAGATAGGAGTTGTCTGCAACTGTAAATAGAAATTTATTTTCGAAGAATTCGTGGGTAATCTAAATCACTAGATATTCGCCTCAATATAACTGATGTGACAGACTGCGTCAAGGAAATTAATGTGTTACTGATTGAAAAGAGATATAAAAAGTTTTTGTATGCAATGCACGCCCTTTATTGTACATATTTAAAAACCATGTTATTTGATTAATTTTCCATTTATATACCTACGTTTATTCTCGAAAGCTAAGGTGATATTCGTCAGTGAATTGCTCATCTACACATATGTGAGGGTCAAACGACATTTTCCGTAACAAAAACACTGATATTCTTTTCTTAAGTGGTGAAATTCAGATCGATTCTTTTCAGACATAAACTATGGAGATCTTATGAACCAGAGAGGTATCAACATAGTCACATCACGTTTATCACACATCTTTAACATCCTGAAACATGTATGAAGCTCATAACAAAACCCAAAATATCAAGACCTTAAACATCATTTTGACCAGATAGGAAATCTCGTTGACATAACAAATACCGTATCCAGATGATGAAGAATATTAAGCCTTAACCTAATAGCCTTGACTGAGTTTAAGGTATTCTACACGACCAAAAATATACAAGGTCGCACAAAATTTCTTACAATGCGAATCTATTGAATCAATACCGTGATATTTGTAACAAAATGAGTAATAAAATGGGTTTAATGGTTACTTTGGAATGGTGTGTAGAAAGCAGCATCTTAGTTTAAAGTACATCAGGTCAAAAGTCAGTCAATGCTGGACCGATGTAAAAATCCCGTGAGTGATAGGTAGTGATGCACGCCTGATAACGGGCGGGGTGTATGATTGATCAGGACAGATAGATGCTCCCATTTGTATGTGTCGCGCTCTTGAACATATAGGTAAGTAAACAAGATAAGAAGCACTGTACAAGGTAGATCAAAGGGTGTGGAATTGATAACATGTACTCCTAGACGCACGTGCCATCTGAAGTATATGCACAATGGGCGTGATGATAGGAAAGTTGTAAAACTTAAGTATAGGGGATATTAGGGATTGCGAGAGAGTCGGAGGGAGAGTTGACGCCGGGGCACTGGGCAGAGAGGAGAGCGGGGCAATGTATGGGCCCGAGTTAAAGAGCGGGAGAAACATCTAGGATGGTTATGTACTATGACTTTTAATAAACAATGAACAACCAGTCTAGTGTTATCAAATGCATTTGTGTGGTCACTATACGCTACTATGTTACATATTGCAGGAAAAGACGCAAAGCAATTATGGTAATTTCTTTAATCACTGACGAGCTAAAAATTAATGATACTACAGACGAAGCATTTAGCACTGTGAAATTAGGAAATGTGATATAAGACCTTATCCCGCCTTAAAAATGTTGACATGTCTTACCAAATTATAGCATTCAGAAAAATTGAATAATAAATTTCTTTGGAAAGTATCTAAGCTAAACACTTGTTAAAGGCTTGCTATACATATGTCAGACAAAATTTGTAATCCTCTATTTAGGTTATGTATTGAATAATAATGTATTGAACCACTGATAGATACATGATATTTTAGGTAAAAAAAAGTTCATGTAAAAGAAATTACCCTCGTCCAACAAAATCGCATTAAACTCCAAATCCTTTGATATACTGAGGGATAAAAGACAAGACGATAATTTAAAACCAACATTTTTAATTTATACGTTAATGATACCCACGAATTCCTGATGATGATATTTGATGTATTGTGCTTGCGGATAACTATCTATTATTTCTGAGACTATTGAGTGGGACTACAAACTCTGTTAAGCATATTTTTTATATTACAACAAAAGGAAGTAAGCTTACCTCTTTCCGTGAATAAAAACTTTATCTCCATTTTGATAAATACTTTTCCATTTGATATATTCAGTATTAAGAAAATGAAACAAAATCACGAAATGGAATATTATTGAACAGATAAACACTACAGCTAAAGAAAAGTATTCACAGATTTTTTTTATAATACATGGCCACAATTCTGAACTGGCCATGGATGTTTGAAAAATATACCCATAGAACACATGTTGTTTTAAAAAGTCTTGTAATTTAAAATCAAGAATACTTTTCCCCTTGTTCTTTAAACTAGAAAATCCTTTCACACATACTATACTAAATACTATTATATTGGATGTCGATAACCTTAACAACGTATTTAAATCCAAGAATCGTAATGCCCAATTCTTGCTTATTCATTAAGCAGAAGAGGAGATTGATCTTGTATGATCGGTATATCTTTATAATTATATGATTTGATATTTCTTAATGAATATATTGTTCAGTTTGCCTTCAAATTACTTTAAAATTAAAAAAAATGAACCTTACACTTGCAATAGAATAGAATAGAATTTAAAAAAATTTATTTCCATGCGTGAAATTTTGGGTAAACAAAAAGCCAAGCATATTTCTCATCCACTAAAAAAGCTTAGTTATTTTCATTGTTACAAATTATCATACTGCGACGTAGGGTTTATCATAATATTCTTAAGTTTGACATGACTAATAACAAATGTAATATCTTATAATAACATTATCGTCAGACATGTTAAACAAAACTTGAAGACAACAACCGAAGAACAATGTCTCTTGAATAAATGCAAACAAGCAACTTGCTCAAATCCAATTTACAGAAGAAAGTGATCCAAGTTCCCGTACTGGTTCATGTTTTATGTTAATAAAGTGTTTTACTAGGATAATGTTTGACAAGCAGCGACAGAGGCACATCTTTTGTTGTATCCACATCCAGTGGAACTCCAGGGTTTAAGGCACACGAAACAGAACTGGAACTTACACTTGCAGGGCATTCTTTTACATCCCCGTGCGTGCTCCACAAGCGCGTGGCAGCTTGGACAAGCTCGGACGGCTGGAACATTTCTGTAATCGTCTATAGTCTTCTTTGCGCACGTCCTAAGGATCTCCTGTGACATATGTTGGCCCTTGGCAGTCGTACACTCCAGATTCCCACAGAAATCTGCAGCAGCGTTCTCTTTCCAAACATGAAGACATTTCCAACAAAATTCAGCGTTCTCTGGATTGGTTTGGTAGCAGTTCAGACATCGAACTCTATTGTTCTTTTCACTGGATCTGGTAGAGAGACATCGACAGAAGGGGCATTCCTGTATGTCATTATCTTTCTGTAAGCTGTTCCTGCTGAGGCGCATCTCAAAAAGGATCCGCTCGTCCGCGGACAGCTGCGCTTTGACCGTCAGCTCATACAGAGTCCATATGGCCCTACATGAGTTCTGATTACCTCTGACATTAAATGTTTCTATTGCGGGACATTCAAACTGCACTGCTCCGTCCTTCAAGTTATTCCAGCAGAGATCATAGAGATTATCAGGCACTGTCAAAAACAAACGTACTTCAATCAACAGGGAAGTATTTACTTGAATTTTACAAAGTTCTTTTAATAACTTATAACGACTCTTGGACTGTTTTCGAATATCCTACTTTTTCAAATGTTATTTCTTATACTTATCATCACAGCTATTTACTTTTCTTTACCTTACTATTTCATGGTCGAATTTTCCAAAATATACAAATTTGTTTGTAACTGATTATAGAATTATCAAAGAAGATAATTAAGAGCGCTGGTATTAATTTAGGGTTCGAAACATAGATCATCACTTTAGCTACTGAGCCTAGAGTGCTATTTTCTGTAAAATCGTCACGTTTTCTACTATGTTACTATGTGAACTGGTTATTCTAATGATGTGAATAAGTTATAAAACAGCTTTACATTGGGACTAATGCTATTAGTCATATAGGACATTTACAACCTTGAACCATGCAGTCGTTAAGTGTAGCAGCTGGCCAAGTGGTTATCGATTTAACTTGTAGGTGTAAGCAAGCAATTTATTTCACTACTGCGTTAGGAACGCAAGAATATCCATCTATCTCATATTACACATGTGTTTCCTTACACGAGTTTCCTTTCCAGCAACCAAAATACAAACAAAATATGTATATATGGACGGTTTAACAAGTACAAGGATGTCATGACCGGATGCTTTTAAAGAATATGCGTCCTCTGCTTCACTAATAATAACTGTCTTGTTTAAACAGGTCATCTCCCAGATTTTACCATGTTATGAGTAAAGACAACCAGAAAATTTCGTATGGCATACCTATTCCGTGTCCACACGACATGATTGTCCTGTCATCTTCCTCGAAATCCATAATCATGTCTTTGGCGAGGGTCACCAAGTGGTCATACACCTGTCTCATTTCTGGGTGGATGATAATACGAATGGGATCGTCTAGGTCAGTGCTGACCAACTGCTGCTGATTTTCGTACACTAATGCATCGGCCATTTTCACGATATCAAATCTATCTACCGTAAGACCAAGTTCTGTAGCGAGTTTTTTCTTCAGGTCATATATTGACTTTGTCTACAACAGATATCACAAGGAGTTTTAAGCTTATTCGGCATCAAAGCAGAAAATGTTTAATTTTAGGTTTTACAGACTACTAAGCAAAAACAGTTTAGATGTGAGCTATGATGAAGGTTATTAATCAAAGGTAAACAAACTTATCAGCTTTATCAGTTTAGAAGCTTGTTTATTGTATAGAAATTTACGTCCTCTCAACACCCTGGGTTACATGTGAAGAGGAAAGGTGTCTTCATATTGACATTCCAACTGAAAGTAACGCGGTATGTATTAGCTAGTTCACAAATGAAAGTGAACTGCATATCGATGATGTATTTCATTAAGTATCATTTTCAAATGTTCCTTACTTGTTTCGTTTAATAATAATGTTGGAACAATATGAAAATGTATGTAAATAGAGCTGAAGACCTTTCAACACTTTCTACCCATGGCCGATTATGCAGCCTTGACTGTGTCCTTAGGTACACATTTTACACTTTTTGCTCTGGGTGTTAAGTGACATATGTTGTTTAGTGAAGTAATCACCAGCTACTACAAGATCCTGCCCCAAAATGACACTGGCTATCCATGGGGAAATAAACCCATCAAATCACCATGGATATGCTTTATACACCTTACAAGTACCAGTATGTTAACATTTCGTTATAATGGTAATAGGATTGGGCTAATTAGTCTTGAATTGAATCATATAAAATTTCTAATACACTGAAATAGTTTTAAGTTATCTTATATGATTTACCGTATGACATTAATAGACAAGCAGTTTGTTTTGTACCTTACAGTTTTTTTGTTTTTTTGTTTTGTTTAACGGAAGTATATAAAAACCGACATTGACCAATAAATGTCTGAATAATTCGGACTATTGTAAAGCATATTTACGAAAATAACATGTAAATACCGTGTACTATACTTGGTTTGCCAGTTTCATTCCTAACGTATAATGTATTTCACAACCATATTCAAACTTCACTTTTGCTTTCGGTTTGTATATACAAAGCACTATGCTGTAGTAGTAGTAGTATTTGAAAACAATTAGAGAAAACTGAGGGTCGTCCTTATGTGGCATATGCTTAATGTGTGTACATAGCGCTTAATGAAAACAACAAATGATGCAATTTGGGAAAGTCCAATACAAATTGCATAAAACTAATAGTATCCTTTGTATTTATGCTGTGTGTTATATACATGTTCCTGGTTTTCTGTGGATAGAGATAACACAAATCACCTAGCCATGCCTATGTGTTAGGTGTAAGTAGATAATATATTTACCTTTTGTAGATCCACCGTAATCGTCCTCTCATATCTTTTATCCCCTGATAATGTCTCCGTGTTGATCATTTTTGCCATCTCTGTAGAAATTCTAAGCTTCCTCTCTGAACAGAAGTATCCGGGAGTTATCCTTCATGTTGATTTCGGTGACAGTGCGGAACTGTATCCAGATGTTAACCTATGAATTTCGTGTTATTTATATCGATGACCTGACGACGCATAAAAGGAAAACCGTCTTCTTTCACTTTCTGTTTGGAAAACTATGTTTTGGGAAATTACTCCTGCGAGTTGCTTCTTGTCATCTGCACAATTCTTGCGATTATTTGAATAACTATTTGCTTGATGTACTTTATTCAATTCACAAAGTGTAATATAATTATTTTTCACACGTGGTGATTAATATATTTTTAATCTAAGAACTTCCAGCGTGAACAAAATCAAACCGTAATTAATAAATAAATGAAACAAAAGACTAACAAAGAAATAGTAGCATTTAAGAATTTTTTATTCATTTGCCTCTTCATCAGTCGATTAGCCGTTACGATTTCATAGGTTATAACATAATGGAACCATAGGGACTTGTTACGAATTTCCAAGTCCGTATATATATAATGTAGTATAATATATATTGTAACACAACTGACAACAGATGACAATGTTTGACTTGTGTCCCGTACGGTCATATGTGTGGACTATGTGTTGGGAATTCGTGACAAGTTCCCGTGCATTGATCATTTAAATCAATGATTACATTATCAATAGATAGATAAACATTGGACTATATTACCCGTATGACATGTTTCTCCGTCATCAATTAGACAATGTCTTCCTACTCTATACAATATTAAAAAAGACACACACAATGAATCAAATATTACATAGCAAAACAACAATTTGGAAATATGTGTGATCAGATGAAAGAAAATGTGATAAGATGAAAGAAAAACTCCAAAAGAAAATAGATACCCCCTCCCGCTAAAAAAATACATATTATACATATAAGCTCGACCATAAATATCCGTGATATAAGGCGCTGTAATGTCGACATCTTGTAACAACAGTTACAACTAGAACTTTAACTTAAGTATATAATACATCAATGTAATTGGTATCATAAATTTCTCGTCTCAGACGCACTGATATTTCGCTGTTTAATTGCTTTATCACTACATGCGCAACACACCATATGCACCTCTATATAAGAAAATAAGCAAATTCCTCGACTTAAAACAATATGAATAGAAGCATTGGTATGTATGAGCAAATTGTATCCCAAACGCAATTTATGTCAATTTTAAAAACCATTGGTTTCCTGAATGAAAAACACTTTGTTTCCTAAGTTTAATATACATTACACCTGAACCTAGTTTTATCATTCAAAAATGACGCATTTCAAAAGTTTACTGTATAATATTTATGTATATTGTAACATACAAAAAATACGCAAACTTATGACAGACAAACGGACCGTTTCTTTATTTCCTCCATGCAGAGATCAATTAGCATGTCCTATTTTACAATTAATTACCACGTTTCAATAGAATAAAGGTATAAATGGAATTAAGTGGTAATATATTAAACAATCATTACTGCAATTATTGGCAGTTTTACACGTTATTTACATGTTGACGTCATCAGATACGTCATCTAAGAGAGTCAGTTCGCAAGAAGGATGTTTAATTCACAAAGCATGTGTTTTACACATCGTGCGACTCCAGCAATGTAATCCTCCCATTCATCGTCTTCCATTTCTATTGTCCCTCTGCTCCCTAGTAGAAACAAATACTGATCGTCTTCATCTAACAAATCAAATTTGACATAATTGTTTACTGTTATCGTATTTACAATATGGTCAAGAAGCATATCTCTACTACTGAATAAGGCTGGGCATTGGATAAGAACATGCTTTGCAATGTTTGTTGTTGATTTTCGACAAAGTTTACAAATTACACACTCTGTCAATGTCCTATAAGAGAGCTTAACAAGCTCAGCAATTGCCCATGTCAGCTTTGGATACTTTAAGCTAACAGAGGATTCGCGCCTATATGAGGATGTATACGTCTATAATGTTCCACACTGTTATCACACCTATTACACCACTGAGCGAAATGATACTCTTCTATTAACTCAGCAAGAGAAGAAACAAAAACAATAAAGATTTTTAAAAATTTGTGCCGGAATGTTTAAGCTTTGTTCTGGTAAAATAGCGCGTTAACACATTCCCTACTCTATTTATCTGTTTGTGTATGTAGTGGTATTTACTCTCTCACACAAGAAACATCTATACGGATTGATAAGGTGCCGGATCGCAGTTTATACTGTAATCACAACCTCCGTTAACGCCTTTCTGTTTCCATGGTTGCAAACAAATAAAGCAGAAAATGTACTGGCATTTGCAAGTCATTTGCTTACAGCCGGAAGTGTGCTCGACAAGAACTTGACAACTTGGGCATGCGCGGACAATTGGTGTAGTCCTCTTGTGACCACCGATGGATCTTGACGGGCACGTCCGTAAGATTTCTTGTGTTGCTTTTGGTCCCTTGGATGTGGAACATGACAAATTCCCGCAATAGTTGGTGTTCGTGGTCTTCCATGGATGTAGACACTGCCAACAGAATTCGGCGTTATCTGGATTTGTATTGCAGCAGTTTATACACAAGACTCTATCGTTGCTGACATTGTCTCGAACTGCGATAGAGCGACAGAACGGACACTCTTGAACGCCCTCCATCTTCATCAAGCTATTCTTGCTAAGTTTCATTTCGAACAGTATGCGTTCATCTTGTGATAATTGCGCCTTTACGGTCAACTCATATAGGGTCCAGAGGGAGCCACATGTTGTTTGAGTGCCTCGCACTCTGAACTCCTCAATTGCAGGACATTTGATCTCAAGACCTCCTTGTTTAAGACCATTCCAACAGTAATCATACAGCGTCTCAGGCACTGAAAATATAATCGTTTATTTGAATGTCAGAAAATATATTCACGCATTTCCACAATTTTCACGCATGTAGATTTTTAATATGATATACTACAACAATAGAACTTTCAAAGTTATCTATAAAGAATTATGTTGCAATTAGTTTGGGGTTTGTCCTATTCTGGGGCTAAAATGACTGCACTATTCAACGTTTGTGCTATAGCAGACAAGCGAGCAAGGTAGAACGAACTTGATTTATATGAGGAAAGAAAATTAACTGCATGGGAAAGAAAAGACAAAGTGAAAGGATAATGGACAAATGACAGACAATGAGACTCTGAAGAGATGGGACTGGAGGTTAGCCTTAGTAAAACTTACCGATACCATGGCCACATGACATAATAGTCCTTTGTTCATCTTCGAAGTCTCCATTTACTATATCCGTTTCTGATGTCTTCAGATGATCATAGACAGGGCGAGAACACGGATGGATGACCAGAACTACTTTTGTTGACCAAACAGTCGGTGTTATTAATTCTGCCTCATCGTACAGTAAAGCTTCTCTCATTTTGATGACGTCATATCTGTCACGTGGTAAGCCTAATGGGCCCTCCAGCGCCAACTTTAGGTCACCAATCTTTCTTATCTGCAAAGTTATCGTCAGAAACTTCGTGACAAAATAACATTATTATACGTTTCAATATTGAATAGAACAATTACATTTCTGTCATGTTCCGTCACGTTGACGAAAGATTACAAACAAATACATGAACAACATCAGAATTCAAACGGATTTACGTTTGTTAATTCGTGGTTTTTTTCTGTCCCCTAAAGGTAATCACAGGCACTTGGCACTAATTCCCAACTCATGGTCCATATATATGTACTATAACCACTATGTTATATATTTATCCTGCATGTAGAATTGGATCAGCCATTGTCGGAATACATCTCCCACATACATTATACATATATTTGTCTTTACTCAACAGTCGTGGAAAACAGCTGTATTTTAGCACGTGTGTTGATTCCATTTACTTTATGTAATTACCTGAAAATTATATTGAACAATAAAATTAACTGCTGAAGAAAGTGATTTGATATGCTGTTATAACTTAGTTTATTTATATTCATTAAATCGCTGTCATATCTGTTGAACTTTGAATTTAATTTCTGTGCGGAACAATTATTTTGGCGTCCGTCATCACAAAATTTAGCGTAACGTTAGGTAAGACTGTTTAAATAGTATGATTTTCAATTAATGGTGCAGGATTAATAGAAAACATGGCCAGTGCTTTAAAATATAAGCTTCAGTTTGATTCGCCAGACTTCCGCACTGAACATGTGTGGAAGGTCCACCGCATGTTATCAGTTGGGATAAGGTGACACCATCATCACATCACAGGATTGTTGGTAATATCAGTGTCTTGCAAAAAAAAAACGACCCCGGATATCGATCGAGCCCCGCCCAGCGTGACACTTGACGGAGTTGCCAAATCCTTTTCGTGGTCACTGTTGAAATCCTATATAAACAGTACGGTTAGTGGTCTAAATTCTGAGGTTCTGTCGACGTTTTTCACATCGGTCTCCAGACCGACATAAAAAAAATCAATAAAATGTCAGAATAATTTGGACGATGTGTAGACATTGTAATTTCACGGGTCGGTGTGATAAATATATCTTATTACACTATGTAAAACTGAGTCACTTACCTTCTGTATTTGTAGCCCGATCCGTCTTTCATACCTTGGATCTCCGGACAAGTTTCCTATATTGATGTAAGTAGTCATGTTTGTCTGCTCCTCTTTAGATGTCAACATACGTTTTAGTTTCCTTGTAACGATAGAGATTCTGGAAATCCTCAGCTACTACTTTTACTTTTGATATTAATTTAGAACTATATGGACATGTATTGATTTTGAGTAACAGATATATCTGGACTCGAAACCGAAAGTACACCGTCAAATTTTATTGCGCCATTCATATGGTATTGCAGAAGAGATTATCTCTCGTATTGATTAACAAAGAAAATGGAGTTTACCGACAGGAATTAAAACTTTGTAAATCGGAAAAGCGATGGGAAATTTGAAAACACAATATTCACAAACTTTCACAAAGCTTTGGAAAAAAGACTAAAAATATTAATATTGTGTGTTATGGAAGGATATTTAAACCTGATCATAATATTTACGCATGTGCATTCTTATTTTTTGTAGTAATTCGTGCTGAAACATGTATAGTACACCTGAAAGCACGTGCATTGTGTAAATGATGACCATATATATTGTCTCCATTAAAAAGAAAGACAATTTACTTGCTAATTTAATTGCTAAATGTGAAAATTCGTTCTTCATTTTGTTTAGTCCAAAATTTTAAACATTCTATCGATTTTATTGTCTGTGACATTCAAACCGATAAAGAAAAAATGTCAATAGAACGTCAACATTTGTAAACTATCTTGTTGCCTGATCCGAATGGAAGCGCACAAAGGATCTTAACAAAAGATATTATACTGCCGCCTGTATTCACTTTTCACAGAAACAAACGAACAAAATAAACTCAAAATGCACAGATACCTGGAATTCCTTACAAAACAAGACATAACTTTATATAAATCTAGTGATAGCTAAATGTAAAATACAAACGATTACGACAAACAGGATATTTAGTAGTTTCTTCAGTGATAACAAATATATGTCACAAGTGTGTCTAACATTTTAGTATCTTGCGCACACGTGGAGATATAGATTACATGGCCAGTTTCTTAAATATGAGGTGTTTTGGCGAGGGTGAACAAAGACAGACGTGACGAGCCTCTTGCGAACCACTTTTGTTTTTCTGTCACGAGCCAAAATACAGTTTAGATTTAAGACACAGAACATGTATTCTATTTATCCTGCAACACTGACTTAAAAGCTGACTATTGAAACAAACATATTTGTTGGTCAACCCGAACTTACCTGACATTGACGAACTACGCTGAATTTTGCCTGATGACCGACGCCAAAATTATTGCTGCGCGCGGAAACATAGTTCCAAACTTAATAAAATATAACAGCGATTTTATGAATTGTTTTTAATCAACTTGTTCTTTACAACGTGTAAAATCGCCAATTTAACAACAATTTATATTTCTAAACGTAACATTTAAGTAAATTCAGAGCGTTATTCTGTCGAATTACCGCACGTGCTACAGCGGTTTTCCGTCACTGCCGAATACAACAAAAATATATGTGTCATGTGTATTACGAGGACAGTGCCAGTAGCTATATCAAAAAGAGGAGACTGACTAGGCTTTTTGTGGACAATACTCATTGAACTTCGCAGTACGCAACAAAATATGTAACGGGTTTTTTTCGAAGAAAAACTATGTAAACATAAAAAGTAAATTTCAGTAGTAATTTCTTTTCATATTCACATAGAAAATATTACTTATTCTTGTCTGTAAGAGACATAATTTGCTGTCAAACGTTGAAATAGAGTTTAACCTGTGACAAGTTATTACGCGGCTGAAAATATTTCGGCAATCTGCGATTGTCGCTGTTGATGACACGAATCCCCTTGAAATGTCCGACGTGTTATATTAGCTCAGCATTCAAGACGCTCGGTTGGGTATTGGATTTGGTCTTTGTTAAGGTCATTTGCATTGCCGTGTCTGCTGACTTTCATGGAGTAAGCAACTCATTCAGGTTGACCGGTTTTTTTCTTTTTCTTATTATTTAATAAATATATATATATAATTTTTTTCATGAGTCAAAAAAAAGAATTGAAAAAATATTAATGATATATTCCTATATATTTCAATGGCATGAATAAAATAAATACTATTATGACAGAATAAGAGAAATTGTGAATTTAGCCATCAGACTCTTAAAACTTAAATTCTCCTTTCTATCAAGTCCAGCCTTTCAAAAAGTCTGAATACGGACGCGCATAAGAAATACCCACGAGCCAACGGCAAAACAAATGTGTGGCAGAATATGATAAAAATCAAATAAATTCCGTACAAAATAAAATAAAATTCATCCCTTGAAGTCGAAAGAACGTTAAAATCCTGATTACCAATTGCAGTGCTCCCTTATCTAATAGTTATGTGATTTCCAACGCGAATTCTGCACTCTAACAGTCGGATAAGATGTTCGTTTTTCAGTTGATTTTCTTAATGATAATAACCACATATCGTCAGGAATTCCACCGCAGTACCCTGAACAGTCCCCTTATCACACGAAGTCGAACTTTTCCTTTGCATCAAATTAGGTGACAACGATGCGTTGTTTAGCATCTTCAGTCCATTTGTGGCTCTTACTATGCAATTGTTGCGCTGTTTGTATCACCCTGTGTGAAGCATCTTAACTTCCGGTTTGGTGCGGTTTTCAGCACCTTCTGTGATAACCGGTTCAGAAACACTGGAGTTATCCGACTGTTAATGACCACGGACGAATGGAAGGCCTTTGTTACTTCTTACCTCTCGCTTGCACTTTATGGCTCAAGTGTCTTATATCTGGCATATCTGATATACGTGGTGCAAAGACGACTGCAAATTGTCCAGAATCTGGAAAGAGTGAACACATCACAGCTAGTAAACAAGAGTTAGATACAGGATAGAACATAGAAATGAACTCTTAATTGCAGAAACGTGTCAATCATCACTACTACAGCAAACAGAGACAAATTCGTATACATGTGACTTATAAGTGGTAGTCATATTGTTTTCGAAAGGTTAATTACATTTGGGGAGGTAGATTTCCATCTGCTTCCATGAAGTCAAGAACTATAGCCAAAATCCATTCCATTCAATTCTAAGAGGTAATTCTTCGTTGGAGCTACGCGTTTTCAATTAATTTTGAGTATTTTTCTATAAAATTTAAACCATGTGTAATTTCTTTAAATTCTTTTGTTGAAAATTGTCTCCTGTCGTAAAAGGTTGAACTATTTTGGTGCATATGCTACATGTATATTGTTTTATAGTTTTTATACCGAATATGAAGATGAGAACGTAACTACAAGCGTCCTTCGTTTTTATTTCTTTTCTGAAGTACATGGCATCAATGTGGTGAAACTGAAATAAATGCTTAGAAATGAAAAGTAGGAAATCTATTTAATATCATTTTACTTTTCGAGTAAATGGGATGTCCAAGGAATTTGTAAACGTAAAGGGGTGCCGGTCTTGAAATTGCCATGCTAAACTTTGAATAAAGATAATAGTTTGATAAAATAATTTATCTTAACAAATAAAAAAACCAAATATTGTGATCGATAAATAATAATAAAAAATCTCTCTGCTGAACTTCTAATAACTTTGCCTACTTGGCACTTCTGCTAATATAACAATTTGTGAATCAGAGCATTCATTTGAAAATGACATTTTGAAATGTGTTATTTATATATTGTTTAGAAATTTAGATTTTAGTTTTAGAAAAATATCTTCAATATTTAAATCATCGTGTTCCGGAACTGGTGACTAGAGTTATCACCCTTGCTCAGAAATGGCTACGAGAGAAAAGCTCCATTCCGCTACGGAGGCAGATGTTGAGCACAAAGTGTTGAAGTACAAATCTTACCTGGAGACCAACCAAAATGGTAGCAAGGTAACACTGATTTATTTATGGCAAGACAATGTTAATTAGCTGTTTACTTCCATAAAAGGAGAATAAATCGAAAAATAAGATCACCAAATGGCATTGATGGTCACTCAATATGATCAACAAATGAATGATGAAGAACGAAAATAAGAAAGTACCGATGTTCAATGTTGGAAATTGAATATAGCTTAGGAATCGTCAGTGATCTGATATAAATGGTTGATATTTAAAATATTAGAGTGTTTCACCGAACCCCTCGATTCACTAACTAGGTTTCAGAACCGGTCAACATAGTCAAGGCTGTATTCTAACATATAGGCTATTAAGCTGTCACAGAGGCGATATGAGTATAACTTCTTTATGGTTAAGAGGGGAGAGTTTCAAGTAGTGGTCATCGGTCAAGGCCAAAGGTCACTTTTGACCAGTTTAGAGATAAAAAGCTTGAGTACGAGATCTCTGAGTAACCCATTAATTCATCTAGATTATGCCCTCAGTAGTTTTAGATCAGAAGACGATGGGATGTGGGTATGTCTATATGACAACATGCTCACTTTGTTTTAATATGTAAAGGGGAACAACAATGTAACAGAGAGAAATCTATCATCTGCAGAATAGTTAATAGTATATGGTAAAATGATGTTACATATTTTCACATTTTGTACTAAATGGAAAAATGTTCAAAAAATTAGTGTCTTGCCAGTTAATTGTAAATACAGCTTCAAGCATATTTGGATTACATACTCAATTTGAATGCAAAACAAGTTAAGTGATTTCACCCTTGTAGATATGTCATTTCACAGGTAGTTGTGAGAATCGGTCATTGACCAGTACAGTTTATACACCCCCTCCCCCTATTTTTTTTTAATTTTAAAGATAATATGTGTATGAAGTACAAACTCCAATGAGTGTTTTGTTTTTTACTTCAAGGTGCTGTATATTTTTACCCGGTTGTCTGAAATGTTCATCACCATTGCAATTTTACAGGTAATTATAAACTTTATACATACTAAGCGCTATAAGCAAGTAATGATTGAGTTAATGATATTGTACTGAGGGTTGTAATCAATCTCTACCAGAGTTGTTGTTCTTTAACAGTCACAATACACCTCTGTAAACAGCTCACAGACTACCGATAGTTGACCTTGTAGTCAAAGTCAAAGTTAGATATCGTGCAAAACTATGACGGCATCCCTGAAAACACCAAAGAAGGACACAGCTGTGGACTGTTTTGTATGCTATCAATTTTTGAAATGTTACATATTTCTGATATTGTAGCTAAATTACAAGCGGTAATCACTGAAGTTACAATACATCACCATTTATCCCAAGAACATGTCAGTAGTTGAAAAAAAACGATAGTACAAAATATATACATGGCACTTGTTGACTATTTACTCAAAATTAATCTTCCCAATATAATCGATAATGTCTATAACCATATAAACTAATGTAGTCGTTTTCCAGATGAACAAACATCTATTTTCAAAAATAATAATACAAATAACAAAACAGAAAAAAAATGAAATACTTCATTTTTGGACAAAGATATGTTTTTCCAGAATCTTGAAATGGCAAAGGCCATTTACTTAGGTGTTATTAGGGTAATGCAGTGCACTCTGGGAGAGACTTGGTTGTAATAGATAGCATAGGAATTAAGTTGTGTTTAAATAATGCTTGAATTAGCATAATCGCTAACGAGTAAACTGTACAGTAATTCAACCAGAAAATAATGTTGATATGAGTTCTGATGAATTGATACATTTGTATCTGAATGTTATATAAATATCTTCTCATTTTGAAAATTTTCGTTGTAGAAAACTGGAATAGGGAAAGTGGTAAACAGCTTCAGAAAAAAGGATGGAGAAATTGGAGAACTAGCAAGAAATCTTGTTGCAGGTTGGAAGTCAATGGTAGCTCAGAGATTAGAAGCTGAAGATGAGGCTCGAGAATCAGCGAGCCAGGTCAATAGCGAGGATAAATCTGGATCTGAATCCCAGCCTGACAACAGCTCAGCTGGTGAGGATGTCCAGTCAGGCAATGAGACAAGTGAAGAAGTAGAAAAAATTGAAAACAAGTGTAACAAAAATGCCAAATATAGCTCTGATGTCAGCAAAGAAAACTCTTCCAGTAAATCAAACAATGAACGAAACGTCCGCCAAAATGAACAAAAGGAAAGTAAGAGTGACAAAGTGAGAAGTCACAGACATAAGGAGAAAGATACTTTACAAAATGATCATGACAAGCATAAACATGGAAATTCTGACAGTAAGCATAAAAATTCTGAAAGTAAGCATAGACATTCTGAAAATAAGCATAAACATTCTGAAAATAAGCATACAAGTTCTGAAAATAAGCATCAAAGTTCTGAGAGTAAGCATAAACATTCTGAAAATAAGCATACAAGTTCTGAAAATAGACATAAAAGTACTGAAAATAAGCATAAGAGTTCTGAGGATAAAAGTTCCAGTAGTAGGCATTCAAGTTCCAATAATAAGCACAAAAGTTCCGAGAGTAAGTTTACAGAAGACAAACAGGAAAATACAGAAAGAAAAGAGAACAACTTGGGAAGTAAATATAAAGTCGATGTAAATAAGCACAAAAAAGATGGCCAACACAAGAATGAACAGAAAGAAAAGGAAGCAAAAAACTCCATACAGGATGATCATGTTGTAAAAAGTGAAACAAGCAAGAATATGATAAGTCCAGCAGATTCTCGTGTGTCTTCAGAATTCAACAAAAAAACAGAAACTAAAGATGACAGTGATAGTGACCCATTACACTGGGAAATGTTGGAGTCCTTTGAACAAGAAAATTCGCCTCAGCACGAACAATTCCAACGAGAAAAAAAGGAGGTATCAGAGGAAAATTTGTTGTCAGAACAAAATCTGGAAGGGAGCAATCGTTCAGTATTTTGTGATTCTATGAAATCTACAGAATGTGAGAGAACACATGATGGTCAAGTTTTGACATCGAAAAAAGAAAAAGAACACTCAAAAGATCGTGAATCCAAACACAAGCACAGGGAAAAATCATCAAAATCACACCACAGTGAAAAAAAGGAAAGTTCAACAGAGAAAGAAAAACACCATCGGGATGAATTGGGTCATAAAAGTAAACATTCCAAGCATAAACACAAACATTCAGATAAAGAAAAGGAACATAAACATTCAAAACACAAAGAACTTGAAACAGGGGAGATAACTCAAAAAAAAAGAGAATCTGAAAAACAATCACTAGAGAAAGAAGCTCCATCTCCGACAGTGCAACTGAAGGAAAGAGGAAGATCTAGCATATTGGAATCTTTAACTCATGAAGTTGATGAAGGAAAGTTTGTTACTGATGATTTACCTGGTCTTTGGTTTTTAAACTCAAACAATAACAGTCTTTTAGCACATAAAGATGACATGGAGAGTTCAAAGTTGAAAGTGCCTTGTGAGAATTCTAATGTCAAAGTTGATTCCAAAATAAGTGACAAAAAACAAGATTCTACTATTTTTTCAGATCAAAGTTTAACTTCTGAAAATGACAAAAAAGACAAGAAAAGACATAAGCATTCCAAAGATAGAGAAAGTTCCTCGAAAAAGCACAAGTCTGATAAGGATTCCAGATCGAAGCACGATTCCAAGCACCACCATGACAAGAAAAGAAAACATTCTGGTGATGCAGATCACTCAAAGCCTTCAAAAACACGACGTACAAGCAGCCAGGATGGAATGTCTTTTGAAGATCTCCTTATGGCTGGTGCTAGTAAAACTAAACATTCGCAGCCATCAAAGTTGTCACAAAATGATTATGCTAAATTAAAATCAAAATTTAAAGTGAAAAAGAAGGGAGACAATGTTTCTACCAAGAAAGTGAAAGATAACCTAGACCTTCAGGTTTGTTGAATTTAAACAATTTGTTTTAGGACATCTAGAATGCATTCTAATAAGAACATAACTTATCCATACAATTGTGTTTGTTCCCCATAAGACTATTTCTTCGCAGTGAAAATTAGGTTCTTTTCATTTTGGGCTAGATTTTTTATCTACATTGTAATTAAAACTTTTTGAAGAAACAGGTTGATTCAGATTGTTGATATAAGTTATTTACAGTTGAAACCACCAGTAACCTGTAACCTTGGTGTAGAATAATTGCTGATTCTTTTTATTTATTTACTTTTTTCACATATATCTTTTGCCATGGGCTCTGTGCATTTATTATAAACAGCTGGTTTTCACAAAATTTCCATGTACACTACTATACAGTTTGTTTTGACAAACTAGTCCCCTATCACAAGATACTGTAAGCTGGTCCTCTTGTTGTCAAATTAGATACTTATATATACCTGGTAGTAAGATTTTGGCAATTAAATATACCTATGATAATAATTATGATTTATTGACAACTTTACAACTTTTGTATTTTCATTATAGATCCAGAAATGTGTAATTAATTATAAATCTATTCCATTTGATTGGCATTCTGATTCAGGTTACTGATGAGGATATACTTGGCGCACTACCCCAGCCTAATACTCACTATCGGCCGTGGAGACTAAAGGAAGTGGAGGAGAAAAAGAAAACAGATGGTAAATTCTTGAACTAAATATATTTAGTAGTGAGATAAGAACTGCTAATATTCAGTACAACAATATGAAAACCTGTCCAAAAAAATTTCCAGTAACATCTTATGTTTCATCTTAAAGTGTCTTTCCAATGGATAAACGGAACACGGAGTATCCCATGTTTCATCTTGTTATCTGATCAAAGATCAGTCTTGTTTTAATTATTACTGTTTAAATATTCAAATTACTGGTAAGCTCCTTTTAAATTAAGAATTCATAGAGGAGGATTTAGCATTTCTGGGCTGACAAGATATTGAAATCACATATAGTTGTTCTTTTTTTGTGTTGTAGAAGAGCTACTGGATGCTTTTATTGCTGGCACAAAGACTACCGGAAGAACTCAGATGTATTCTGGGAAAAAGCAGAATTTCGTTCCAGGTAAAAATGTTCTCATATAAAGTCAAGTACATGATAAAAATACCAACATGTCAACAGATTTTGAATTAAGACACAATGTTGATGTAAGGAGAATGAAATAACAACAGAAAGATTCCCTAAATATAGTACAAAGATAATAAGACCAGATGTTAAGGTAGGGTAAGCTTCTCCTTAACCTACAACTTCTTGGTCAGTCTTACTAAGGACTTTTCCAGTGAAACATCTACCTGACCCTAGGTCTCAAAAATAAGTCACTGCTGTCCATGGTTTAAATGTATGTTATTTCATCAGCAAATGATCAGTTTACTAAATTCTGTGGGTGGTATCCCTTAAAAAATGGCAGAGTCCTAGGATAGGATGGATGTTTTGCAGTAATAGCCCTTAATCATCACTTTAAATACTTACAGAATTAAAGCACCAGGTGCATTAACAGGTATCAAACACATTTAACTTTTTTGTTTACAAGGAAATACAAAATGTATATCATTTCTTAACCAGATCATGTTAAAACATTCTCATCATCAACCAGGAAGACAACAGTTGTTAGAAATTCGTTCGTTCTCACCATAAATGGCCTGGGCATATATTGTTGTCTTAGGCTGTCATTCTGTCCTATTTCTCTTGCTGCTTGCTTGCGTTTTAACAGATACAGATATATAATTTGTTATGTAGTTGTATAAGATATAGCAAAGCGCATATCTATGAAATGGTGTCCATGTCTAGAGGTATGACCAATATTTCGGAGAATTTCATTTACTGATTTCCTCTTAAAAGTGATGATAAAATTTGAGAACCTTGTCTTATTCTAGTAGGAATTTAAAATTTTCACAGAAAACGTATGACCAAAAGTGAATGTCACCAGTGAAATTTGAATCACGACAGAACAGAATCATAACCACATTATCACAAGGAGGCTGACATGAATACCAAAACCTCCCAGCAACACCTATACCAGTCTCGTATACATAGGCTGTCCTTAAATGACTAAATTTTTTAGTAGGACTTAAAGCAATATAAAACCAAAGTCATATTACAAGTTTACACTATATTTGCCCCATTACTTTTGTTTGGTTTAAAACTATACACTGTATTTTGATTATTTTGTTTCAGAGGTGTACAAGCTGTTTGACGTGTGTATGAAAGTCCTATGTAATAACATAGACAGTAAGTATTTTACTCTTAATGTTGAAGTCTTACTTCACATTACTTGTTCTTTACACATGAGGGATGTGATCAGGTTTTGTGGAGTAATTGTAGACTTTTGTTTTTTTACTTGATCATCAGATCGTCATAATTGATCATCTGATTCTTTGAAGTTTATAGTGATGCCTGCACAGACTTATTTCCAAAGAGGTTGAAGAACTTCCTTTGTCATGTTAAAACAAAATTTCAAAATATTGCTTATTACACCAAGCCCCCTGCTTTGTTTGGTATCTGTATGTTTATAGTTTAACACTATAAAGAAAAGAACAGCAAAATTCTTATCTCTCCAGTAGAGATAAGTCTCTCCAGTAGAGATAAAGTGTCCCTTGACAATACTATACGTTGTCTACATTGTCGTCTGTTATTGGGATTGGATCCTAACAAACAAATATTCATTGGATGCTTACTTCTGGTATAGATATTTGATATAGGAAGTAAAAATGAAGTTCCCTCACATACATAAATTGTAAAACAAAGACAAAGTTACAAACTATAATCAAGATTGGTAGTGTCCTGATTATCCCTTTGGCTGATGAATGCCAATTTTTTTTTATATAGAGCAAAAACAAAAAAAAACAAAAAAAAAGCTTTAAAGCTGATGTTTGAAAGGTAATGGATCAAATACCAACTCAGAGGTAAATCTCAGTGTGGTATGTGTGATAACAATTGTGTACCATTGAGATCCCTTGCCTTCATTGGAAATTTTGTTGATATAATTAATTTCTGTGCAGTTTGATAATGATGACCTTTTTATGTGTTTATTAATTGCTCTGTATTATCAAATTAAAAATATTAATTCTTTCAGTTATACCAACTGAATCAGTATTTTTACATTAAAAATCTTTAATCCTACACTCACAATAAAGAATCAATTTGATTTTGTAGTAATTATTTTCCTTATGTTTAGAATTGTATTTTTGTAGTAATTATCTCCCTTAGGTTTAGAATTGTATTTTGAAGTTATTATCTCCCTTAGGTTTAGAATAATTATCTATCATAGGTTCAGGATTGTATTTTGTAATAATTATCTCCCTTAGGTTTAGAATTTGTGGGTGGTGTGCCATTCACTATCCTAAAACCTGTACTGGAGAAATGTACTGCAGCACAACTTTACCGATTGGAGGACTTCAATCCTGTAAGTTTATTTACTGTCATAGATTTGGTTAGTAACTCTTAGTCTACATTATTATTGAATACAGTAGAAGGTCGTCAGATTGCCAGAGAAGTGATTGAAAACTGAGACCCCTAATAAAACTCAACAACTTTCTATTTATGTATACTGATAAAACTTTTCTGAACATCAATGATCAAAACTTGTTAAATGTTAAATATGTTTCAAAGGCCATGATGAAAGTATGGTTGAAATCTAGTCAGTTTTTAAATGTGTTGAAAATAATTGATGCAAACTGTCATTGTTGAACATGGTTTAATCTTTGTGTGTCTTTAACTATATACACTAAACATTAAAACAGTGTGGTAAGCATTTACAATAACCACGCCTTTACAATACATAAGTTCAGATGTAAAGTTGTACTTTCTCAGGCAAAGGCCCAAGCTGGTGGGTGTCCCGCCAATGGAGAACCATCCTCATAACTGTCTGGCCTCCATTCTTCTCTTCTCTTCTCATTTAGCAGACCAAGAGAGATCTATTTATACCAAAATGTTATGAAACTTGCTTAAGTAATTTTACACAATAGATAAACAGTTTTCCACAAGATTAGTATACGTTGACCTTCATGCAAAGCGCCTAGGTAGAGCTTAGGTAATAACTTATATAATCAGGGAATGAATTATTAACAATGACTATGCATAGATTAAGTCGCTCGCTCTAGTCAATACATAATTCACTCCTGGATGGTAGATGTCAATAATTTAATTAAGCTTGTCTTATTCATGCAAATGAATTATGATTAAAAATCTGATTTATGTCTAACTGAACACAATTTTGAATAATTTATTTAACTTACATTTAAACATTTAATAGTTCACAACGTGATACATTTTCTCATTTTGTTATTAAAAACTTAAGTACAAACTTTTTTCTTTTTTTTTACAGACATCAGTTATGATGTCATTATGTTTTGGTTGTTTTAAAGAGTAATTTTCAAATAATAATTTTTTTTTTTGTTTTCTTACAATGATCATTCAATGATTTGAAAAATTAAAAAGAAGAAAAGGTTTTGAATTTTAATTGTGTTGACATTGGTGATTGTTTTGACTGTGGTATGCTTATTGGTGGTAGCATTTCCTGGAGGAATCGGACTCTCTCTGGATGAACCACTGTCACAAAGACTTCCGGCTGAGCAAACCAGAAGAGATGGAAACCTGGAGGGAACACTACTTGGTTAGTATGCAAACTTCTGGGAAATCAGAGTTGGAAAATTTTACCATTATGATAATCATATCTTTTAATATCATTTATAGGAATTTGTGATTTAAACTTTTGATAGGTCATTGTATAAAGTTTCATCGTCCATTCTGTCATTTCCTGTCCCACCCTTAACCGCCTTTACTTCTACACCTCATCAGTTTTTAGTGGACATCATGCAAGGTCATAGGTAACAAATGACCACTTTTGAAATGTATGCTAGCAGGGATTGTGTTAAATGATAAATTTTCCAGAAATTGAAAATGTTTTTTCTTCCTTTACGGATTCTTATGTAATATTTATTGCCGAGGGTTTTCAACAATGAAAAGAAATACTGTATAGCCAAACAGTATAAAGGTATTTGATTAGTAATGTTTTCTGTTGTAGAGAAAGTTTGATGAGCGGGAAGAGAAGCTGAAGAAAATCAGTGCTAATATCAATGCCTCATTGGCCAAAAAAGTGCCAGGTAGGGTATGATTGGCAGATGTATCTTGGTCGCTATGTCCAGCTGCCCTATGAATAAATGCTAGCTGATTTGTTTTTATCAATTTTAACTCCGGCTTTCTTTCTCAACTACTTCAGTCATTCTCTTAGCACTTACAAGACTGAAGTAACATATTGAATTTATCATTACACTTCCACCTGTCCTTAGAGGATACATACATATTTCAATGGTAATCCTATTTAAGTTCAGCTAGAAATAATGTCTAGGTATGACTACGTGTTACTTGTATAGCAATTATTGCAACAGAGCTCAATTGCCATTGCACTAATTTACCAATATACCAGTGCTTATGTGCTGAAATTAGATTTTTAAAAGTATTTTCAATAAATTCACACAAATGATTGAATGAGTACATTTATTAATGTTAGGATTTGATAACTGAGTTAATGATAAATATTTTTTTTTATTCATTAATAATTTACATCTACAGAAAGGACAACACAGCTTGCTTATATTGACTCGGCAGCAAAACCTCCCAGAAATGTCCGTCGCCAGCAAGCTAAATACGGAACTGCAGGACCCTCCTCTGGAGAAAGATCTAGAGCACGATTTCTACCCAGTATGGATCCGATACCTGTTGGAAAGCCCAAAGGTCAGTGTGGACTGGCATGTTTGTGATAGTCATTGTTCTATGTTAGAAATTAATTATTTTGAGAGTACTGTACCACCATTTCTCATGAAACTCTGTTCATAGATACCATGTCATATAACAATAAGTTGAAAGTTTGTACCATAAATTGGAAAAACTTTTCATATACCTTCATTTTTACCATTTTGTAGATGAAATTTGAAATCCCAAAACTAAATTCAAAATCAAGTATTTTCAGTTATTGTCATCTGTTGCTACAATGTTACATGTCACTTAATGCTGAATAATGTTCATCAATCTATTGATCAATTAATTGGCAAGATTTGTCCATGGTATTAAAATGTAATATCCAAATATCGTACATATTAGCTTATATTGAACACAATGGTGACTGATTTCACTGCTGTTATCTATTGATTATCCAGTTCTTCAATGTCGCAAAAAATGTAAATCCTGAATTTCACAAAAGGTAAAAAAAAATCATTGGACAAATAAACAGACAAAAATGAAAAATCTAGAAAAATAAGTCCAAAATCAGAAACTGCAAAAATAAGATGGGATATAAATACCGTGTTTTTCAGCATTTTACATTAATAAGATTGATTGAAGTTTAGCAATACTTCAGCAACTCCTTGTTTTTGGTGGTCAAATTTTGATGTGGTCTTTGTAATTGGTTTTGTTTAAATTGATAAATGTGTCATTTTCTTTTGGTAGCTATGAAGACATCAGCGCCCATGATGGCTAAAACACTCACTATGATGAAGAAGATTAGACGTTGATGAAGATGCAGCTGGTCAGCTAAAAAGTTCATTTCATTGAAAACTGTAGATTGCAGTACTTTACAAATACCTTTTTTCTGAAGATTTTACATCACAAAGTTTGTACCTACATTAATTATGTCTGAATTATTGAAACTTTTATGTGAGAATGAAATAGACATTAAATGAGATATATATGACCGACCATACTATGATGTACAAAATGTATCAAACTTTTTGATTACTAGTGGTTATTGAAAGATAATCAGATATTGAGATTAAGTATTATGTAGGATTAATTTTCTTTATAGAACCTTAATTATATTTGATTAAACCTTCATTTCCTGTTTTGTCATTTTATATGAATCTGGGTCTGGAAATGTGTTTTCTATTGTTTTGTTAGATAGTGTTATGACAGTTTTTCTGTATTTTGTCTTTCATTTAAGAATTTACTGTAACTGAGTTTTTTTTTGTTTTTTTTTTATTTTGGAGGGGGGAAGTGATTTTTTTTCTCTTTTGAATAATTTATATCAAAAAGGTGATATCATTGATAAAAGGCTTTAAGATTTCTTAATATCAACAGTCAACTTCAAGGTTATTTTAATGAGAAGGAAGGCTGCCCTAATACTTTAATATTAACCAGAATGGAGATGATTAAAGTGACAATGAATTTTACCAGGTACATTGTATCTTAGACAATTTCACATTTGTTGTAAAATTTATAATAAGAGGTTTACATGTAGCCAAGGTGATGGTTTATATAAATTATTTGAATTATGCTGGAAATGGATAAATACTGTACTTCTGTGAGGAAAGTTTTACTATATGATGATAACAACAGTTAACGATATTTTGATGTCTTTGTCGTGTTAATCAATTGGTGCTACTTCAATTATGTGATACAGTTTACAGAGTAAAAGCATTTTGAATATTCTATGTTCTAGAGAGAAGTCAGATGTTATTGGAATTCTTTTTTTCATTTTTTTTTTATATTGTGTGTGTTGAAGTTTGTAATAACAATCAAGAGACATCTAAGTTGATATAGTAGATCAGTAGATGATTTATGTTCTATGTAAATCACCAGGCAGTGACAGTTTTTAATTCTTGGTACTATATATTTGATAATTTTGTTTTGTTACATTTTCTTTATTGGTGCAAGGATTAAATATTTACAAACTTTTAAATACAAATCAAGTTTTTTTCTAGTCTGTGGTAAGTTGGTTTCATTTTTGTTTAAATTCATTGTTATTTTATTTTAAAACTGTAATAAACCATTTTCTCAGTTCAATAAAATTGATCCCTCTCACTTTTTCATATTTAATAAACAAGTACACAGAGATAAGTAGTGTTGTTATATAAAACCTTCACGGAAAATTTTAATTATCCAATTGTTATTTGTAAAAAGAAACATTTCTCTCAAGTTTGTCATCAAACCTGAATTTGTTCTTCAAGAAGTTAGGTTTCTTCTTCTCATTCATCAGCCCACAAAACCTGTACTATTGATTATATATTAATAAGGATTGAAGTTTCAATTTTTTTGTTTTCCCAAACTAATTTCTATTTGAGACAAAATGTCCAAAACTACAGTGTTTATTTAATACCCTACATAAACATATATTAGAAATGAAAATCTACTGTGATATATTTGATGGCTCCCAAATTTTGTGATTTTGTGAAAAAAAAAACCACTAATTCATTTAAAGAATTCACAGTTAATTATTTTAAAACAATTGCAAAGAAGTTATTCAAACTGGTATATAATCACTTGTTCGCTTGGAAGAAAGCATTTGATAGGTCTTACTGTGGGAGGAAGACAGAATACCCTGGAAAACAGGTGTCCCTTTTCCTTTCATGTCTGTTTGGGAAAACTAATCCTGGATACCTAGGAAAGAGGAAAGTGCATTACTACAGTGCCACCTGACCTGCTAATTTGTTGGCAGTTGATTTCTTGGCCAGTACTAATGAAATCCACTTCTACTAAAAAAAAATTTTTTTTATCTTTATCATCTTGTGGATACTGTTAAATAATTAATTTTTGTGGGGGATTTATTTTCATTGGTTTTATGGGTGCTTTTACGCCATTAATTTATATGTCTATGAATTGGTAAGATTAGTATAAGTAGACATATTGAGATATATTTATCCACAAAATAAGTGGCCACGAAATACTTGAGTCCCATGAAAATTTCGCCTCACGAAAATACATTATTTTACAGTATATGAATAAATGGGATCAGATTACCCACGAAACCAGCAAGAAAGAGACTCTGCAGAAAATAAATGATTTCACAGTACATGATGTATAGCTACACAGCCTGAAATTAATACATTTTCAAGTGGACAGGACAAGTTTATATACAGTGATATAACAATTTACACTAAGAATCATTGGTGACAAAAGGCATATTTTCAAAGGTGGATAACATCATACTGTAAATGTGTATATTTATATTTTATCACTTTATGGGTTTAAGCTATTGCACTAAAACATGATTGCACTCTTTGCAGTTTTTGTATGTATTTTATTTCGTAAATATTGCTAAACTGTGAATTCATCATTTTGCTTTTCTATTCAAAATTTTCATTGCACTAACATTTGATTGCATCAAAATAAATTCATTTACAGTAAATGATTACTGTGGGTTTTTTTTCAATACTTCCAATTTTGGTGTGTTCACGGAAAGCTTGATGGAAACAAATTTAAAGATATAATTTTTTTTTTTCACATGGAAATGTCTATAAGTACAGGAATTGAAGGAAACGTATATTGATAATCAGACATGACAAAATGTTGGAATGAGAGTGTTTTACTTAATTTATCTTGTAAGATAGGATGGTGATAAGAACCATAAATATTAATGTACAAAGTGATGATTTTTCTCGTTTGTTTTGCTTGCTTGTGTGATAATTTATACTAATGTCCTTTGTGACCGTAAACCACTTTATGAACATACATATATATGTACAGATATTTGTACATTTGGTAAATTACTTGTGGTACTAGCAGTCCAAAGTTCCTCTGGCCCTAACTCTAATCTTTATTTATTTCACAATAATTCGAAAAAACATAACAGCTTTTATTGATAATTCTTGTTGACCTGGTTTGAACATCAGAGAACTTGGGGGAATTCCAAATAGCGGGGCTTGTAATCTATATCTTTTTACATTTGATTGGAGAATCAAACGCCCAGTCATCTAGTTAAGTGTGTAAAGTTTGTCACTGTGCCAACCTTACTCACCACAAGAGGGAAAGTGTACAGCATCTGTCCATCACAATGACTTACATCTTGTTTAGTGGTCAGTGGTGTTGAGGTCAGAGGAAACTCAGGGCAGCATCTTTTACGAGGCTAATGTGATTTTTATGAAATGTGATACACCTGTCAATAACAGGAACAATTAACCTGATTAATTAATTTTGTAAATAAGCATGCATTAAATGCATCAAAAGAATTAATTATAAATTAACACTAGATATCTAGTTGATTCGTTAAGCTTTTACAAGTTTTGTGAATATTTTGTTGATAGTTTGAATCCTTTTCAGATTCCTGTGTGGCAGGAAAAAATGTCTTTCTGCAGTAAACAAATAGCAGTGTAATATTCTGTCATTTTCTGTTCTACCTCTTGAATTTGCATTCATGTGTTGCTCAGTTAATTGGGTTTGAAATTCAGACTGAATTTGTTTCCTCTCCCCTTCAAATAGATATTAATATCAAGGTGTACATAACAGATTATCTTCATTTTATAAATATATGTCTCATTACAAATCCATTCAGTCTATGACTTAGTCCATCTGTGACCTCAGTTCATTCAATCTATTACTTAGTTCACCTGTGACCTCAGTCCATTCAACCTATGACTTGGTTCACCTGTGACCTCAGTCCATTCAACCTTTGACTTAGTCCATCTGTGACCTCAGTCCATTCAACCTTTGACTTGGTTCACCTGTGACCTCAGTCCATTCAACCTATTACTAAGTTTGTCTGTGACCTCAGTCCATTCAACCTATGACTTGGTTCACCTGTGACCTCAGTCCATTCAACCTATGACTTGGTTCACCTGTGACCTCAGTCCATTCAACCTATGACTTGGTTCACCTGTGACCTCAGTCCATTCAACCTATTACTTGGTTCACCTGTGACCTCAGTCCATTCAATCTGTTACTTAGTTCACCTGTGACCTCAGTCCATTCAACCTATGACTTAATTCACCTGTGACCTCAGTCCATTCAACCTATGACTTGGTTCACCTGTGACCTCAGTCCATTCAATCTGTTACTTAGTTCACCTGTGACCTCAGTCCATTCAATCTGTTACTTAGTTCACCTGTGACCTCAGTCCATTCAACCTATGACTTAATTCACCTGTGACCTCAGTCCATTCAACCTATGACTTGGTTCACCTGTGACCTCAGTCCATTCAATCTGTTACTTAGTTCACCTGTGACCTCAGTCCATTCAACCTATGACTTGGTTCACCTGTGACCTCAGTCCATTCAACCTATTACTTGGTTCACCTGTGACCTCAGTCCATTCAACCTTTGACTTGGTTCACCTGTGACCTCAGTCCATTCAACCTATGACTTAGTTCACCTATGACTTCAGTCTATTCAACCTATGACATTAAGTCAATCTATGATGTTTGTCCAGACAATCTAATTAAACAATGTATTCTAATTCACACAAACTAATCTATTTTCATTATTATAAAAAAATGAGAGAATAAAGGAGGAATACTTGTGGTTTGTGCGAGCCTTAATGTCTACATCTCAGAACTAGTTACATTGTCATTTAATAAACCACTGAAGCATTATTCAGAGCAGTGAATCATGTGATGACATCCCTGTTAGTGTGACTGTGTGTTAATATGGATATATTCTGTACACACACCCTCAAATAACTTATTACACAGTATAATAGCTTTGTAATCATTGTAACTTTGGGTAAAAATAACTTTTGGGATAACAAAAGACGGACAGGTTACTATTAGGGCTACCTGGATTCTGTTCCAGCAGGAAGAGATATGTGTAAAATAAGTCTGTTTACTCTGTTTTAATTTTCTAAACTTAATCAGAAAATAGTTCTGATGAGGTTACTGCAATGTTTCTGATTTTTGCTCTGCCTTTTGAAATAAACCTTAAAATGGATTCTATTACATTTGTTTCCTTTTCAATGAGTATCGGAACTGATGATAATGACAACATCACAAACCTTTTCAGATTATACATGTAATAATAAAACAGAAAAAATACAATAGAATGCTGTTTAAGGTATCTATACTTATGACATTACTACTGCATTTTTCATTGTATTCACACACCACTTTCTTCCGTGGGTAGAACCGTTCCACTAATAATTCTAAACCTGTGGTTATTTTTCAAAGCAGACAAAGTGTTTTATTTAATGGACTCAATCCCCAATCGTTCTCCCCCCAACCCCCCAAAGGAGAAACCACTTCTAGAAAATGAGAAGCGATCATTCGTGCTTATATTGGGACCACCACCATACTTTATCATCTCCAATGTACATTGATATTTTGAACACAGGTTATAGAACACAAGGGGATTATTTCGGCATATTGCTTTAATATCCTTGTGAGTGATACAGGCCTTCAGGGTCTCTTGTCACTTTTTCTATGGGGGAGCTTTCTTTGTACTTTCTGTTCCAACTCATAAACAAGTTGTTTGAAGTGGAAAGGGAGTTGGTCAGAGTTGCTGGAAGTCGGACATCTTGGCGACAGTATTTGTTCTATTTCATTTTGGGGCTTATATAATTTTTTTAAATGGCTGACAGAGGGACAATTTGAATTATAACAGTGCTAGTTTGTCATAGCTGTTTTCTGAGAAGTTCTAGGTGATTTATTCTAAAATTTCTGACAAATAATTGATAAAAGGACATGGTGATGAATGTCATGATCTTTCGGATTTCGTTGTTTGTATGACGCGATGTTCTTCCATCTTTTAACTTTAATTCCACGGTTTCGTAGAAGTTGAGTTTGTCATTGCTTAAAGTATGATCACATCATAATACTTCGGTACAGGGTAGTTGTACCTGTTCTCGAATTCGATAGATACCTGTTGCTTGGGTACCTGGAAGTAAAAACACTGAAGTCACACATACTATATTAGTGCAAATTTTCCTATCACGGTGTACCTATCGCTATTGCATATTAGACCACGTGCAAACTTTCTTATGATGTGCTTTCATGAATCATTAACAAAATAGCAACAAAGCTAGTAAAAACGACTGTGACCTTCTACTTTATTAAGTACGGACTTAATTCTACAAATGAGACGAAGTACTGCATGTCCTAGTCCAACGGATTGTGACTTTTATTTTTTAAAAATCCATATATGGACTCGCAGAGAGTCTATTCGTTGTAAGTCAATCGTCAGCCACTACACATACAATCCTTCCATATAAGGAATGAAAATTTGGTCAGAAAATGTCTGTTGGAAGCGAATGTATCAATAGTTAATTAATTTCCGTGATTTAGACCTCTACCTCAAAATCCGGAACACGTTCTCTTTCGACGACTTGTAGTTGAATTCATTATTTTTTTCAGATTTCTTCAGAAACTGGTGAAACTTTACTTCTCCAATTTAGCCTATTGTCAGGTGAGTTGTAACTGATGTGGTTGTCTCACCTATCGCCTTCCCTCGTATCCACAGACGGTAGTTTGTCAATGTTTAGATGGTCTTGTAAATCCCCAAAGTCGTTTTTCATAACCACATTAAAATTCAGCGTTGTATAAAAGAAATATGTTGTCTGTCTAGGGATGTCGACCGGAACAAGTCTCAAAAATAAGAAACGAAACGAAACATCAGCTAGAACACTGGAAAGTGCAATGAGATGAGATGTTCTGCTAGTTTGAATAATTTGCAATGAGATGAGATGTTCTGCTGGTCTGAATAATTCTTACATTTTATCGATTGTTCATGTTCTAGTCAGGCGTCCTTCATCGACACCAGATCGATCTAAAAAAACGTTCCAGAAGGGTAAGCATTTTCTACTTTATCAACGATACAAGTGATGTAAAAAAACATGTTCTTAGAAAGCTTTTTCCATACCATTAACGATGAAAACACCTGGGATACTAACAACCTCGGTCACTTCATTTAATAAATCTTAACAATATTTATCAGTGAGATCGATATTTGACGGTGATCACTTCCGTATCTTGATCAACTTACACTTTCCGATCCTCTGTATCAGAATGTTGTAATTTTAAACACAAGACTATCTTATTCATGTCCTCGAGAGAGATAAGAGTTTTCAACGGAGGGTCATTCACCGTCCTTATACCAACAAGGATCGACTATATTATATTCCAACCAACTTTAGTTGCGTAAGACATACAGAGGTCACGAATAGGTCAGTGAAAACAAACACCTGTTATAATACAAGGTGGAAATAAAGGTGAAACCTAAGGCATCACCAAATAGAAGCCTGTTCTAAGTGGACTGTAATATATTCCGTCCTATTGGGAATTCATTAGTGAGTATTTCGTTTTTTTTTTCGTGGTTGTACTAACATGAAGATCGTGTAACCAAAGAAAGCATTACGTCACATATTTGTATCTAGATGTGTTCGTTTCATTAATTGTGTAAAATGACACGTCGTGCGTGTTCAACGTAGCCGATTTAAGAATGTTCTATAGGAAACAAATCAAAGGCTAGGAAGTATATAATAACCCAATTCCCACATTATTTGCCTAGTTTCTGATTATCGGTACCTCAGAATAACGAATTATTAGAGTGACGGATTTTTTACGTTGACATAACCCGTTTTCATCGGCGAATATATTTCAGCATATTCCGTGTAGTCTCTCATATCAATAGTGTTATTTCTTGATAAAAGGGGTCTGTTTTCGGTACAGAAATATTATCTGTACTTTTATTTCTTAGAATATTGGGAAAGTAACGGTGAAATTCTGGGTTTGTTTTTGTGAGTGAAAACTGAAATGGAAACGTAAGTTTTCCTGTTCATTAATTTAAACACTTTCGTTAACATTCGTGAAAAAAATTATACAAAATCTAAATTAGCGAGATTCCATATCTATCTATTTGGTGACGTCATAATGCATATGACACTATTAAGTTATGATGTCACGATGGAAACTTTGAGCCAATCAAATCTCATTTAGGTCATATTGCATGTTTGTCTGTACATAACATACTTTTTACGTTGTTGTTGTTGTATCTGTTTGTGTTACATGGGTTTTTTTCTTAACAGATACCAGAGATGTATAAGGGACTATTCGGAATCGGTCTGTTGGTGTTTTTAATCTACATCACCCAGGCCTGTGAAGATAAGTACCAGTCCAAACATTGCTACTGTCAGTGTGATGATATCCTGACTAACTGTGTCAGCACCTGTAACGCCCCGGTAACTGTGGCTCCCGGCTCTGGACATCACCACCATATGTCAGTCTGCGAAACTCGTTGTCATGATCACATGGCCTCCTGTCTCACTCATTGTAATTGGGGGATATCGCCTTCCACACAGCCAATTGTTGGCTAGGAACTATTACCTGATCACCCACTCTGTGAACTCCATTATATATATATTACAGATAAATATGTACCCGTCTTGAATTCTAAACATTCAAAATGTGTTTTGTATAAAACATTTAGTCAACTAGCTCTGTAATTTTAATATTAGAAAATGTCGGATTAAAAACTTTTGGAATTTGTTTTCAATTTTGTGTTATCTTTACCTCGTTTAAAAACTGAACTTCGTCAAAAAAAAAAAATAACTCGATTCCAAGATCTCTTACAATGTTTTGTTTGTCTCTGGTCCGGAATGTCTGACCCAACAGTAGTGTTAAAGTTAATGTAGAATGTCTCACTGCTCAGTGGTGCACATTAAATAAATAAATAACTCGCATCCAAGATCTCTTCCAATGTTTTGTTTGTCTCTGAGAATCGGTTTAAATTAATGTAGAATGTCCCACAAAGAAGAGTTCCTTTTGGTTCAAAGTTGACAATGAGAATAATCCATTGTCCATCACTATGAAATATTTGTTTGTGACTCAAATTTTGTTGGGATATAGATCCTGAAAATAGCATTTTGATTATTTTCATGTTTTTTGTCTTTTCACAAATAATTTTTTTCTTTTTGCAGATACAAATTCATAAATGAATAAATTAAAAAAGAACAAAATATGAAAATGCATGTTATCCTAACTCATGAACAAGTTGATCCCAAGGGATGTGAGTTGAACCCTTTCCTTTTAACTTATCAGACATTCAAAAAGTTATAACTTAACACTGATATACATGATTTGTCAAAAATGAAAATGGCCATCTGTCAGCCATTTTCTTTTTGCATAGCAACAGGATATCTAGATATAGAATTTGAGATTAAATCATTCTATAAATTATTAATTAAGAGACAACAAATTATAACTATCAAATCAAAGATGACCTCCTGTTGGCCTTTTTGTCCATTTGGCACGTCAAGATGCACGGTGCACAAGAAAGAACCTAGGGCAACCTATATCTGAAACTTGGAAGCAATCCACTCAAAATCACTTGAGAACAGACATAACAAACTTTCAACTGAAAAAAGCACCACTAGGGACTAAGTAGAATCTAAGTTTAGTTGTCCAAATTCAAGATGGCCATCTGTCAGCCATTTTGTTTTTGAGATCAGTTCCAAAATTTAAATGTACACTGTATTTGTTCATAATTTACATGTGTAATATTGATCCAATGAGCATCTTCTACAAAAATAAGTAGACAGCAAACAATCTTTTACTGATTTATTTAATAATTTAATATGAGCTGACAATGTCATCCAATATTTGTATCCACTGTAACCTTGTCAACAAAATCCAATGGTAACAATGACCCATCCTCCTCATCTGTCCTTGAATCAGATTGAATAATAGAATCAGAATTTGAACCAATCACATGTTCACTTGTCCAGTAGCCCTGCTCACTTGAGTCTGATATAACAAAACAGTTTTCCACATATAGTGTGTCTGCCACACCCACCAGAGATTCATGACTATGTAATTGTTTTAATTCTTTCATGTTTTCCCTATTTAGTCTTTTTTGAACTTTGTCTCTTTCACGTTCCCTTTGGCGCGCCTCTTCGTTCACATGCCGTACAATCTTGCGTCTCTCTCTGTCCTTCCTTCGTTCTTTTTCCCGATATTCAGGGTCATTTCGTTTATTTCTCATTCTGGCTCTTGCTTGTTCCTTTTCTTTTTCTCTGTAAACATGTATTATTTCAATAAATCTGTCAACTGAAATGATTTTTAAAAGATACTTAGCCATTCTGATGCCACATTCTTTAACCACATATTGTTTCAGTATGTTTCTATGGTTCATTACTGATATCATGGTACTTGAAAGAACTGTAATCCAAAGGTTAGCTGTATGTGTATCACTGCATGAAAAATGTCTCACAAAATAAAAGTTCAAGAACACAGAATTTTTAAAAATTAAAAAATCTATGGCATCAAAAAAATCAGAAAAATTCCCTTATTAAACATGTATGAAGGTGATCTGCATCCTGAGTAATCCTTCATACAGGAAATTAAAAATGAAGTAAGAACATTATACAGATATGAACTAGGAAAATGAACAAGAGGCCCATGGGCCTTAACGTTCATCTGACATAAAATACAAGATTTCAAATTTTGAACTTGAGAAGTCGTCGAAAATGTGTTTGGTGGCCATGTTGGATTTTGGACCAACCCAAAATTAACAAACTTTGGTCAGGATCATGTCATGATCATTTCAGGTAAGTTTCAGCTCAATGAGACATGTAGAACTTGAGAAGTTGAAAATGTTTATGACGGACGCCGCCGGACAAAAGGGGATCGCAATAGGTCATCAAAGTATCAATATAACATATAGGACTTTTTAACTTGACAATATAAAATGGATCCTACATGGGTGGTAAAAGGCTCATGACCTATCATATTAATTCATAAATTTAATAAATTTGATACTAAATCAGCACAAGTTTAAAATGCTATTTATCAAATAACCTGAACAAGAGGCCAAAGGGCCCAAATTGTCATCAGAGTGAACCAATGGAAATGATTGTAATGAATGTGAAGTGTACAGAACAGATAATGAGAGATGCTATTTGTACAGGGACAGGTGGCTTAAATTGAAGTTGCAACTGTGGTCATGAAGCCCTTATAGATCCTTCCATCCATGAAGAGTATCTAACTCTACTGTATTTGGTTATTGATAAAATCTTACAAAATTTGTCAATCTGACCATTTTCGGCCCGGCCCCTCAGGCCCGATGGGAGCGGGAACCATATACCGGTAATTTACAATTTCGGTTAACCTTTGCCTATGGAAGGTTTCTTTCAAATGTCATTGAAATCAGTTCAGAGGTTTTCAGTAGATGTCGAAATGTCAAAATTTTGGGAGGCATGATGGATGCCAGACACTGCTGAACAAAAGGGGATAACAAAAGGTCACTTTGAGACTTTGTCTCAGGTGACCCTAAAAAACCAAACCAATATACTAAAATTAATTTCTGTATAAGACCAAAAGGACCGTTCTCTTTTCAAAACTGCAACAATCATGTAATATATCATCAATATACGACTCATTTAAAACGTCACAATAAGGTTAGGTGTCCTGTCTCATTATGTTAATGACATGATACAATAGGCCAGTCCATAATATGCTATATTTGCATCTTTATTTGATCTCATTGCTAAATTATTGATTCTAATAATTTATGTAAACAAACCTGAATGAAGGATTCCTCCGCAGCCTCTGTTTCAACAACCGAGCCCTCTCCCGTTTCGTTGTGTCTTCCAGGGAGAGGACAGTCTGAAGGTCACAGTCTGACACATCTGGCGTAACAAATGGACTGTTCTGTACATTGTTGTTGATGGCTGACCTCTGACTGCATCAAAATAATCAAGATCTGATATGTTAAGTCCATTATTTTTATGTTTTTCACAATAACAAAACACAAAAAAACAAAAGTACTGAGGAAACTGCCGATTACTCCCTGAAAACACTTTAAGAACTTGTTAACAAAGGGCAATAACTCTGTAATTAAGGGGGTTCAGGCACTGCACATCCACTTGGTATTACCAACGTACACATGACGTCTCAGTATCCTAGTTTAAATAAATGTTAAGTTAAGCTACATAAAAATTATTAACAACGGCTACTAACTCTGTAATTAAGGGATGGTGGACCTTCCCATCAGTTAAATGCACACTGTTTCTGTATGATCACTGTATATGCTATTATTATCCTAGTTTAAATGCAAACAAAGTTATGACCCTGACACTAATTTTTAACAAAGGGCTAGAAGTCTATAATTGAGGAGTTATGGGCCCTGAATTTGCTACACTGCTCATCACCTTAGTATAACAAATGTATACACCATGTTTCAAGATCCCTCTTTAAGTGTGGGCAAAGTTATGTTGTAGACGCTAATGGATGAGCAGACAAAGGGGCAACTTTATCCCCCCCAAAGCATAAAAAAAGAAAAAAAAAACAGAAAAAAAGTACTGTATAGGTGTTTGATTTAGTGAGGCTGATTACTCAATCATTCTATGACTGAGTGTTTTTACATTTTGACAGATGAATTGATCAAATTGTCATTTCACGATCATTATATTTATTTAAACCACTATTCATTAATAAGTCATTTTGTTATTCAAACAATGCTAAGAATACAATATTATCAAAATACCAATGTTAACTATACCTTGCAGCATCAGTATGTTCTAAGCACAAATTAAGGGCAGATAACTCTGATTCTGTCATAACAGGTGCAGGCATCAACTTGCTTTCATCCCCTTCACTTGACTCAGACCCAGTGATATTTCTAACATCGTCGAACAACAGTGATGGACACACAACATCGTTACAGGACTCTGATTGGCTATTGATTATAATGATTTCTGGGTCATGAAGAGGCAAGTTTGTTGTCGTGACAACCGTCTCTGCTGCTATGTCAAATGAGCCTACAGACAGGTCTGGATCATCACTCTCGTGTGGATCTGTAATAAATTTAAATTACACTGTAAATACAGATAGTCTTACAAACTTTTTTAAGAAATCTTTTTAAGGCTGAATTTCATTTGTAAAAGGTATCATAGACACAGATATGAATTTGGTAAGAAGGCTTAAAACCACAAGTTAAAAATTGATGCACTCAAGGTGAGACTAGAATAAAGGTATAGACTTCATTGTATGAATGCATGTACGTAATGGTCTCGTACATCAAAATTTCTATTATTTGATTTTTGTAGCAATGATATTGATTCTGTCATTTCAGGTTAGAGTAGAAGAAAACTAACTTTTAGTCCTCTTTTTTTCCCCTCAGCATTATAAATTAATATTAAATGGGATCCATTATAGTAGCTTAGTAAAATATTTCATTTTGTGAAAATCAGACTTTTAACAGAAGAACATGATCTTTCATAGTTTACCTGAAGACTTTAGTAAGGTTGTGATAACTCTGTCAACATCATACTGAAGCACCTTCCCATTGTAAATTATTTAAAATTGTCATGAACTGTATAAACACACCATCATCAATAGCCAATGAAATGAAAATTGAAACCATTTAACTAAATTCACATTTTTAAAATCCTTTGCCTCAAAGTAAAATCTCACCGATACACTGTGAGATTCCTGAGACAAATGACATAGTGTAGCTATGGAATATGCGAATGAGATAACACACATGTACAGAATATAACGATTACCAAAATCGTGTTCTAGATGATCCATGCTATGGTCCTCAGTCACATGTGGAGTATACATTTCTATAACCTCATTGCTATGATGACTGTTCTGTCCAGTTTCTCGGCAGCCGTCCTTGAGATCATCTACTTCTATCATCGTTCCATATGAATTTTCTTGACAGCAAACATTAAAGAGGCCTAAATATTAATAAAAAATGAGCACTTTATGTTTCTGGCAGTGTAAATAATGAGCGGTTAAAAACTAGGAAAAAGCCAACCAACTATGTAGGTGATCTGCCTTGAACAGCTGGGTCAAAGAAACTTTTCTTGTGAAGCTGACTGGGAGCTTCCAGCGTGTTGATTGCTAAATATGATTAATAAAAATCACTTTCCTTTTCAAGAAGCAATGTCGAAATAGAAACATAACCAGGGTTTTCCATAATTTTGTTAGTAGTAGGCTGTGTAGTGAAAGTAGGAGGCTGGCCTGCCGTGTATGTGTAGTCGTGAACAGAACATTATTATGGAACTGGATTGGTGTAGGCGGCCAAATGATCAAAGTAGCCGGTCAAATTGGGCGGCAACCGGCTCTTATGGAAAACCCTGCATAAATCAAAGGTCTTGAATAATTTAGATGAGTTATACAAACATATTAATTAATGAGCTGAAACCCCTATGTTGCAATTAACTCGCTGAAAAACAAGAGGCCCAAGAGCCTTAACCGTGACCTGAGTCACAATGCTTCTTGTAACATGTCATAGAAATCATTTTGTTCAATAAAAATATTGTACACATAATGCAGATGTAAATTGTGTATACATTGACTGCTATCCTATGCTAAGACTTCTAACCAATTTGAATCAAAAGAAATTACACACAAGATTTGAAAATCTTCCATGCAGGAGCAGTATAACATCTTTGAAATTTCAGTCAATTTGACCCATTTTTGGCCCCACCCATCAACCCCTGGGGGTCAGTCAGGGTCAATATGTTCATCTTATGTGACAGCTAATACTAATAACAAAAATTCTAAACAAGTTTGAACTATTTTTGATAAAAATAAACAAATTATGCTCAATAATGTCATTTTCCCTAGTCTGGGGGAAATGAGAAACCATGGGGTCATGAAATTTACAAGTTTGGTAAAGCATTTGAAGGCCTTTCCATCCATGAAGAGTACTTGATTCTACAATACCTGGGATTTGATAAGAAGAGAACTTGATTATACCATATCTGGGATTTGAAAAGAAGATTTCAATAAATTTGACCCTTTCTGGCCCCTGGGGGTTGGGGACCATAAAATTAACAATTTTGGTGTGCTTTTGTGATGGAAGCTTTTTGTTAAATTTCACTGAAACCAGTTCAGGAGTTTTCCAGAAGTTACAAATTTATGATGCACAACGCCAGACAAAAGGGGGTCGCAATAGGTCACCCTGAGACTTTGCCACAGATGACCCAATAATATGAGCTTATATCCCATCATTTTATTATATTGCACTCATATGATCAATAATATTACGTAAATATAGAGATGTCTAAATATCTATGAATTTCCTTGCAAAATATTTTACAAACTACGTGAGAGAAGCATTACAACCTTATAACAGGCATTTGTAATATAAACGTCTGTGTCCTGCATATACTGATCAAACTGAGCTAGGCAGATAGAACCATTTCACATCATGATTTTTTTTTTGACGAATATCAATTTATTTCAGGGACAAATAACATATTACCATGTATCAAACTTTTCTGAACATGAACGTCGAATTTTCATAAAAGTCATATGATGTAGAAATATTTCAACTGAAAGCGAAACAAGTCTACACTACATTAATCAGAATTCGTGGAAACTGGATACTCTTCATCACGTATCTGATTAGCACAAGTTCAATCTTTCATTTTTTGTCATTACTATATCAAAAATGCCTATTGATCTGTTCATATCATGTGTGAAATGTAATGCATACCTCTTAAGCGAGAAATACAACTTACCATGACAGAAATAATAAGTATGTATTTATCTAATGGTCAACGTACCGCAAAAGCGGAAATGTATTACAAATTCTAAATTAAAAAAGGAATGTTGCATTATTCCGGATACCATATGTTAGTTGTTTCGACAAAGAATGGGACATATGAAAATTTATATTCGATATTTTCAAATAAAAAATATCTAAGAAAATAAATAGAATTGAACAAACAAATTTGTTGTTGTTTTTATTTAACACTAGTCAGATGGATTTTATCTATGCGCGATTATCAGATCTAAAAATGTAATTAAAAATATCTCTGAAAATATCAAGAAGTTTTTCTAATAATTTTGGAAGGTGTTTTAGGAATTGAGAGTGGATATCATCAAGTCCTATTGTAGAATCATGTGATTTTTGAACGATTCTCGAATTTCTAACATTGTGAAGAAATTGTAAGTTTCACTGTTTTCGAACGAGAATTTCATCATATTTCCCGTTTTTCTCGAATGGTAATAATTTCTTGGAATGTTTTGGAATGCTTATTTGCAGACGATTTTTTTTGAAAAGCAGACCTAAAGCATTTCTAATATCATATTTCCTTGTGGCTAATTTTCCGATTGTTTTCAGATGTCCAATTGTTTTGAATGATGTGTTACCGCTGATTCGTTTAATTATATCCCATACTTTTTGGTGGATCTATTGGAATTTAATTAGGACACACAAAATCTTCAAGACAATTTTTGTGTAAGCGTATAGCACGATGAGCTTTTGCCTTAATGATTTTTTAGTTGTTTAATCTATCGCTTGTGAGATTGTTTTTGAATTGGCTCAAAGTGTTTTTTAATCTGTTTTCTTTTGGATTTTGGTTTACATTCTTCGGCTATCTTAAGAATTCGGTAGTAAATAATTCTATCGGGTCTTCTAAATTCAGGAAATCAATGGCATTGATGATTTGATAATTTCGTTACTCCCCTCTACTTTATATCATTTCCAATGGGTACATGATCGCTTTCTGTGGATCCAGAATTTCTTAGACATATCAAGAAATCGCGGGCTTTCAACAAAAGAAGTTCACCTCAGTTATCTCCCCTTTTTACTGAAAAACTTGGGAAGCAAGTTGGCGTGCGGTAGGAGTCCGCCTGGAAACTGTTCAAGACCAAAACGCAATGCCTCGATCAAAAGAGAAGGTGTGTCAGTGGGTTCCTACGAGTAAGTACTTTGTAAGTAGTGATAATAATAGTTTATTTTGTGGCGAGATAATCAGGAACACTGATAATTATGATAATTAATTTGAAGACGTGACCGCGGCCGGTGCAGATGCAAAAATCAACCCACTTAGATAAGAAACTTTCAATGACGGTATAGTGCGAGTTTGTGATACCAGCTACACCCCTTGTTTACATCAAATATTTGGCCATGCAAAGAAGCAACACATTTCATCATTTGGCTAATTGTTTACCGGTATCAGAGACGTATATGACGGTCTACCGATAAATCGACCTAAGTTTTTTTTTTTTTTTGGGGGGGGGGGGGTGGATTCCTATAGAAATTGGCAAAATGATTGTACACGTATTATAAAGTCGGAATGGCCCAGTGGTAATGCACTCGCCTTTCACCTAGCCGACCGGGCTTCGATTCCCGGAACGGCCGTGAAAAGGTAAGGGGTCACCTGCCCGACCACGTCCTGGGTTTTCCCCAGGTACTCCGGTTTCCTCCCACAATAAGACCCCTTGCGTGCTTACATCCGAGCCAACAAGCATGTTCAGTATAAGTTGACATAACTTATTTCGCAATTGTTGTAAAATAAATAAAGTTTATTTATAAAATATAGTTATAAAGTACTGAAAGTTACACAGAAACACTTGTCAACCTATGAAGACTACCAATTTATATTGAATTAATATAAAACCTACATTATTTGTTCGTCGACATGGGTATTACCATAGGTACCTGCAGTATCTTGAATGTAAAAATCCGCAGTCTACTAGACCCTATTCTGTGGATTTTACATTCCAGATACAGGTGCCTATGGTATTACACACAGTTTCTTATTAAAATAGGCATATACCTGTGATTTATTGTGTGTTTAATTTTTCATATCTATTAATAGTTTGTTTACATACACCATTAAATTACATATTTTTTCTGAACGTATTTTGATTACTAGTCTATATGATAGATAATTATCATCCATTTTATAAAATTCCTGTGTTAGTCAAGTTTTTACATTTTGTCTTGTCTGAAGATATTTTTGAACTTCTGCGGTGCTTATTTGATTGATCCTAACTGAGGTTTGTACCTGGTTATAGTAAAGGTTTAATTAGTCTATACCTGGGGAGTTAATGACTGAGGTGTGTACCTGGTTATAGTAAATGTTTAATTAGCCTACAATGTTAAATGTTTTCTTAATTGATATGATGTAATGATTTTGTGTAATTGTGACAAATAATTAATTTTATACATTAAACTAATTTTCTACAAATAAAATTTCGATTCTCTCAAAACGGACTTGTGCAAGTCTATATAAAAGTTTAAAGATATCAGAAAATTTGAAGAACAACAGAATTCACGTTTATAGTAGATAAATATGGTTTCTTTTACTTCTCAATCACTGATTATACGAACATGTACAACAACAATACACACACAGATGAATGGTACCTAATCTCGAAGGCATCATGTTATGTGTGGGCTCAAAATTGCCTTTACACCGGAAGATTTTCTGGGCAGTTTTTTTGAGAATTACAGAGTTTATTTTGTGATATGTCCTTGAAACCTGATTGGCTTTCAAGGAAAAACTTTGGATGATGTCATAACAAGCGTAATAGCTGATTGGACAAGGCAAAACTTGGGGAATCCTTAAAAGTTAACGATGTCATGATCTCTTCCATCACTTGCAGTGCGGTGATTTGAAGTAAAAAATACGGCATTTTTATTTCAGCTTGCTATCAGTCAGTGTATCAGAATGAAAGAGCAGAGTTTCTTTGATGATATTCCGCACGTAATAATATAACTGTAGCTTTCAAGTGGAAGGATTCTGATAAATGCATCTAATCTGATGCCATCTCGCTGTGATAGTTGGTGGGCGGGGCTGAGATTCAAGGGCGGCAACTCGTGTTGCATGATGAATATTTGTTGATATGAATATTGGAAAGTGGTCGCTTCCACAGAGATCGTCATGCACCGTTCATTTGAAATTGAGAAACAACGATGGGTGAAATAAAGTTAAATCAAGGTGCGAGAATATTCCAGAAGAGTGATGCCAATAAATTGGATATTTATTATTGTAAAGACAAAGGTTATTTTCCGATATAAATTCTTCAATTTTTGTTCCTCTGTCATTAGTGTCGGATGAACCCCAAAGGTTGTTATGACCATTAAAGTCATCCAAAAGTATGAATGGAGAAGGCAGTTGGAGGTCTGTAATGGCATATTTCTGTGAGGAACTTGGTTGTCAAACAGGATAGCAACTCCTCCGGTTGCTTTGTTGCTAACAGGACCAAAGTAATTAAACGATGATTATTTTCTGAAATTGAAATTTGTTTCGGCCCTGGTGAGAGTTTCTCGGAGACAGATTACACTAGGGTTATGTTCTTGAGACAGTCGAAGAATTTCATCAATATTGGATCGAAGAATTCTACAAGTGCCTAGACTACTTGTTAAACCGAAGGTGGTTTTACAACTTTAATAGAGATCTTGGAGGATTTGGAAGTAGCTGGCTGGTTCTCCATATCCTCCAGAGAGCCGAATTTGTTAAAGGTGTGAATTGGGTCGTCAGACCCTTCTTTTCTTCTTTGCGAGGAAATTTGAATTTTCTGCTTAGGCAGAATTTTCACTTTTGATTGGGAGCTAGTTTTGATGTGGACTGAGGGTTCTGATTCTGTTTTGATGGTGATGGTGGTGTTCGCGATGACTGTGTTGAAGAAGGTTTTGATGCAGCAGGCCGAAGGCCAGAATGACTGCCGCACGTCATGTCAGTCTGTGTACCTGCATCATGGGTCTCAACGATCGTAATTACAACCTTTGCACGACTGGCATAGAATGGACCCAACACAGACATTTCACTATCAATTCACAAATTTGCTGTTTTTACAGTTATCAGAATGATGACCAACTTTTTGGCAACCGAAACATGGAAGTGAATTTGGGATGTATACATCCACGTCAACGCTTTCGAAGCCAACCTTGATATGTTTTTGTTCTGTTCAATGATAGAGACTGTCAGACATACCAGTTTTTTTACAAGAGGCCCATGAACCTTAACAGTCATCTGACTACAAAGTCTCAAAACAGCAGTAGTAATAACCGTTACAATTATTGTGACTTTGTGGCACAGAATAGCTCACCTGTTATACAGCTAAGACAGAAGGCTTTCATAAGCCCAATTCCGCAAACATAGAATCCAAATACATTTCAAGTGTTCAACACATTTCACCCCTGTGACCTTTTGTGAGTCAATATTAATCATTTGAATAGTCATGGTAGCCTCTCAAACCAGCATACCTAATATTGGTATACAAGGTCTTTTGGTTGTTGCGAAGAAGTCTTATGAAAGCGCAGATCTCACAACGACGGCCAAAATATGATGGCTCTAGCACATCTTGGCCCTTTGTGTCAGATGAAATAAAAATTGGTAGTTACAGCTTACCATTGCACAGTATCACAAGATGGCTTGCACAAACAAATTGTCTCTCAAAAGCATGCTATCAACACGGACACCACATGTACACCAGGAAGCCATCCTTAAGTGACCATAGCTATTGATGGGATGTGATATGATAGAAGACCAAACAGATGTTTTAGTGTTTAAAGTTGTAAGGATAAGATGCTGATCGTAGATTTTCACCAATTGTCGGAATGAGAGGTATCAAAGACCCTTACAATTTAATTACTAACAAGTCTTCATTTTACTTTGTACTATAAACCTCATTACATAAGGATCTGACAGTCCCATTGGAATTGGCAATCTGATGATCTGGAGTCAAACAATTCAATAGACAATGAAAAAATACAATGTTGTAAATTTGGATGGCTGAATTTGTAATATTTCACAAAAGGTATTGTAAGA